GCCTCTGGCATCGATGCCGATGAGCCCACTACCGATGAGCCCAACACCGATGAGCCCACCACCGATGAGCCCGCCTCTAGCACTAATGAGCCTGCCTCTACCTCCAACTCTGGTGCAGAACTCTTGCGTTTACGACTGCGCTTTCTCTTGCCTGCTTCCGCTTCCGCCTCCAGCTCTCCCTCCTCTTCCTCTGGCACAGGGTTCAGGCGCGGACGACCGCGTTTACCTTTCCCCTTGCTCGCCTTAGCTTCATCCTTTGCAGCACGCTTTGTTCTTGCCTCCTCAAGATCCTCATAGCTCATTACCTTCGCTGTACCTAGGACTATGGCTTTAGTCGATCGGCGAACTTTGGCTTCGTTATTAGCCGCGAACAAAGATTGATTCTGATCCTGAAGCAGGGCATTTTTGGCAAAGGATCTTTCGGTGGCACTTGCAAGCTTCTGTATGTATTTCTGTACGCGCAGCTGTTTGCTTGGGTCATTCATCTCCTCTTTAATCAGGTTACGCAACGATAACACAGCCTCTGTTGTCACCGGAGTTGCTGGCGTTGATGGCCGTGCTTCGTTTTGTCCCATAACCTCGTTAGTGGGAATGGTAAGTTCAGCGGCATTACTAAGTGCAGGTTTGGGGGTATGTCGAAGTACTCTCTCTGGGTTGAACGGAAACAAGCCGCTTGCAGCCCACGCTGCTATAATATTCCTTTTGGTTAACGCCCTGTCCCTTGCAGGCTTGTATAGAGAGGTAAAGTGCTCTTTGCGCACTGTGTCTACACCGCCTCGATTTAGTCGTTCAACCTCGTCGCGATAGGCTGTCTTTAGAGGCGCAAATACTCCAACGTCACAGGGTTGTAGTTTGTGAGAGGTGTGAGAGGGGAGACGACAAAGGATAATGTTGTTTTCAAAGCAAAACTCCAATATCTTAAGGGTCTCGTGTGTCCCGAAGCCATCACATATTAGTACCCGTGGTTTTCGGTTAGCCAGACCTTTGGTTTGGGGGTTAAATACACGCGTGAGCCACTCCAAGCTAATTTTAGAGTCGTTATATCCGTTTTCGGAGTGTGCATAATGCCATCCAGGGGTTGGGTACGTGGTCCAGTTGCTTCGGTGGGTTGAAGCTGGCCAGATTATAAGAGGGAGCAGCGACCTACCGCTAGCACTTATGCACTCAACAGCAGTTACCATTGTCCGTTTGACACCGGCGCCTCTATAGTCTCGTAGGTCGTCCTTCCCTAAAATCAGTTACTATGATCCGCTCAATACACTGGACTATCCGCTCAACACCGGACCATCCGCTCAACACCGGACCTTACCAATCCGCTCCACACCTGGGCCTTACCTATCAGGACTTTCACAGAGCCAAGCATACTTAACATGACCCCTGTCTCGTCCATGTTATAGACATTATCTGGCAGGATAGTCCCGGCTGCCGAATCCTGTAATACCCTTCCAACTACTTCGAACCAGTGTGTGATCTTAAAGTATATGTTATTCTCGTGACGTTTCCAGTCTATCGACCTGACTCTCCTCGCTTTAAGTTCAGGATGACGCTTCTCGAATGCTTGAGGCCAGTTCTTGTTTGGGGGCTTGATCGTCGTGGGCTCGATCGTCGTGGGCTTGATCGTCGTGGAACGCTGGCGGGCGAGGATGAAGGCTAGCCTAGGTATATACTTGATTCGAACAGGATGCCCAAGTGCAGACATTAGTAATAAATAAGTAACAAGAGCCTTCTCTTCCTCTACAGTAAGGTATTGCTGCTGTTGGGCCTTGTCCTCTTTTGAGGGTCGTCCGCGAGCGCGATAGCAGAGCGTGCTCCGAGGTACATCGCCATGTTCTGATAGGGCAGCATATGTTTTAGGTACATCCGGAGGAAGACCTTGCGCGAGCACCTGGCTGGCTCGGTCCATATCGTCGTGTCAGAGGCACGAAGGGCACGAATGGGGGCACGATAGACAGGTGGCAACGGACAGGTGGCAACAAAGCACGAATAGCCAGCACGTGATCGAACAAAGACGTTTCTAGAAGAAATACTGTATTTTATGAAGTAGGCATAGCGCCATATAGTACATTTCAGCTAGCTGGATCCGATCCCGCGCTAACTTCTGCTTCTGGACCCCTTTGCACGGATAAATCCGGAATGCATCCTATAAAGAGCCTAATGTGTCTCCCTGGGTCGCCGGACGCACGCCGTAATCGGACAAATCACAGGTACTTTGACTTCAAGCAACTCAGGCGCAATGTAGACGTCGAATTCTCGTATAATACCAGATCATTCGTGCAGTATGGCCAATACTGAGCCCACCCCACCCTGGCAACTCCGAAATTTCGATCACGTCGTCGCCTCCACGCCTGATTACGGAGGGCGTCCTTTTGTTGTATATTAGGGCTGGTGGGCACACAGCACCACCATCGAGCTCTTTTCACCTTGCAAGCCCATAGATGGGTTTGATAAATGTCCCCAAGCCTTGCCACCAAGTTGATAAGTCATCGTCAGCCTTATGGGTGGCATCGCACGCTGATTCACGCAACGTCGCCACGCCACTCGGTACATCTTATCAAAGAAAACAAGGATCCCTGGTCCGACCCTGGTCTGACCGAGACAACTCGCTTAATAGATTACTATGTATTCTAATCCAAGCTTTATAAGCCTTGCCAAGACCTGTGGCTGCGCTGTGGCTGCGTTGGCTGGCGCAGAAACTCTGGCTACTGGCCAACCTGCGACTCACGAACACGTGCGATGTGCTGCTAGTGGCGCGCAGCACGGAATAGATCTCATCGCTAGACCTTCAATCGTATAGGCAACACCGCGACAACGGGCACAATCCCGCCGTCACAGAGCATCTCCCACGACGCGCGAAATCCAGATACATTATGACAGAGACTCTTATTCCTTCAGAGATCGATGACGAGGTTGACGATGCTGGCCTCCCTTCGGGACACATGTGGGCCTACCCATGCAAGCTTCCCTCTTGTCCTGACTACGGCAAGTCCTGGCAGCTACGAAGCAACTTTCTCGCTCATTTGCAGGAGCAAGAAGCACATATATCCACGGCAACGACACCTACCGCACGCCGTTCGCTCGAGTTAGCTTGGCGGTATTCCACGGATCCTCATCTCCCAACTCGAGCGGCTCCAGGCTTTCGTTCAAGGGAGGATCCAGACGAGCAAGTCTGGGTTTACTCGTTCAGAGATGATAAGTTACTGGCGAAGTCATAACTAGCAAGGGCACACCAAAGCAAATCAAAATGCATAGGGCTGCACTACGCCGGCAAGTGGAGGGAAAGGAGGGCGACGATGACCGGCACAATGACAGCAAAAACGGCCACAGCGAGGCATGACAAGCGCGGCAGAGGGACACCAAAGGCCTGTCACTATCTCCATATTATCTGTTTGTACGACCATTGCGCCGGAACCTATCCAAGCCAGTTACATTCCGCATCCTCCGCTACCACATCCGCGCCACTGGGGCTCTCCACAGCTCTGGCGCAATTTCCTCCTGCTCAACCTGCGCTTCGTCTATCAGTGCCACTGGGACTCTCGCTGGCTCTGACGCTTCGTCTATTAGTGCCACTGGGACTCTCGCTGGCTCTGGCGCTTCGATTGTCCGCGCCACCTTGGCCGTCGGCTCCAGTGCATCTGACTCGGGCGGACTCTTGCGCTTCCGAGTTGTTTTCCGCCCAGGTTTTGCCTCGGCTGACTCTGGCGCTTCATCCTCTGGCGTGTCTCCTTCTGAAACGTCTGCTTCTAAAGGGGCCTTACCCTTCCGACCTCCTTTCCCTTTCCTTTTTGCTTTGGCCTGTTTAGCTTGCTCTAGGGCCTCGCGCTTCTGTAGGGTTTCCTTAAGGTCCTTATAACTCATTACCTTCGCCTTACCAAGTATCAGTGACTTGGCTGATCGTCGCTCTTTGGCTTCGTTGTTAATTGTGAGCAAGAACTTGATATGTTTCTTCTGGAGAATGCCTTCGGCTAAGCCTGCTTTGACGGTATTGTCGTATATCTGTAAGTGTCTCTTGAGGTTCCTCTTACTTGTCTCATCAAGCGTATGAGCATCCTGTTTGATAATCAGATCTTGTAGCGACATGAGAGCCTCTGCTGACACCAGCGCCACAGGCGTTTTCAGTTCTTCGTCTTGCGGACAAGGCCTCACTATCACCTCGTCTGCTTTCGGCATGGTTAGTTCAGGGGGCTTCGGCATATCTCTGAGTACTCTCTCTGGGTTGAGCGGATACAAACCGGCGGCGGCGAAACCAGCTTTGATATTTCTAGCCGTGAACGCCTGGATCCTTGAAGGGCTATACAAAGCGGTAAAATGCTCCTTGCCGACTGTTCCTACACCCCCACGCTCCAGTCGGTCAGCCTGCTGACGATAGGCTTCCTTCAACGGGGCAAACACAGCGACGTCGCAGGGCTGGAGCTTATGAGAGGTGTGAGAGGGGAGACGACAGAGAATGATATTGTTCGCAAAACAATGCTGCATAACTTCGGCCGTTTCATGAGTTCCGAAGCCGTCACTAATTAGTACGCGGGGTCTCCCATTAGCTCGTTCTTTGGTTTCAGGGTCAAATATACGCTTGATCCACTCTAAGCTGATATAGGAGTCGGTATATCCAGTATTAGAGAAAGCGTACTGCCAGCCAGGGGTGTTATACGTTATCCAGTTACTTCTATGGGTAGAAGCCGGCCAAATAATCATGGGATTCAAATACCTACCATCGGCACTGATACATTCAATCGATGTCACTTGCGTTCGTTTAATACGCGCGCCTCTGTAGTCGCGTTTATCGTCCTTACTTACGAGAACTTTGATGGAACCTGGCATAGAGAGCATTACTCCAGTCTCGTCTATATTATAGACGTTTTCCGCCAGGATTGTCGGGTCTGTTAAGACCTTTTCAATCACCTCGAACCAGTGTATAATCTTCTTATAGGTGTTTCTCTCGTGACGGTTCCAGTCTAGCGCCCTGACTCTCCTTGCTTGGAGTTCAGGATGGCGGTTTTCGAGGGCTTTGGCCCAGTTCTTGCCTGGAGGCTTGCTTGGTCTGTCCGACTCGGGTCGGTTATGGGTGACACCGAAGGCTATCCAAGGTATATGCTTCATTCGCATAGGTTGTCCAAGATCAGCCATTTGCATAAGAAACTTGACGACGGCATCTTCTTCCGAAGGGTATAGATATTGTTGGCTCACGGCCTTCTCTTCTATTGAGCGTTGTCCGTGTGCACGATCGTGGAGGGTAGAGCGAGGGACGCCGCGATGATCTGCTAGGGCACGGTATGATTTAGGTACGCCAGGAGGCACGCCTATTGCAAGTGCCTGACTGGCTCGATCGGACATCTTTGGCTTACTGTGGTCATTAGTGATGAGGATGGGATTGGCACGAGTGAGTCGTAGCCTCCAGGCGACTCCAGGCAGAACTAGGCAGCAACCAACGCGCGGCACGATGAAATAAAGGAGATGGCCGTAGAAACTTCTAGGGCTTTCTGTGGTGCGCCATATGCGCCTGATGTAATACAGTTTGATATAGTGTAAAGAAAGAAAGCTACAGAGGCGTGCAGAATTGCCTTCCGGATTTTTGCGCGCACCTCGACTTTGTCTCCGCACCAATCTGTAGTTCTTGGCACACGCTTTACCTATCTTAGCCTAGCCGCAGTAAGGAGCACCACATAGAATAACCCGCTCAATGCGGGGCTTATGTAATATGTTGGTGCAAAAAATCTGGCTCTCAGGTCCTACCGTCCATCCTTCACGCCCTATGTCAAAAATGAGCTGGCTTTCTGGCTCTCGCGCTAAACCAAAGTGGGAAATGGTTCATCCACACTATCCGGTCAGCGAAACCACCTCTGCTAAAGTACTGCTCGTAGAGCGATGGTAAAAGAGGTACACCTTGCTCGACAGCATTCAACGGAATTTTGATTTGCTCGACATGACAACGACAGAAAGAATCGATCATCTCGACAGCAGGTTAGGGCCTGATCCTAAAACACCGCCTACATCACACTGTGTCTTTCTCACTGGTGTAACTGGATTCGTCGGCGGCACTATCCTCTCTTGTCTCTCCAAGGCACATCCTAATGTTCGCGTCAAAGCTTTGATCCGTCAGGAAGGGGATGCCAAAGAACTTCAATCGGTCTATTCAAATCTCACTCCCATCATCGGCGATCTCTCTTCGCTTTCTCTCCTCACATCCACAGCAGCGGAGGCCGACTTCGTCATCCACATGGGAGGTGACAATGTCCCCGCCGTGTGCGCGATGATAGATGGGTTGGCATCCCGCACCACCACTGGATCGCCCCTGCCACGTCTCATCAGCCTAACCGGCCCGCGCAGTCTTATCGACCTCTCGAACCCCATCACTGGGAATCTCAGGGCGAGCAGCCGTCCCTGGAGCGATGTCACCGACGGGCATGCAATACTGGCCCTTCCTAAGGATCGGATGCACGCGGGCGCGGATCAAACGATCATCGCTCACAGTGTTGCCAAAGGGGTGGGCACAATACTAGTCTCGCCCGGTCAACTGTGGGGCAGGGGTAAGGGCCATCTGAAGAAGGAGAGCAATGCGGCGTTTTATTATACAACGGTCAAGAGCCGTGGACGAGCCTTTGTCATCGGCGATGGTACCGCAACATGGTCGTGGACTTCCATTGGTGATTTGGGTGATGCGGTCGTGTTCCTGATGGAACAGGCACTAATGAGTGGGAGCGAAAGACGCGGACGAGTGGGAGTCAATCAAGACGGCTACTACTTTGTGCGCACTGGAGACTTGAGTATGATGGAAAGGGCGAAAGCTGTCAGTGAGCGCTTAGGTCTCGGAGTAGTAGAAAGCATTCCGGTCGGGACCGCAAAAGAAATTCATCCGTTTGGCCCTATCATGTGGGGTTGTGGTGAAAGAACGAGAGCTGACAAGCTGGCTAAGTTGGGTTGGAGGCCGAAAGAGACTGATTGGAGAGTTTTGATGGAAGGAGAAGGGGGAGAGAGGGCATAGGGGTAGTACTGTAGCAAGACGAGAATACTAGAATCTCTAATTTACCGTCTAAGTGGGTGGTAGAGGGTTTGTGGTATGCGGTGCTCCTTACTGCGCCTAGGCTAAGATAGGCAAAGCGAGCACGTAGACTTATAGGTCTGTGCAAGAACAAAGTCAAGGTGCGTGCGAATAACCGGAAGGCGATTCTGCACGCTTCTGTAATGCAAGCCAAGACACGCTGATGAGGGAATAAAGCATTCCGCGTGTTAGGGGCTTTCGAGCCGCCCTGGTTTCCTCCGGCGAAACTCCCGGGTTCACTACCTCTGGTCAAAATGGGCTTTCAAGCCTTAGAACCATATTTTGGCCTAGTAGTGCTTTCCTTCTGGTACTCCGAAAGTCGAAGAAACTCCTATAGTCGTGATTAAACAGGGGTGAACCGTCGAAGCGGCGATCGATGGCGCCAACGAAACGATCGACAGCATGACCAACAGTTGCGGTGATTCCGGTTTCAAAGGGTTTTCTGGAGGAGAAATGACTACAGATCAGTAATATATCAGTAATATGTCGATAAACTCGCGAGGGAGAGACCTTAGAGTTCGAACCTGTGAACTCGTCCGTTTACGGCGTGCGTCCGGCGACCCAGGGAGACACATTAGTAGCTTTGTAGCTTCAAGATACCTTCTTTTGTCAAAGAACTATAAATAAAATACTCCGAGCTTTGAAACTCTGTAGAATTCTAGGGTGCAGCAGGGGTGTAAAGCGATTGCCGATCTGGATGCTCTGGAAGTAATAATCAATAGCAATGTCAAGAGAGTGTAATTTTCTGGCTGCACGCTCGTTTCTTGATGAAAAATGCCTAAAAAATAATATTAGGCTACTTATAGGTCGATAGAGTCGCGGGATAGAGCGTAAGATATTGAATAATAAAATTTGTTGCGGCACGGGGGTTGTTGCGCCACGCATGGACGGACATTACTGGAAATTATACTCTGAAGGACAGTGAACGAAAGCTTTATGCTGTGCCCATTGAAGGTTAGCGCGAGGGTCCGTTGGCCTGTGCAAGTCCACTCCTCTTTTACATCTCCGAGAGCATAGCTCCCTTTCATCTCACGCCTGACACAAATTTATCGCCGAAAGATACATCCAACATAAAAAATTGTTTCAAACCTCTCGACACGGTCCTGGAGGCAGTAAGTACATACGACAGCGTTAGGCACGCGAAGTCTTGGTGGCCGGCCTTGCGACAATCAGACAAAGGTAGTCACAGAAACAATAGCATGCAAGCCAGAATACTGGTAGGTACCCGACTATGTATGTAATGGACGGGCTGTCTTTATCTCAAGCCTGTAACTACCACTTCTTTAACCTCTTGTTCCTCTGTACCAATGTCGAGAACAATGGCAACAAAGAAAGACCACATTTCTTTCATCGTTGAAACAATAACGAATATGGCAGAACTGCTATTACCGCAGGGAACAAAGGTGGCCAAGGTATACCAGACATATGCCAAACTTGATGTCACCATCAAATCTAACGTTCGTTCATTATCCGTATTCTCTCATTCAACTAGATTGTTCCAACCCCAAGCCGACACCTTCAGATAGCAGAACGATACCTTGAATAAGGTCGGCAATGTCGTGACCATAGTTAGGGTGTATTGTGTTGAGGTGTGAAGGTCGTCGCGCGCCGCCGTTTGCCCAAATCTTCACCACCCTCAACGCGCTAGACCGCATCGGGATATACAATAGGTATTGTACTCTGATCGCGCAAATAGCCATTGATTCGCGAACAAAGAAGGAAGTATAACAAACATGATCTTGCTTCATAAGGTATCTTTCGCCTTCATTCCTTGTCTAAAGAATCACTTAAGATCAAATCTTGCTTCACTGCCTGTTCACGACTGCCAAAAAGTCTACACCGATAGTCCACAACCGGAAACAGCTTTGCTCCAGGACGACGCTCTATCTGCTTCAGCGTAATGGCTTTCAAAAAGGCCAAAAGACCATCGCCAGACACACTCGTCAGTCGAGGCCTTCCTCGGCTGCCCAATGAGCTCAGATGGGATGTTGCCAATTTCAACGAATTAACCGTTTCGGAGATTCGACGTGAACTGAGAAGATGCCGTATCAATATACCGGTGAGAAGAAGAGCAAACAACACGAGGATAAAAGATCTCAAGCAAGATCTGGTTAGGCTTCTTGAGGAGCACTACAATAACCTGGATCCTGCCCGAGAGGTCTACATCACACCGCTCTTAGTCTACCTCATTGCGAATAGGAGGTCGCAGAGACGTCTCCCGGCCACCGATGGATTGGCACTTCGTCGCTTGATCGAAAGAGATGGATTATTTAGCGACAGGGATTTAACAACCATCCAAGAATCATTTGATGCCTCAAAGGGAAGCAACGATTGCGACAGCTGGTACGAATTTATCGAAGGCCTTTTCGATATGGCCCAGAACGAGTGCGAGGGCTGGGAGAAAAAATACGTCCTCATTTCGAATAACCCGGGGACCTATTGGGAGCGAAATACAAGCCGGAGAGCTGGTTTGAAACCCAATATTGGGACACTGGAACGAATGTGGTCTACTTATCGAGGAACAATGACAGGGTTCTTAGGGCCAGGAGGCACTCGAAACCGTGAATTCCGCCAACATGACGCAGGGGGAAACGGCGAATGCCTCTGGCGTGCATTTGCCCATGCATACTGGGGTAATGCAGACCTCTGGCAACGTGTCCAGTACGATGCTGCGGTCGTACTCAATTACGGTCGTAGGGGCCGTGGTAATGGGCACGTGGAAAATTTCGACAGGGACTACAAGAGAGCCAACTCGGTCAGCCAACGGAGACGGGAATTATACGACGATCTAGTTGAGGAGAGTGGGGATCTTGAGGACCAAATCTTTGGAAATGAGTGGGGCACGGAGCATGCCTTACAACTCATCGCAGACGCTTACGGCGTGCAGATATTTGCACACGTTCCGACCCATGATACAAACAGTGAATCAATGACTTGGGGGGTTCAGATAAACGGAGACAATGATCCACCTCGCGGACAGATCCATCTCATAAACTGGTCGCAATATCAACATTGGACAGCTCTGATGCCACTCAGACCAGATGAAACCGCGGGAAGAGCCGAACACTATCCGGATGCATGCTCGTTTGCTGTGCTTCACGTTCACGCTAGTATTGAACCTCTAGAGCGTGTTCCTCCAGGCCATCAGGACCGTGTGCTTGCAGCACGCGGCGCGCCCGTAGACATAGCCTTTTCAACCCGTACGCCTGCGGACTCCGAAGCAAACTATCGGATTCGCGCACCCAATGTGCAAGGAGCAAACCAAGGCCTTCCAAGAAAGTCAACCAAAGGCTCCAAGCGCCCCAACGACGGCGACCCTCCCGGCCCATCTTCGTCAAGCAAGAAACAGAAAGCAACTTAACCCCCAAAGAAGACACCAGCACGCCAAGTCTTTTTCTGAGGAGGCAAGTATAACTGTCTTATTCGTTTGTATCCATCTCTTGTAACTTCCTGTTTTATCATGTATGCGTCTATTTAATATCAGCTTTTTCCACATTATGAAATAATACCGCTATGACTTGCACTTGTGACAATTGGATTTTTATGCCGAGAGCGTGATATCATATCTTAAGGTTTCAATTTTGTAGTAGTGAAATTTAACCTCCTTGCGGTGTAAAACGTAGGAAAGTATACCGAAAGCGTGGATTAGATACCGAGAATCATGCGAGCGAAAACGTCCCTCTGATATGGTGTCGTCGTGCCTGACCTGCCGAACTGGACGGTTCGTTCTGCAATATTGCTTCATGGGTGGTACTGTCAGATATGCATCAAGGAGCTATACAAATCACGGACACAATGTCAAGAGCTCGAGGCTCTAAATGAAGAGGCTTCGGCAGTAGTTTGGACGTAGTATATAGTACTAGGTCATAAGTTCGGGCACACGGATATATCACTACTCCAGCTCCGCTCCTGCTCTATCGACACCACTGTGAGAAGAACCCCAGCTAGCAGGTATGAGCTTTGTCAAAAGGTAGTCTAATCTCCACTACATTGGCGTTTACATCGTATTTAGAAACTTAAAAGCCCATTAGGTACCCCAAGCAGTTGCAAGGAGTGCCCAAGCACATGTCTTGGTACTGTACTCTCGATATCTACACAACCCCAAGCAATCTTACAAACCCCTATAATACACGCGGCCACCTCTTGCGGCTACCTATCCTTCCCATTCCTCGCAATAGCAACGACGTTCCTCAACGTTCCAAATGGCAACACATCCGCAATTCTCTTCTTCCCTCCAAACAGCATCACAAGCCTATCCACCCCACATCCCCATCCCCCCGTCGGCGGCATCCCCCACTCCAACGCCTCGATATAGCTCTCGTCCACACACACCCCGGCGTCCGCTTTTGCGGGCTGGAAGCCTAGCTGCTGCTCGAACTTGCGGCGCTGCTCGAAGGGCGAATTCTCCTCCTCGTACGCGTTGACGTACTCGCGGCCTTTGATGAAGAGCTCGACGCGCGCGGCGACTCGTTGGTTGGTGACGGGATCGAGGAAGGATTTGGAGAGGGGCGAGAGCGCTTCCGGGTGGTGCGTTATGAAGGTTGGGGTGGCGCAGAGCGGCTCGATGTAGTGTTCTGCGAGGTCGTCGAGGAGGCGAGGGAGGGTGGGGTTGGTGGGGACGGGGAGGGAAAGAGTTTCATAGAGGGACAGTATGGCAGAGGTAGCGTCTGGGGAGGAGAGGTCGGTCAGGGGCTGACCGATGGCGGCCTCGATTGTTGGGATGAAAGGAAGGCGGTTGAAGGGGCCGGAAAAGTCGATGGTTGGTGGAGTGGTGGATGGGAACTCGCTGGCTTGGTGGGTTTGGATCATGGAGGAAATTTCACGGAAGAGGGTTTCAGTACGAAGGATGAGGTCCTCGAGGGTGGCGCCGACTTCGTAGAATTCGCAGATCGTGAATTCGGGGTTGTGAGTGGTGTCAACACCTGAAAATGTGTTAGTAAGCTAAAGGAAAGGGAAATTCATAAATTATACCTTCATTCCGGAATACTCGTCCCATTTCAAAGACCTTTTCATTGCCGGCAATGACTAGCCTCTTCAGAGACAATTCCGGCGCGATTCGAAGTCGTAATGTAGTGCCCATCATCTCCGTAGCCACAGTCTCAAACGGCCTCGCAATCGCTCCACCTGCACCAACATCAAACATGGGTGTTTCCACTTCGATAAAGTCACGGTCGGTAAGGAATGTCCGAAGTAGCTGATATATACGACTGCGTAATCTGAAGATATCTCCAGATTGTCGATTGACTAATTGCCGAACGTGTGGATGTCTCGAGAGAGTCTCGAAGTCCTCGAGGGTTTCAGGAATCGAGTGCAGTGACGGCGCCAATGATTTAGGAAGCTCGGTTGCAACTAGTGAAAGTTCTCCGCTCGACGTCCTTTTGGGGTAGCCAGTGATAGCTGCGAATTGTTAGAAAAATTGATGACAGGAGAAGTGTGAAAGGTAACTTACAGAACCAGTCTCCCTTCCTCACGATCTTCTTGAACTGCTTGAAGTCCTCTAGGCTTACACCGTGCTCGGACAGAACACCAAAATCGCACATGCCCTGAAACTTTCCAGTCTGGCGCTCGATATCGAGGAAGACTAGCTTATTTCCTGCTGTGCGGCGCGACCGTACCCTTCCTAGAGCCGTCAGTTCGTGATTCTGAATGTCCGACAGCATGATGATGTACCAAACATCTCCACCGATTCGTTCAGCAGCTTGTCTCCAGCTTCAATGCCCTCATATTTGGCAAGAAACGTGGCGACAGAGTGCCGCTGCGCCGCGGAATGATCCGTCAGACGAGGATGGTATCCCTTCAAATCTCCCGCCTTTTTAAGCTCTGCCAACCGCTTCTCCGCATCATGACTGGATGATGGCGAGTATGTAACCTCAGAAGCATCATGAGCGAACCGGCGTTGAATAGCACAACAAATTCTCGTGTGGTCCGGATTCGAGATCGGCTTGACGTTTCGCGAGAGGTACGGTCGGAGGAACCGACAAGCGTTCCTGCTCATACTTTCTTTCATCAGCTTCAGTACACTCAAAAGATACGACAGAGTAAGTAAAAAGACAAGAGAGGCAATCAGCGGTACAGTAGTTATGATCAAGCGAGTGAAAAAAAATCACCCGTCATTCGCAACGGTTCTAATGTTATGGTGTAAATTCATCATAAAGCGCCCCATTCAACAGAGAAATGAGAGATTCATACCATACCTGTTCCCGATCAGTTGCGTGCGCTGCTCATGGCATTGATGCTGTAATGTAGCAGTTGAAGAACTTAGGTGCGGTCCAATTCCCACCGCCGAAATTCTCGGCACGTGACTGTGGCCCAAGCTCCAAATTTCTCCCATCCATTGAAGTACCTTTTGCGATCAATCGAGCAGACAACAACCGCATCCCATCTACCCATCACCACTCACAACCCACCCAATCTACAATCCCAAAAAGCTTATCAAAATGTCCTTCCTCTTCGGCGGCCGCCCCCAAATCTCCTCGGAGGCAAAGATCGCGCAAGCAGAGGCGGAAATCGACATGGTATCCGATATGTTCTCGCGGTATGCCCCCCCTCCTACCCCCCTTTCAACCCCCCCTTTCCATACCAACCTCTCCGCCCATACTGACTGTCGATGTGTCTAGCCTCGTCAACTCCTGCTCCAAAAAATGCCTGGACCGCGACTACCGCGAACCGGACCTCAACAAAGGCGAGTCCGTGTGCCTCGACCGCTGCGTGTCCAAGTTCTTCGAGGTCAACGTCAAGGTCTCGGAGAAAATGCAGGGGGAGGCGAGTGCGAATGCGGCGGGGGGGTCGCCGTTTGGGATATAGACTGCTCTGCGGACGTTGCGTGTACATTCGGGATATTGAGGGTCGGAAGGGTGTGAAGATTGAGGAGCGCAAGAGCCTGAGGCCTGAGGCAACTGGAAGCGGGGCGGGGAGTGGAAGAGTGGGAGAGAGGTTGGATGCGCTGTATGCGGATACCGGGAGGGATTGGGACGGGAACTCTGCTCTGCTTGTACTGGGAGTTATGGGATGTGCAAAATTAAGGAAATGAGGGATGTCGGGCCTGGCTGGCTACGACGACCAGTGTGGGATGGAAATGGATCGGGTCATGCCTGAATGTATAATATTAGGGAGCACTGATGAGCTCCCACAGTCAATTGGAGACTTTTCTCTGCGTCACATCTCTAGCATCTGCGATCTGAGCTCTTGTATGACCGTTCAATTTCTAGGTTCACGTTACTCCATACCAGGTTCCTTCACTTTCTCTCATATATCATAAGTCACGTGAGACCATATCTCAATTTAGAAATGCACATAATCCCAATTTACTGAAGTGTAAAATAACGTTGTATTATGAATCCATCGTTCCCCATAATCCAAGAGCAGTATGTGCCCAGGGTATCTCGTACAATATCGAAACCGTAATAAACCCGTAGCCGACCCTATAACAATTTCAAACGGGGCTGGTTCGTAGATTTCCGCTATCCAGCAGATCTTGCGCCATCCTGCCCAACCCGACTCAAGTCCGTGAAGCCATTATCCATTCAAACAAAACAATACGGCCGTCCAAATGAGACAAAGCTTTTGGAACAGTAAAATATTAAAGTGGTGAAATGAAGCTCTCCTGTGTAACCAGTGTAGAAGAGTACGAGAAAGAAGAAAGCGGAACTATGTTCATGTCTGAATCGCCATTGCCCGCGTATGGCTACTTGGGTGCGCTGAGGCAAATGCTGAGTAGTCGGGAGGTCCATCACCGCCAGCCATCGTGGAGAGTTGTGCAGGGGCAACGCTGCGAGGCGTCCACATCTCGTTTGCGTCTTGGATGGCTAGGCTCTCAGCGCGCGTCTCCCGTATACGTGCAGCACCGCTCTCAGAGGTGTCGGCTGCAATCTGAATGGGTACCTTGACGGTCATGCTAGGGTCGCCGATGCCGGGGGCGTGCACAGAGAGGCTCAGGTTCAGGGAGTAGACGCGCGAGATGAGACAGGAGTGGAACGTTGGGACGAAGCTCTTGTTTTCTGGGAGGGTGATGGGGACTAGAAGCGTGGCGGTGTAGAATGACTTCCCCTTGTAGTTCTTGGTGGCGTTTGCGGTAGAGTAGGTATGAGTATTGGTGTGCGGTAAGCTGCTAGAGCTATTGCGTCCCTGCTCGGAGCAGTCAGATGAAACACCAGAGTCACGGCGCGCCAAGGCGAGCGAGGCTTCCGATTCGTGGCGGTGCCATTGTGCGGAAGCGACACACATCTTGGACAAGTCGAGCATTTCCGAGTAGAAGCCGGACATGAGGTCAAATTCATTTGTAGACCGGTTGGGAAAGTTCATGCGGGGTGTGCTTGCGAAGAAGGTCGTGACCTTTATCTTAGAGTTGAGGGAGCCGAACCGTGGTGGCTGCGCAGACTCGTCGGCGGGATCGAATCGAAGTAGTATCTTGGTCATCGTTGAGAGTGTGGTGCCTGATGGCGATCGCGCACCTGGGATGACCAAACTCTTGGGTTGCGAGCTCTCCATCACCAACGTTCCTAGCTTGCCCTTGAACAGGCCCTTGCGGATGACCCTCTCTTGCCGGAGACGGTACTCCTTGTCCCTGGAGTCGACGTTGATTGGTGGCTGCACCTCAAAAGCGGGCTTGACCCGGACCTTTCTCATCTTTTCCCCGAGGGTGAGGATGGTAGAGTCGACATCCCGAAACTGGGTGACCTTGACCTTGATACCGTACGTGATGCGGGACATGTCCGGAGCCAAATCGTCCAACAACATACCATTGAAGCCTGCCAACTCTGGGTCGCCCAGGCTCGGCGGCAGCTCGAGATGCCTCTGGTGTACATGGATGCTGTCGGTCCTGTGGGTGCATGCTCGCGGTAGTAATTGTTCGGGTACAACGAAAGTAAAGGGAAACGTCTGTGTCTGGCCGGCATAGAGAATTCTCGGTTGTGGCATGAGCGAATGGTCAAGCGGCATCACCAGCTTGAGGAACCGATGTGTTGCCTCTGACCGGCCCGAGATGGTCGGGGTACTTGTTAGCCGGTCAACGTGAGTCTTCGCAACACCTATTAGAGCTTGTCAGTCATGTGGTTGATTGGTGGTGCGATGAGGAGATATGGAAATATAGCCACCCACCAATGAAAGCAATCTCGATCTCATCAAATCGCGTGTCGTTACCGGTAGTAATCGAGACAGTGCCTTGGATGCGATCCATGGTCGAGTAACTCGTGACGTATGAAGCCCGAGCAGCGCCACTCGTTTCGGCACCGTCGAGCTGGATGTTGATGGCGGGCCGGCCAAGCTGCGCCAGGCTGCGAACTTTGTAGCCGATCTGACTCCCGATCGAGTTCATTGAGTACGAGGTCGAGGCCGCCATTAGGGATGCGGTATGGGACATGTTGGATAGAGATATAGAGACAAATGCGGGGACAAAGAAAGCGGAGGTGCGACGCGAGATAAGACGGGGCCTAATGCGGTGGAAACCCGGGGATCACTGGAACCTCATCCACAAATACAGGGCGGACACTAACGGGAGGATTGCTGCGCGTTGCTGTGGACGTGGCCGTGGTGTTTTGAAAGAAATATGGGCACGGTGAGCGGGGCCAGGGGCTTATTATATCCCCGGGTTCTGGGAACATGGTATGGCAGCGCCTTGGGGCCTGGATTTGAGTCATCTCCTGCGCGTCTTGGCCGTGACTTGGGCTTGCTGGAGATCGACAGAGGATGTGTGAGGATGCTTTGGAACATCCGGGGGGGGGGGTGCGTAAACTGCCATGCACACGGTCATGCGTCAGGCTCGGGTAGGGGCACGCAGAATAGGCGGGATGCCTGGTATGGCACCGACTTACGCCCAAGACAGCGACCCACCGGTAAACTGCAGGCCCGCAATATGCACTATCACACGCTACGGGATGTCAGGATGCGTGCAGGTTACGAGCTCCGGCGCTCACCAATCCACTCGCGCCCTTTAACTGCATGCAGCGAGCATGTCAAGTTGAAAGGCGTGCCGCGTTCGGCATCACGCAGCCCCCCCGTTCTGGCGCAGAGCTCCCTGGATGTTGACGCCTGATACAGGCACCCAGGCGCAAGTTGGGACGCCCTCGCAGCTGGGCCTCTGCAGCACGCCCCACCTAATCCACCTCACTGGTCCCTAAGAGCAGTTTCAGCCCTAAGTGTTTGTCACGCCCGTGGCGGTGGCCGTGTACGTTAAGTATACACGCCCACAGCTCCACCAAGTGGATATCAATAGTTTCACGTCGCATCGCCGCCACTTTAACGGCATCGCGCGCGCAAGACGCGACTCGAGGCAATGTGACTGTGCCGTGCCGGCGCTGGCCAAGGGAAAATTTGCGCATTCTAGTATCGAGGACTCACTTCGACGCCGCATGCTTCGCCGAAGAATTTTCCCAAGGGAGCATCAGCGAACCAATGCAAGCCACACGCGCACGCTGTGTATGAGCTAAGGCGGGAGCAGCTTTCGCACTAGGGAACAGGGAAACAGGCGTGCGCATTGGGATAACTGTCGTACCACCCACCCGGTGCTGCTTAGGGCCTGTTCTGTATCTCCGGCATTGTGAGACGTCGAATACAAACCGCAGACTCGCCCATGGTTCTAGTTGCCAGCTGCCTGTCTCGTCGAACTGACGGTTGACGTCTGGGAGAATTGTGGCCCCCAGCCCTCCGCATAACTTTGTTTAGTGGACCGATACCGGCGTTGGGCCCAGAAATTCCACTCCGACCGATGCCTGCATTCCGAAGCAGCAGTCCGACGATCGACTCTATCCGACGGCGAGGGAATTCAACCCCGAAACTAAACTAGCCGGCCGGCGCTGCTGTGTGACTCTTCTAAACCGGTTTCCAGAAGTTCGAGAAGACTTGTCTGACTGCAGCGGCAGGGTTTCGGGTAACTATTACTAAAGTTGCGCATGTGGTGTTGTGTCGCCGTGAGCGTTTGTCATCCATCAGCTTCAGGGTGAAATGCCAAGCGAGTAGTTCAGCCACAGCGCCCTTCTCGCATTCAATCCGACGACATGCATGTCCCTATAGGGCGTACTAATTACTGCCTCGATGGCTTGAAATGACTGGTCATATTAATGCGCGCAAATATCTCCGTTTGATTGGAAATCCAGAAATAGTGGTGTGCCTCAAATGCCGGTAGTTGGTTGGAGTGGCATCAGATTCCACATGGGCTCATAACAGTTCATCTTATTCAAGAGAATATTAGGTAAACAGTTCATTCTCAGGGATCGTTGTACATGTACCAACAGCTCTCCAATGAATTCAGCTCATCACCTTCCTCATTGATATTCCTTCGATTGCGTGCTAAGCAAGTAGTTCATCCTCATCGACCAGTGTAGGCTTGGACTCCTGAGCTGTCGTACACACACCTGTCCTATCAACATGACTCGTGCCCCTTACACGTCAATCGCCATTCTCTTCGCCTTCTTCTCCAAGGCAGCCATGCCACCCTTCTCGTAGATCTTCAGCTCCGGACTCCCTGCACAGGGCGGTGCTGAGAACTTGGTCTCCACAAACACCTTCTGCATACCATCCTCTTTCTTCTCGAACTTGTAGTAGACAGTATCAATCTCCTCGAGCCTGACACGATGCGACAGCATCTTCATCGGGTCGATGTCGCCGGACTGGATGAGCTCAAGAAGCTGCTCCCAGTATAGTTGGACGGGCGCTTGTCCGTTGCCTATGAGGCGGATGCCGCGCTCCATCAGGGCACCGATGTTGAAATGGTTGGTCTAGATATGCAAATGTAAGTACGTGACGTGTAGAAACTGTAGATTGGAGGTTGAAAAATAGGAGCAAACCTACGAATCCGACATAGACTCCAGTAATGCCACACTTTCCAAAGTTCCTCACACTCGTGATCATCTCGTTGACAATCTCGCTCGTATCCGTCTCCATCCCCAGCATGAGCTCAAAGTAATGCGCCCACCCCTTCGCATACTCACCAGCCACACACTCAAGCGCGACATCCGGTCCCCTACCATCACACATCTCCTTCAACTTACTCGTAACACTCTCCCCCTTCTTCAGCGCCGAATAATCCAGCACCTCCACCTTCGGATTCTGCTTCTGGATAAACCCCAACCGCCAATTCTGATCCACCACAATCACCCTCGCCGCGCCATGATAAAACGCAAAATCCGCACACATCTGCCCAATCGGCCCCCCGCCCCAAATCGCCACCACGTCCCCCTTCTCGACGCCTGTATCTACTACGCAGTTCCAGCTCGTCGCCAGCACATCGCTCAAATACAGCGCCTTCTCATCCGGCACCGCGTCGGGGATCTTCAGCAAATTCACCTCCCCAAACGGTACCCGCACGTACTCGGCCTGGCCCCCCGCGAACCCCCCCGTGAAGTGCGAGTACCCAAACATGCCCGCCGTGCGGCCCCCGTACATCGCGTTCTCCAGCGTATTCGCGTTGGTGCGCTCGCACTGCGAAGACAGCTTCTTCTTGCAGTAGTAGCACTCGCCGCACGCGATCTGGAAGCTCGCGACCACGCGCTCCCCGACGCTGACTTTGCTGACCGCGGAGCCGACGCTGTCGACCACGCCGCAGAACTCGTGGCCCAGGATGTCGCCCTTCTGCATCTCGACGATGGTGCCGTGCAGTAGGTGCAGGTCGGAGCCGCACACGGTGCTGCCGGTGACCTTGAGGATCACGTCGGTGGGCTCGATGAGGCGCGGCTTGTTGGTCTCGACCACGGCGACCGAGTTCTTGCCCAGCCAGGCCAGGGCCTTCATCGTCTCGCCCGAGGAGTCGGCGTAGGCGGGGGAGTTGGCCGGGTTGGTGTTGTCTTGTTCGGTGATGGCGTTGGTGTCGTGGCCGAGGGCCTGCTCGGCCTTGTAGGCGGCTTGGGACATGGCCATGGTGACGGGATGAGAGATTGAAAGGAGTTTAGAGGCGTATGGGTGTGGGTAAGAGTGTACGAGCTGAGCAAAGAGCACGAGAAGTTGAGGTTATGTAGAGATAGCTCAATCACTATCGCGGAAAAGTTACAGGGAAAAAGATGATCAATCGATCCTACGTCTTTGATATAGAAAAGATATCCCGAAGAAACGCGTCGTTCATCATCCCTCCGTCACTCGCGCAACCACGTTTCTCTGATGTCATGACTGGCTGGAAGGGATGCGGAGACCCCACTGATTTGCCCATGGCCTGTAGATGGGACTTTGCTATTGCCATCTGCCGGCGCGGCCGCTCATTCTGGTATGGGTTTCCTGGTCGTCCGCGGACGATGCCGCTTGTGGGAGATGGGGTTCAGAACGGTTGACGTCAGTGAGACGCCGTCACGTGATACTTCTCTGTGCCACACTCATGTGGCTTCTTTGTGGCGTCTCAAGAGATGCTTAATTTAAGAGCATAATAGATACGAATAGCCCTAGTGCCTCGAGGCAGGTCATAAATAGCAAAAGCTGATAAGATGGTAAAATGGGGTTTCCCTTAACCCGACACACGCTCTGCACCAGCAGCCGCCCGTCGGCCTCCTTCTCGAGCCCCGTCTGACAGTATCACGAAGCGCCAGGAACATGTCAGCAGATGGCTCAATGCGGCACAGCCATCTGCCCCCTACCTCACTGGCCAAGAAGAGACGTTGCAGGATGATATTCATATTCAATTGAGTTGACCCATCGATACAATCCCATACACAGAGGCTCATGCCGTGACGCTGCTCTTCGCTGAAAGACCCGAGATAAAAATATAATGTAGCATACACCAGCCTACAAAAATCCGTGTAGCTGTAGAAAATGAGATAAAACGCCTTTGCTTTGCCTCGCTCTAGTCTTGATTCCATTCGTCTGAATCATCTCGTCTCTTCTTACTGGAGAACTCATTCGTACACCAAGCGCCACATCGGAAAAGTACAGCCCAGACGTAATAGATAGCTCAGAAATGCTCCTTCCAGAACTTGAAGTTGACCTCCTGACACGTCGCCGATTTACACGCTTTCTTGATATCCCTCGCCGCAACACTAGGCCCGCAGAAGTAGACTCCAACGTCTGTCCGTAGCGAGCTCTCAAGCCCATTCATGTAGCTGCGGTCCATGATGCCGTCACGCATGCCACAGAGCAGACGCGAGAAGTTAGGCCGGCCGAAGTTGGTCCGGCTGCTCAGCTCTGTTAGCGGATCCTTATCCGTGCCGACCGAGTTGAGGACGATGTTGTTGGCCGTGTTGACGTCGATGCGCTGGGTGAGGTAGGTGTGAATACGGAGGAAGTCGGCGCCCTCAGCACCACCGTTGGGTGAGCCCATGGACTGTGATTCGAGGGAAGAAAGAAGCGCTTGGAACCATTCGAACGAGCTGGTGTCCTTGCAGACCCAGATGAATTCGACACGGCGGAGGCGCTTGGGCGGGTTGGGAGAAAGGCGGAGATGCCAGATATTCTTTAGGATGGCAGCCCAGGGCGTGACGCCGATACCAGTGCCTATTAGCACGGCGATTTCGTTCTCGAAGACGTCTTCAGCGGGTGCACCGTAGGGGCCGTCGATACGTAGTCTTGGCATCTTCTGGCCATGCTGTAGCGCAACTTCGTACATTCCCATGGGATCCAGTTCGTCATACAGCTTCGATTGCGATTGGCCGGCTCCGAGGGAATCCGCAAGTGCGCGGGTAAAGTCTCCAACCTGTCGTACGTGTACACTGACGTACGCATCGAAGGGACATGAGGTGATGGTGAATGGATGCCACTGGTTGTATGACACGTCCGGACAGTTTAGGAAAAGCCATTGTCCTGGCTTGTACTTCATCGATGGTTTCGTGAACTGGATTTCCACAGCGTCTTGGAAAATTAGCGATGCCAGTTGAGTGTGATATAGAGTACAAACCATAAGGATGACGAACGACCTTGACAATCTGAGTCTCTCTTCTAGCACGAATCTCGCGGTAGAGACGTTCGATGAGGTACAATCCGCCGCCAACAAGTTCCCATCGCCATCCCTCGTAGCCAATGCAATGGTTCCAGAAACCGGCACCGGCGAAGGGTGAGTAAGGGTTAACACTATCGCGCACGAAGCAGCCAGTGGCGTGAGTGTACATGCCCAACAGGAATGGGATGAAAAGATGATGGGTGTACCAGAAAGTCTCGAAAGATTGCTGGCGTATCCTGTGATGAGCGGTGGTGTACATTAGCATCATGCAGAGAAGCATGATATGGCCTGTAATACCACCCGCTTGGGTGTAATGAATCTGCACCGCGGTTTCTGGGCGTACTTGTGTCTTCTCGACATTGAAGAAGCTGCCTGAATTAGCCTGGACCCTGAAATTCAAAGAAATGGGAATATACTTGACGTAATGAGCACCGGTATGAACGATGGTGAAGAACAGCATCGCGTAGGCGACCTGTCGATGAAACCATTGAGATTCGTCCAATGGCAACCACCTAGCCTTCGGTCGAATCCACCTGAGGATGTTCCTGCACATGGGCAGAAGGATCAACAAGACATCTATCGACAACACCAATCCCGCTCCTCGAGAGATCCACACTGAGAATTTGAGGCCATTTAGTGCTGCTAGCCGATTATCACCGGCTTGTTTCCACCTTTGTAGGATTAGCAATAGGACAAAGATTGGAGAGAGAAAGCTAGACATACCATCCATATGCAAACATGCCCCAGTGGAAGCCCCAGAACAGGATATAGAAAAGGCTCTTTTTGATGGTGAACCATCTCTTCAGTGACGCTACTGTAATCATGGTTGCGGTCTTGCTTGAGCAAGTGACGATGAACAAAAGTCGAGATGAAAGGTGGGTAAGATGCTGCTGTGGGACCAAACCCCGAACGCACGACCACCGGTCAGAGGAAGATGGCGATTAGAATATTAGAGCAAGTAGATCGTACGAAGAGCGCCCTGCACCGGAAAGAAAGTAAAGTCTCGGTTCAACCCGGCCAGCCAGATAATGAAAAGAAGGAATGGAAGTGTCGAAGAGACAAGAAGGATTGCGGTGAATTGATCGTACCACAGGGGCGGAGTGGGTTAATGAGGACAAGCTTTGACTAGATCGAATCGAGTTTCCTGGCGTCTGGTGGAACTCACACGACCCGAGCGTGATTTAGGCGGGCAGGCAGTAGGTTGATGAAACCGAGGCAGGCCGTGAACAGGTCGTAGGCAGAGTGGCTCAAACTGGTAGCCTGAGATGCTCTCGTATAGAGCGAGGTGCCAAGGCAGATGGCAATTATTGCCTGCCGAAAAGATGGGGACGGGAGGGGTTCAAGCAATGCTGAGGCGATGATCCTTCCTTGGGGGGTAATATGGGAGAACGGAGGGAGACAAATGCGTTCGGTGAGCGGTGTCGGACAAGCGTCTCAAGTGTGCAACGTGCGCCGGTTGAGCATCTTAGATTCTGATACCGGTGCGTAGGGCTGCTTTTAGCTACGCTTGGACGGCGATCTGCGGACGGTTCCTGCGTAGCTGGTTTCTTAAACAGCGATGAGACTTTGATAAGATAGAGCGCGTACTAATGCCGCGCGTGGGAGTGGCGAGGCTGCGGCGCGGACGGTGGAGTGGAAGTTGAGGACGTATGGAGCAGCTCTAAGTTGATTCTGATGACACAGAGCCGCCGACTTCAATCCGATGACAGTAGAGAGGCAGTGCAAGCTCCTTGTGAGGGCAAAGTCGACGATGCGGTTCCGAGGCGGTTGCAGCAGGTGGATGCCGAATTGGGGTTGGAGACGCCGGAATCTGATACGCAGGGGGCTTCCAAACACAGCACGTTTGGGCCAACGGAGTCGCGACAGCACAGCACAGAGGCAGGGGAAGGAGGTGAGTTGTTCTGTCAACGGGTGCAATTGCGAGAGGCGGGAAGGACGAGGTGAAGTGAGTGCCCAGGTGTGTTGGGAGGTGACGGGCGTGGGGAAAGCTTGTGACGCCTTCAGCAACGTTCAACGATGTGGTGGAGAGGTGGCTCCTCACGGGCAAGCGAGGGTTCAAAAGACCCCGGGGGATTCCCGTCGCATCTGTACGGTACGGAACTTAATCACGCTGCTGGGCTCGATTAGGGCTGGCAGGCCGCCGCTGGCGTGGTGCAAGAGGGCGCCAGTGGTGCGCGGAGAACAGCGAGGGACAGCGAGGGACAGCGAGTCCTCTCTCGAGCTTCTCCATGCCGAGCCTCGCACGACAGGCGAGCCAATGCTTGCCGATGTCGAAGCGCTGGGGGACGAGCCGAGTGGTGCCGCCGTCGCGCAGCCCGCACTGGCGTCAGCGGAAGCTATTAATGGATTCGTTAATGTCCTGGGCCGTCAACAGAGCGGCGGCGGCGGCCATGTGCAGTCTCTCCATCGTGAAGCCGTCTGCCGGCCCGTCCGTCTAGTCCGTTTCCGTCTGCGAATGAGCGTTGAGAAGGACTGCTCGCGATTGCGGCTGTTAGGGGTTCAGAATTGCTCGTCATCAGCAAATCCAGATCCTTCACCGCTCAGACAAATAGGACTATCGAATAGTCTATCGAGTACGCTTCTTTGCCTCGAGGCTACGAGGATATTTAGACGGCGCCTGCTGAGGACAAGTCTGAGACGGAAGGCAGTGCTCTGTTCTCATAGCTTGACGTCAATCGCCTGCCAGACCGCTTCTGATCAATCTGCGGGTGACGATGGAGATATTTTCCACTCTGGATATATCGTCGGTGACAAAGCCAGCGTCGTGGGGTAGAACTAGGCGTGCTGCAGGGCACGGCTGCGAGGTGCATCACAGCGAGGGCCAGGGCGAGAAGATGTGCCCTGGTGAACTGTGCGAGCCGACAGGATTCGCACAAGGCCCGGCGAGGTTGAGGTCGTGATGGGCTCGAGTCTCGTGGCCTGCGTCTGACTCGTGTATCGATACGGTACCGAGCATATCGATTGCTGGAGGAGGCTGGGGCGGGGCCACGGCGATTCTGCATCCATTTCCCGCGTCAACGGCAGCGGGACGGGTGCCACGAGCTGACTATGGCGCTGGACTACTGCGTGTGCTGTGAAAAGAGGCGGCCCAGCCTTGCATCTGCACTGTGATTGAGGTCGGCCGCTATCAGTAGTTCTACCGACTGCCCTCTTCTCGCGCAGACTGTCGACGTGTGGCTTTCTGGCGACCACGATGTCCTGCGCCAGACTGTGCTGGTGGAGAGACACTCGACGGGGCCAGGTGGCGCCGCTCAGACAGCGGACGCCTCAAAGGTGCTTCACCAGGGCCGGCTCCAATCAGCGCCGGCTACCCCATGGCGGCTGGTGTGACAGTGCGTCTCGGTCTGTGCGACGGGAGCAGATCGCAGCGTGATTCGTCCCGAGATTTGAGGGCGGTTAAATTCATGCACCACCGCCCACGTCCTCCCTCTTTTCCTCATCCGGCGCGTGCGCCCGGCGCCGTGGGCGTCCGAGAGTGCTCGCATGAACCAAAAGCCCATCATGCCGCAATCCTTGAGACTGTACGAGTTCGACGTCTGCGACCTGACACCAGCCAGCCTCAACCCCCAAACCGCTCTCCCGCCACTTCCCAATCCTCAGTGCCGGCCCCAGTGCGCCATTGAACCTCAAAATCCCCGCAGACCCGCAGCATGCAAGCTCGACAGTCCTGGTAGCTCCGCGAAAGCAACAGTCGTTCACTCAACCACAAGAATTGCCGCCGGATCGGTCAATCGTCCTCTCGCTCTACCCCGCCAACCTCACTCCAACATACCACCATGGGCAAGCTGATCAAGAACCACTGGGCGCGCCTCATCATCCTCACCGCCGCCATCTGTACGTCCTTCTCTTCCTCATTGCTCTTAAGCTCCCATTTCAAACCTTCCGTCTCAATCTGCATGGCTCTTATACTGATATCAACCCAGACCAAGTCGCCGCCGCAATCGAAGGCTTCTTCTGGCCCAAGATCTTCTGGGACTTCCTCACCAAGAACCTCGATGGCGCCGTCAAGCCCGTCCCCGCACTCCAGATCGTAAACCTCATCCTCGGCCTCATGGGGCTCGCCTATGAATGGCCATTAAAGTTCATCGCCGGCTCCGCCGTGCACCGCTCTATCGAAGCTCGCCTGATTATCTTCCCGCTGAGCGCCTTGGCTGCCGTCCTCCAGTACCAGGCCACCAACGCCGCGCTGTACTATATGATCGGGATGGGTGTGTACTTCTGGGCATATAGTGAAGGCGAGGTAAGCTACGATTACCCCATACGAGGAAGCTAGTCGCTGATTTAGACAGATTGTGTGCGCGGAACCGTGGACATTGCCGAAGCGGGGAGCGAGGGCAAGGATGGGTGTGTAAATCGCACGGCCTCTTCCCTGCTCTTGATTCCCTAGTGTCTGATGAGCATTATGATATAGGTTTAGGGGCATAGCGTGGCGTTTTGAACATATTTCTTTGGGCATTGTACTATTTAAATCAGTATTAGTCGGGCGGCCAAATCTAATCAGTCTCGACCAACTGTGTGGCCCTCACGTTCGAGTGATGTTGTGATTCGGCTTGTAAGTGTCGCTTCAGAAGTCGACGGTGAATCGATCAATACCGGCGACGGGGCCCTTGGTCTCTTCTTTGGCTTGTATGTACGACATCACAACAGCTGTCACGATATGAAGTACGTTTAACCTCTCAGACAGTCTCAGGGATTCTTAGTTAGAGACCTTCTAGAATGTCTCGACGCATTGAATCATCTCCGATCCACTAAATCTCACTTCCCGTCCTAAATCAGTTGAGGTGCTTCCCGAGACCATCCTTCATCTCCCAACACGTGCCTCCCATCGTACTTCCTAAATCAATCTCACACCCGTTCGCAGTCTACAACGTCCTCTACCAAATGATCTAGCTCCTACGTATCACGTAGTCAAAAGTTCAAAAGAAAGAAAAGAAAGAAAAAAAATCCATCCGCCACGAGACTCGAACTCTTCACTCTCGAGTAGCAAAATAGCAAAAAACAGTTCCGCTAGGCGCCCAGCTAGCGCTGCACTTCGGCAATTTTTTCCGGCATCGCTGGGCGGCGTACTTCTGTCTCTGTAGTACATGTTAGTTCACGGAAGGGCTCAAAAATAATAGGTATATAATGATAGAGTTCTGGAGGTTGGACCCTGAATTTCGGCATCCCGAATAACGAACGCGCTCACCGCTCTGCTTGTGCTTGCTTCACCTCACCAGGCTCCGAAAGATCTTCTTCATCACCGTGCCGACGTTTTGAATTCTTGGAGTTCTACCGAACACTGATGCGAGTGCTGCATATCACCGAAGTTCTTTCACCTTTTCACTTACTTCGGCCCTTCAATCAAGATCTTGATTCCCTTCCCAGCCTTCACGTCTTTAAACGCCTCCTCGGCATCCTCGAACTTGACCTTCCCCGTGATCAACTCCTTCACGCTCACCTTCCCCGACGCCACCAAGTCGACCGCGAGCTGGTAGTCCCCACTACCGTACCTGAAGCTGCCCTTAACATTAAGCTCCTTCGTGCACATCGCCATGATCGGCCACTGGATATCCGGCTTGCCCATGCCACCCTAGTGCAAACAGCATTAGCCGGGTCCAGAATCACATCGAGGGTCTCAGGTCCTAGAGGAGAGGAGATTTCCACTCACCTGCACATACGTCCCGCCAATCCTACACGCATGCACGCTCATCTGAATACACGGCTCGGCGCCACTCGCATCGATAATCACGTCCGCGCCCGCCCCCAACCCACACTCCTCGACCAGCCGCTTCGCGCCCTCCTCCACCGTCTCCCCGGCCTTGCTCCGCCACACATCCGTCGCCGCATACCCCTTCGCGAACTTCAGCCTCTCCTCATTCACATCCACACTCACCACCTTCTTCGCGCCGAAGCTGCGCCCCACGGCCGCGCACAGCAAGCCCACGGGGCCCGCGCCAAACACGACCAAGCTATCGCCTGGCTTGACGCCGCCCTGCTTGCAGATGTGCACGGCGACAGCCGTCGGCTCGATCAGCGCACCCTCCTCCATGCTCATGCCCGCCGGCAGCTTGTAGCAGTAGTCCTCGGGCAGGACGTAGTAGCGCGCGAGCGTGCCGTCGTAGGGGGGTGTCGCGGCGAAGGCCATGTCCGGGCACAGGTTGTACTTGCCGTCCTTGCAGCGCACGCAGCGGCGGCACGGCACGCCGGGCTCCATGGCGACGCGGTCGCCCACTTTCAAGGACGTGACGTGGGCCCCGATGGCGGAGACGGTGCCGGCGGATTCGTGGCCGAGCACCATGGGCGTGTTGACGATGAAGTGGCCGATGCGGCCGTGGACCCAGTAGTGGACCTATTGTGTTGGCATAGTGGGTTAGTTGAGGGATTTAGGAGGGATGGTGGTGGCAGTGATGGGGGGGGCCTTCAAGATTGATGATACGGGAGTGGGCAGAGCTTACATCACTACCGCAGATGCCGGTCCATTGGGGCTTGACGAGGACGTCGTAGAAGGATTTGAGATCTGGGATGGGACGGTCTTCGAAGGTGACTTTGCCCTGGGAGTGGAGGATGAAAGATGGGTTCTGTGGTGTGTTAGGGACGTCATGGCCGGATATGCTCGAAAGGGGAATGCGAGGGTGGTGGGGCATGGAGGGGTAGTGGACGTACCGTTTGTGCCATGTTGGATGCTTCAGTGTTTGATTATTCTGGAATTGAGGTAGAGAGGAACGGATGAAAGAGATTCTCGAGAAAGAAAATGTGGTGGGATCCAAGATACTACAAAAGATGGCCCCACTGCGGGGAGCTCGAGATTGAATAAATGGGAAGGTAACGCGTGGATACCGCGATCAACTAGCGTCGGTGGATCTCCCGCCGCAACGGTCTGCATTTAACCGGCGCTTTAGCCGTGCCTATTTCTATGTGTCTATGCTTCTATTGGATATTCGTCGAATCGCTCATGAGCTGAGGGGAAAAAAGGAAAGGAAAAAAAGAGAGATATTATTCCTGACCAGTGTGACCTCAGATGACATTCGGAACACTCGGCCTACCAGACTCAGGTATCCGGCCCCATATCGACCACCAACACCTGACTTCGCTGCGTCCACCTTCCGAAGCCCAGTCGTCGTAGCCGCTTTCCTCACCTTCTTCTATAATGCATAGGCCTATGCTGGTCATACGTTTCTTGAAGTCGCTCAATTCTGGAATATAAGCGTCTCGAAATGGGAATTCGACGATTACTCTGGCAGTACTCTCAGGCGAAAGCCATGTATCAATTGTCTGTACTAGCAATCTAGGGTGCTCCGGTGAGTAGAGTGAGTCTGCTGCGAGCATGACAGGATACTTGGGAGGCGACCCATTCTGAGTAGTATTACTCGCATCGTCAACTTGGCCCAGAACACCTGGATAGGACTGGCACGTGAGTGGCTCCGACCAGTCGAGAGCAGCACACTCCAGCGAACCCCCACATTGCTCGATGGCAATGCGATTGTCCTCCACGTTTCTTGCCAGGTTTGGCGTAATCTCAGCCAGGTCAGTGAGGAGCACGGAGGAACCGAACACTGCTGCAGCTGCGATCCCGACTAGGCCCGTTCCTGATCCAAGTTCGAGCATGCGGGGTGGCCTTTTATCTTTGCTTTGCGGCAGCTTGATCGTATGAAGGCGTTTAGACAGCATATACGAAGCAGCCCATGTCTTCAAGCCAAGATTATCCTCCGTCATAGCTGGTTCATGGATCGTAATATCCACGCGTCCTGACTTCATGAGAATTCGGAACTTGCGAGACATGGCCGGCATAGCAGATCTCCCAGAGCGCTCACCCAACCGCAGGCTAGCTTGTTCCCAGATCTCTTCCTTCATGTTGTCATCTTGTATCCATGCTAGATCGTTGCCGATGATACTTGTTAGGTACCTCGTCAGTCCCTCTGGGTTTACTTGGACGGGCCTCGGCTTCGTCGCTGCGCTCGCCCGTCGTTTGTTCAGTCCTACGGACATGTCATATTCTTCTTCTGAGTCGCTACATTCCCAGGACGGAGGGGCGGAGGTGAGGAGAGTGAGGGTATTGAGGAGGGATTGAGCGGTGGGCTTGGTGTACAGCTGTGGGAAATCGAACACTGAAGCGACAGGCAGTCAGTAACGAGATATTCTTGGTCGCGTGTGTCTGGCGTTTACCATGGAGCATTTCGGCTGCGTTCTCGTCAGCCGCTGGTTCCATCGCGGCTGTTTCTTGCGACGTATCTGTGGGTTTGTGAAAAAGTTCAAAAAATTAGGTGGTCATAGCGCCGCGCGGAATAGATCCGCACTTGAGGAGCCATCATAGAAACTCTTTGCTACCGTTGTCAATGATGTCTGGTTAGACTTTGAATAAATGGAAAGAGATGTACATGTGTAATTCTGAACAGAGACTAAATTCAATGGGCCATCCCAGCCTGTACCATCTCCACTCAAGGAAGATATGGTGGCACACATACCCTATTTCTAAGAGACTATTAGAGCACCCTACGCGATGGTAGACTCGTGAAATCAGATCAATTTTCCTCATGTTCAAACGGTGTCCAAAGGAGGGCGATACATGTTGCTGTTTGTGTCGACAATGAGATCTCCGAGGGTTCATATTTGATAACCGACAAACTGATTCGAGCACATAGATTCAAAGCATTAATAGCTTGAATGGTGCTAGCTGATGGACCATGGTATGTGCACAAGAGTTTATACATCAGATCTATACCAGAGGACCATGAAAAGCTTTCGACGAACCTTCATGGACAAACTAGGTTGATCCGCGAGATACAGATCTAACCGCGTTGGAATTACTCCATTCTTACAGCTTCTCACAGAATCAACCGCTTCACGGCTGTGGTCACGAGGAAGCATCTCCGAACGGCAAGTCTTAGCACTATTTGACATCGAAAAGTTGTTGAGCATACAAGGATAGAGGAAGGAAAAGTCGACTGACAACAGAGCATATCGACGGGCGGCTTAGCGATGGCGCTAATGACTAAACAGGCACGAGATGACAACACTTGGTGCCTCGGCATGCTCTTCCCTCTGGGCATAAGGCTGCTCGAGAGCGCCTTAATGTGCTTGTGGGGTCCTAAGGGCATGGTTGATATTGGTTAGATGGTTTAGTGGAGGTCCTCCTTGTACGATCTGGAGGATAGTGAGAAAACCGCTAAGATACAGTACATACCTTCTTATCTCTGAATAGCTCGTTTACCGTGCATATGGTTCAGCTTCGCTACGAACAAAGCATCACACTAGTTTAATCTCGATTCTATTTCTCCTTCCGTCTGGCAATCGCAACATCCTCATCGAGCATCAAGTTGAAGCAGCCATGGACTGGGGCACCGGCACGAGGCGAGAACCGCGCCGGACAATCTTCCAAATCTCCTGCACCGCATACGCATCCCGGACCCAACTGGCATGTGTTAGTTTACTCACAAGAGTAAACTTTTGCTTTCCGGAGGTCAGATCTCCCGCCGCTAGCAGCGCAAACGCAAGACATTGGGTCTTCGTCTCAACGGTGCCGGGAGCTTTCATCTCAGGCGCTCGTGTGTGCGAACTATGGCAGATACGCATGATGATGTAGCTTGCGCTTTAAAGCTCGGCTGCAGCTGTAGCCTTTGTGCTAAGGTTCTGAACTAAGACTTAGAGAGACTACGAGATGTATGCGGCCGGATTAGGAAGGTCCGAAAGTGTGGCTTTCACCGAACCTGTGATGGCGAAGATGGCAGGTGGTGTGCTTTGGGAAGGTATGTACAGTGATCAGTGTGGCCATTGTGGAAAGGGGAGCTTGCGAGGTCGCCGGGACGAACGTGAGGGGTGCAGTGAGGGTCCGGGGTTGAGATATTCGCAATTGGGACTGGAAGTGGCCACGTGATGCGTTTGCAGCGTCGTGAGCTTGCACGAAGAGGGTAGTGTTTCCATGTCGCAGTATAGGAAGGCTGGGAAGATGGGACTGGTGGTGGAGGTGCAAAGACGGCACAGACGGTGGGAACGAGATGGAGTACCTAGGAGTCCACGGCTACCAGGCCGTCGTTCCATGATTCCATAGCCCGTACGGCGGACAGCTGGGTTTCCACAGACAGAATTCGATGCTGTCACCGGTCGTCTTCGCGATGTCTAAGCCTTCGCGGGCCAAAGCTTGGTCCCAAGATAGCAGCGCAGAGGCCCGCAATTAGAGTGAAAGAGTGGACTGGCGCGACGAACTGCACAGCGCGTCCACAGCTGCAGGGCCCAAGTCAACCCTGCAGTAACGTGCAGGCCGACACGCTCGCGGCCCTGAAGCCCGCGGGCGATGCCAGGTGAAACCACGGCGGGGGGGGCGAAAGGGGTTCGCGGTGCGGGAGAGGTGTTGTTGCGGGCGATGGAGTGCCAGACGACAGCGGCCCCTTTCGGCGCGTGTGTCTCTGGCCGAGCAGTGCGTAGGGCTGGCTGGCGGCGCGATGTGGTGGAGGAGCGCTGCAGGGAGCCCAGCAGCCCTGCGGCGGCGTGCCTCTTCCACGAGGCTTCTCGAAGCATTCTAGCGGGGCGGAGGGCGTCCTGGCGTGTCTGAAACGTGGCGATGCAGAGGGGGCAGAGGCACGGGGTGGCCAGAGAGCCGGACGCCAGACGCGGGCTGCTCTGGTCCGTTTGCTCCTAGCCTCCAGCCGGCAGACGCTCCTCTCGTCGTTGATACCTAGCCCAGCACCCAGGCACGCCGGTCACCGCTCCACGAGCCCAAGCCCACGTCCGCTGCCTTCTCTTGCTGCTCTCCGGACTCCACCACCACCACTGGCCGCCAGTGCCGCCGCCTCCCACCGCGCGCACGCTTCAATGCCCGCTGGCTGCTTTCCACCGCCCCACGATAGCGTCCTGTCTGCATCCGCCCGGTCCCACCTTGTTTTGACCCACCCCCAACCGCACACCATGTCATCGCCATCGCGCTGAACCGCCTCCTCCACCACCGCCCCTCTCGCCCCAGCACCCGATTGCTACACAATAGCTACGCATAGCTACACGAGCCCCGCGCTGCCCTGCTCACGCGTCCAAAGTCCGCACTCTGGATCCGATCCGCATCCTTCGTCTCTGCCTCTCCCCCTTGTCTGTCGCCCAACATGCGCCGGTACAACAGATCCGGTGGCAGTCCCGCGACCCACGCCGGCAAGGTGAACGGCGGGCCGGTGCCAGACCCAATGTCCCTGATCCGCGCCTACGACTCCGAGACGAATCCCACGCGGCCCATTCGCCCCTCTCCGCTGACAGCCTCCACCATCCAAGGCCTGCCGCTGGACCTGCTCGACCGCTTGCGCTCGTTCCCGCTCTTCCTCTCTGCGCCCGACTCCTTCCTCGCCGCCATCGGCGCCCACCTGCGGCCCCAGCTGTACCAGCCGCACGACTACATCATCACAGAGGGCGACGATGCCAAAGCCATGTACTGGCTGGTTCGCGGGGCGGTGCGCGTTACGTCACGGGACGGGGAAAGCACATTTGCCGAACTGAGACCCGGCGCATTCTTTGGTGAGATTGGCATCCTCATGGATATCCCGCGAACTGCGACCATCATCGCCAATATGCGAACACTCGTCGTGCGCCTGAACAAGGAGGACCTCAAGAAGGAACTGCCGAGCTTTCCCGAGGTCGAACGTGCCATCATGGAAGAGGCCAAGGAGAGGCTGTCAATCTTGGAGCGCAAGAAGCGAGAGATTGGCAGCGCTGCGTCGAAAGACCCGGCAAAGTACCGCAGTGGAAAGCGCACGCGTGACCGCATGGACGGCGACGTTGAGATGGGTGATGTGGGCGTGCTGAGGGACGGAGAGGTCATCAGTGCCAACGTCAACAAGAAGCGCAAATCGCCAAGCCCTGGACTGGCAGAAGCCGCAGCTCTGAGCGCTCTGGGGAGCGGGAGTCTGAATGTGCGCCTGCTGTTGAAGGAGTTGCCACTGTTCTCCAGTCTACCCCCAGACATACTTCATTTCATCGGATTGAACGCTCAGCCACGAAACTATCCTCCTTTCACCGAGATCATCCGGCAAGGCTCTGACGGACGAGATGTATTCTTCATCGTCCGAGGGGAGGTTGAAGTCGTAAACGAAAGGCCTCCGGAAGAAAATGGGCATTTGACCGCTGAAGCTGGCCGTAGGAAGTCAATTGCGGGTGGCGAGCTTAGCTCGCGCTTCATCCAGCAAGTAAAGGCTAGACTACGGCCTGGGCAGTATTTTGGAGAAGTGACAAGCTTGCGCCTAGCTCCCCTACGAACAGCAACTGTTCGATCAGTGTCTTCAGTTGAATGCCTGATGATTAGCGGTGACGTCTTGACTCAGCTTTGGGAGAAGTGTTCTCCGCACCTTCGGCAGCAGGTTGAAGGTGTTGCGAAGCAGAGGCTAGAGGCTGCGCGAGATACTGATGTGTCGATGACTGATGCAGACTCTACTCCGGCGATCAATGAGCTTGCCATTGCAGACATCTATCCGCGAACACCTCGAAAGAAAAGCGTGCCAACTGTCACCTTTACAGACACGCCCATAGAAAGTCCCCTCACGCCGAGTCGAAGAGAGGGCCTACAAGTCGTCGAGCCCTACGACCCCGATCCTTTTCTAAATGTGGATTTGGATAACATGAGATCGAGATCTCGAAGGGGCTCGCTCGCACCTCCTCCACCAGAGTCTCAAAGCAATGGAAACAACTCCCAGCCCCAGTCACCATCTAGCCAGACTTTGTCGCCGTCTCCACTCCAACCTAAACACTCATCTACCCCCCCAGAACCCCAAGTATCTTTCAAAAGACCTAAGATTATACGACGGCCCAGCCGCTTTGGACAGGGCATTTTACCAGACACCATTTTGACATCCATATTTCAAAACCTCGACGTTCACGAACTAATGAAAACCCGCCTTGTTTCCATGCACTGGCTCAAAATCATCTCCACTAGCCCAGATATCCTCCACACGCTCGACCTGACCAAATACAACCGTAAAGTGACCGACAGTGCCCTCTCGGAAATCATCTGCCCCTTTGTTGGTACCCGGCCCCGCTTCATCGATATCAGCAACTGCTTCCATGTCACCGACGAGGGCTTCACGGCGCTGGCATCCAACTGCGGCACCAACGTCAAGATCTGGCGCATGAAGAGCGTCTGGGACATCACAGGCCAGGCGGTCCTCGAAATGGTCAACAAAGCCAAAGGTCTTGAGGAGGTCGACCTTAGCAACTGCCGCAAGGTTGGCGACAACCTCCTCGCCCGCGTGGTTGGCTGGGTCGTACCAGACATCAACCCAGCAGTAGCAGCCGCCCAGCAGGCTCAGCAGCAAGCCCAGATGAACGGCCGCCATCGCCACAACTCGCGAGGCAGCACACCGCAGCACAACGGTAATCCACCTCCCCAGATCCCGCCGGGGACCGTCGTCGGCTGTCCGAAGCTCAAGCGCCTGACGCTCTCGTACTGCAAACACATCACCGACCGCTCAATGGCGCATATCGCAGTACATGCCGCAGCCCGGCTCGAGCAGATTGATCTCACGCGGTGCACGACGATCAGCGATGTCGGGTTCCAGCACTGGAGCGTGTACTCGTTCCCGCGGCTGAGCAAGCTATGTCTGGCAGACTGCACGTATCTAACCGACAACGCGATTGTGTATCTGACGAATGCAGCGAAGGGGCTCAAGGAGTTGGATTTGGTAAGCCACATTCCCCTTTTTTCAATCTTCCCTCCTCCCAACTTACTTTCATGATTTGGTGGTGGTGGTGGACATCACCATCACACGCACATGCTCCCAATCATCAGTATTAATGCAGGAAGTTTTGCTGATATTTTGGATAAGTCTTTCTGCTGCGCCCTCTCCGACACAGCGACCGAAGTCCTCGCCCTCGGCCTCCCCTCGCTCACGCACCTGAACCTCGCCTTTTGCGGCTCCGCCGTCTCGGACACCAGCCTCCGCTGCATCTCGCTGCACCTCCTCGAACTGAAGGCGCTCTCGGTGCGCGGGTGCGTGCGCGTGACGGGCACCGGCGTCGAGGCCGTCGTCGAGGGCTGCCGGGAGCTCGAGCTCTTCGACGTCAGCCAGTGCAAGAACCTGGCACGGTGGCTCGAGGGCGGCGGCGTCGAGAGGGTTAGGAGCGGGGGTGGGACGGGCAAGGGGCGCAAAGAGTTGCGTTTTGAGACGGTGGCGGATGGGCGGTGGAGGGCGGGGAAGTGAAGATATTCCCCGGAAGAGTAGGATGAGTAAGATGAGCGTTCTGAAAGAGATCTAATCGTGTGATTTCGGATATCGTTTTGACGGGCCCCGCCTCCTGACGGAGGTGTGGTGTCGAGCGAGCAAAGCCGGCGTTCGAGCAGGGCGGCGTTCTTTTTTACGGGTAGGTAAGAGGTTGATGTGGTTTTTTTTTGTTTGGCTTGCATTGGGATAGGAGTTCTTTCTCATCTCCCATCGTTCTATTGGAGAGGAGGTCGATGCAGATCTACGAGGATCTAACGAGGAATAACGTTGCATGTACGCGTTTCTGTGAACGGTAAGCGCTCCTGATGTTGGTTGTTAGATGATTTCGGTGTGGATGATACCATTCCTGTTCTTTCTTTTTTTTTGGGGGGGGGGCGGTTCTAGAAAGCAGTGTGATTGCATACACCCCTCAAAACCGTGAGCCACACGGCCTGATCCAAAACGCTCTCGTAGCACTGCAGTACGCAAGGCTGATTCGCACGCTCTAATCCTTTGTGAAGTTTTCGGGTTCAACGAAGGGGCCAGGGGTGCCCTCACGGTGGTGCGCACAGCTCCAAACCCACGGTCCGCACGCCCCGATTCATGCTCTTACATTACACCTAGCCTTACACGGGTCTGATCTCCGATCTCCAGACCATTACATCCTGTCTCAAAAGTATTGCAACGGCGTGAGATCCCTCAGGGTCGTTGTATATGCCCCCGGAACCACGCTCCTCGCGCCGTAATTCGCGCTCTTATGTTATTCCTATCCGTGAGTCTAATCGAAAGTGCAAGTATGGAGCGTTTAGTAGATAATGAATGGACGAGCTGCCAGACAGATGAGTCTCTGCTAGGCTCGGCCGCGCGTGTTGGCATACATACAAAAAGTACGAATGAATGTGTACTAAACCCATGTCCAACCGAGACATCCCATCCCCAAGGCCCCCGGGTATCAATATGTACGGTTTGCTGTGTACATACAAGAGCACCAAGACGCCCAACGCCACGCATCAAGATCCCCCAATCAGCCAAGAACGCCTAATAATATGAAAAGTGCGGATCCCCCCTTCATTAAAATCATTATCCACGATGCGGTTCCAATATTAGGTTTATGCGGATGGGAATATCTTCCCCAATACCTTCCGCCACCCGCGTTCCCTCCGCGCCTCCGCTTCCTCGAGCGCTGCAACCTCGGGCGAATGTCTGCTCCGTAGTAGCTCTAATGCCCGCTGCCGCGCCCATTCGCGGCGGGTCTGCGAGTTCGCTGGGATCAGGTCGCAGGTTGGGGATGTGGAAGGCGAGAGCGTCGGCGGTTCTGCGATTGAGGAGACGGTTGCTGCGACGTGATTCTCTAGTATCGTGGAGGGTTGCACCGGTGCATTGCCCATTTCAATATCCGGCGGCGGACGCACAGGCGCGCTAAAGTTTCGCCGTTCTGATATCGCATGAAAGATATTGCCACTCATGAAACCGTGTCCTCTGCTTCCGCTCTGCGTAGCGACTGCTGGCGCTGGAGCTGGTGGGGACATTGCCACGGTCTGGAATTGCGACGACCTGTTTCCACGACCGGTCAAGCGCCTTATTCGTCCGATGAAAGCGTTTACTTCTGGTGGAGTGCCAGATTGCGCTCGTTGGCGATACCGCCTGATGTAACGCTCGCGTCGGACCATGGCGTTGGTGATGGTATCAGGGCAATAGCCATCTGGTAGAGTTGACTTTTTACACATGGGACAGAGGGAGGAATTGTTCAGGAGGAAGGTGTCGACGCAATCCGGGTGGAAGATGTGTCGACATGGTAGCTCGCGTATAGGCGTTACGTTGGGCTCGAAGTCGTCTAGGCAAATCGGGCACGTTGGCTGCGAAAATGCAGGGTGAGCGTGCTCAGTAGGCGTGGAAGGAGAGGGTGCAGACGATCGGCGGACGAGGGGGTTCCCAGACTCGGATGGTACTTGCGACGGCTTTAGGGATAGCCGTGCTTGTGGTAGAGGCTGGGGACCGACGAGTAGTTCTTCTTCTTTCTCCTCGGCAGCAGTAGCTTCACGAGTGTAGTTATAGACGGGCATCTTGTCAAGGTACTCCTGAGGGACGGTAAGTTTCTTGATCCCGAGTGCTTCAAGATCCACTTGACCGTTTACGATACGCGTGCGGAGGTCTCTTCGTCGTCTCCGTTGCAATACGTGCAGGAAACAGGATGAACCCCCGGCAATTATGCAGAGTAATGCAAGTACAACCAGCAGAAATACCCAAAGGCTGGGAAGCTGGCTGCCCGATCCTGCAAAATTATTAGCATATGCCAGATCTTGAAGCGCAAATGACCACGAACCCGTATCAACGTTTGCCCATAACCGCACATAACTCGATGGAGGGTAACCTATGTCCACCAGTTCGCGCCCATTAGGAACAGTTGTTATGTTGCCAGAATACAAGTTCAGCTGCTGCATAACGATGGCTCCAGTAATCCCCGGCAGGGCGTACACTGGGAAGGAATTTTTCGATTTCCAGCTACCGCCATCCCCAAGCCCCCATGCCGGGTCGCTAATAAGAGGGGGAGTTTCGGAGCTGTTTGAGGGTAGATAGGTGAAAAATGCCTTGACAGGCGAACTCCTTGCAGCAGCAAAGTACTCTTCTTGGCAGGTAGGGGAGAACCATGGGGCAACTGCTATAAGGGAATAGTCGACGTCTGGCAGGTTCTTGCGACGGGTGGCGTTGGCGGGCACATGGTGCTTTTCGGCTTGGATGCAGTCGTTCGACGTCAGGTTGGGGACATACAAAATGCCGTATGGATTGTCGCCATTGGATGCGCCATTGGTAGAGAGGGTCCGGATACCGTCGAGGATGGGGTATTGGAAGGAGACATTACTCTGTGCACGAGAGGTGAAATGTCAGTGGGACAGATTGGGTAGTAAATAGAGGAGGCCGACGTACGTCTAGGGTCTCGAACTTTTCGTTGTAGTAGCTCAGCGTAAAGGGATCCGGGAACTCGATGGTGAAGACACCAATGTCTTCAGCAGCTGTTGACACAGCGCAATCGTCAGCCTTCTGTTTCCTCTCCCTCGGCGGCAATGGCGCGGATACATCGGAGCGGCGGTACTTACACATGGCGGCGATGCTTAACTGTGAGGGGTGTGCGGAGAGGAGGAGGCCAGCAGCATGGTCGCTGCAGCGGACACTGCGAGCTGACGGCCGCGGATTGGGAGTTGTGAGTGTGGATAGCGAGAAGTGTAAGAGTGAATAGACGGGACGAAAGAAGCACAAGAGTCAAGAGCAGCACGCAGCCCTGGAGGGGGTGGAGAGGCGGGAGGAGACCGATCGCCGGTGGCTGGGTGAAGGCGGCCCGTGCTTCTGCCTTACAGCCTCTCTTCTGTTCTGGGCTAGCACTTAACCGGGGAGCGATAGTGTGTAGCCAAAAGCGGTTGTATTGATGGCAGTGAAGAAGCTAGCTATTGAGCGGAACGAGGAAAGATATACACCAGGTGCTGAGTAAGCCTGCTAGAGAGGAAGGGGCCGACAGTACACCTCTTTTCTAGGCTAGTACTTAACCGGCGTGAGGAATGGTTGGCCAGAAGGTCGCTATTCCCCCTTAAAGACGCCCGGAGCTGTTCCCTTATGCGGTAAGTCCGTGGCTTGGTACTAGAGAGTAACGACTGGACGTGAAGACAGGCTGTACAATGCCAGCCAACGCTAGCCAAAGCTTAGGTTCCTCAGATCTTCCGGCCCGCATCCTGCACGTGACAGAAGGCGGAGAGCGCGACATCGCCATTCACCACTTCACTGCCCGCCGCGTCAACACCACGCTCGCGCAAATCATACTAGGCATCTCGAGGGCCCACGTATAGCCCTTTGTCCTGCCAGCCCCCGATCACGACTACAGCGCCTGGACGACTATTGCGCAGCATCGGTGTTCTCTTTGATGAGGAAATCCGACACCCTACCCATTTCGCGAGGCCCTCTCGAGTTAACCACACGCTCGCCGCCATGCCGCCGCCAGTCAGCAGTAAGGGCAAGGCGAAGAGCCAGTCGCGCGACGTCCGGACCTCGCGGAGTCGCAACACCACCCCAATCCCTCCCGGCAATGTCCAGAACACCGTTGAGCCCACCCCGTCCTCGTCCTACCTCCGAAACCCCATGGCCACTCTTTCTGCGCCCCTAGAGGTGACGCTCGAGGACATCCTAGGCGGAGGCAGCCCCTCAAACCTCCCCTCTGTGGCCGCCCTCAAGCAAATGCAAGAGACCATACAAACCAAAGTCCTCCAGCATATATCGAAGCGAGGCGCAATATCAGACCGTCTTTTGCGTGAAGTCTCAAAGAGGCGGAGTCTACGCGACCAGCAAGACCGCGAGAGAGAACGGGAGAAAGCGGAGAGGGAGGTTGAGGAAAAGAAGCACAAGCTCAAGAAGGTGTCGAAGAAGAGGGATCCCGAAGACCGCCCGTTAGCTGTTGGCGCGCATCATGTCGCAAGGCAGGATGGAGTGGATTTACACAAAGGTGAGTTCTATGTAACTGAAATTAACTCTCAAGACATCGCATCAAGTCAAAGATTCACCGCCCACCCGTACTCTTACTACTGCTACTTCCCTATCAAAAGCACTGCCAGTCTCCTTGATTAAAACAAGCATCTCTTACCATGTCTTTACTAACACCACCACTAGATACTTCATCAACTATATCCTCCCCCATTTCGCAAGCACCGCCTTCTGCTTCTGGCACCGGCCCAGTAGATGCTCCTTCTCCAAGCCTTTCAGACACCTCTCATCAACCGGCACCTGCTCCGGCCATTCCGCAATACCAAACATTTGGCCCTGACCCGTCCACCTTTGACGACCCAACAATCTACCACATTCGAGACACGACGGATGATATGACCGAAGCTGAGAAAAGGGAGATTTATTGTGTGGCTGATTATCCTGCCAGTGATCTTCATGATCAGACTCCTGGAACACCGCCAGATAAGGATTTTAGTAATGCAAAACCTTCCTCGCAGGTTACCGCGACCCAGTTTGCAAATTATGTCGAGCCGTTCATTCGGCCACTAATAGAAGAAGACGTCGCATTTTTAAGAGAGCGTGTAAGTCTCTACTAATAAACTTTCAGGAGCCTTTAATTGACGAAGAATGCAGGGCGATCGTGTACAACCATTTATAATGCCTCGGCGAGGCCTAAGACCCTACAAAGAAGTTTGGGCCGAAGAGGATGGTGCGATGGTATTAGAGAATAATCTCGACCGTCTTCCCCCGAACGAGCCTCGCGGCAGCATAGAAAACATGACCGACGAGCTCGCAGAAACAGACGAGTTATCCGCGGGGCCTCTTCTTGCCCGCCTCATGGCCACACTCCGCCCCGAAGGTCGCATCAGCACCGCGACCAACGGCGACGCAAACGGCGACAGCATGGACATTGACGAATCCGCCACCGCCGACCCCACCCGCCTCGCCTCCGCAACCCAAATGGCCGAATCGCTCCAGGCAGGCTGGAAGGCGCCGCCCGCCGTGGGCAAACTTGACTTCGTCTCCCTCGAAGACCGCGCCCTCACCGAGCTGCGCCACATCGGCTTCCTCGGCGACCAAGACCAGGCCGACTACAACGGCCACTTCGACGACGAGGTCGCGGCCCGCCTGCGCTACCTGCAGGACCAGCTGCGCCGGCAGTCGATCATCAACGGCGCCCGCAAGGCGCGCATCCTGGAGCTCACCGAGGAGCGCATGGCGCAGCAGGAGTACAACACCATCGCCGACGACCTGGACAACCAGCTCAATGCGGCGTACCTCAAGCGCAACAGGAACATCGGCAAGGGGAAGAAGAACGCGAAGAGGCCCGGCGGGCCGGGCGGTGGGTCGCACCCTGTTAATGCGGCGGCGGGCGTCACGCGGCCGAGTGTGGGCGAACCGATTCGCACGCTGATGGAGCGGAAGAGCCAGTGGAATCATACGATTGGGCCGGTTGTGGATTATGGGAAGACGGGGCTGCCGAAGGGGAGTGTGTTTGAGCCGGACGTGATGCGGCGGTTGGAGGATCGGGAGCAGGAGATGTGGAATGAGGTTGAGGATTGAGAGGGATGAGAGTGCGCATGGGTTGGTTGAAGGGGGCTTAAGGTAAGGTGGGGGCGTTACATACCATTGTCTTTTGGGTAGAGGGTTTTGTAGGGCTGGTAGCTGTTAAGGGCGCATGGATGTCCGAATGAACAACGGTTTACCTGTTTGAGAACGTCTTGGCGGTTGGAGTGGTGTGATGCTTTTGGTGCATTGATCGGGCTTCTATGGCTTGGAAGTTTGGTTTTGGGGTAGACGGCAAAAGACGTACAATCTAGATTGGAAATCAGGACTGTATTGCTACAACTCGAGGATCGGGCTGGAGGAGTAAGTAATTTGGGCCAACGTCCTAAATCAGACCGTAGAATCAGGGTGAATTTGGCACAGGTGAGATGTATAAAGTGGAGCCAGTCCGTGCGATTTGAAGTCGATTTTGGCTTGTCATTGGCAGAGCTTTCATATTAAGCCATGAATTTGGGGTGAGTTTGGATGGCGCGAGATGTATGAACGGGAGCCAGTCCGTGTGATTTGAAGTCGATTTTGGCATGTTATTGGCATAGCTTGTAAATCAGACCATTCCACGATATTAATTGCAACACTCCCTGAATCGGGACCTGAAATTCGATTGATTTTGGAGGGTGTGAGATGTATAAAGGGGAGCCAGTCCGTGCGATTTGCACTCGGTTTTGGTATACTATTGGCTCGGCTTGCAAATCAGGCCATGCATTTGTGGTACATTTGGATAGTGCGAGATGTATAAAGGAGAGCCAGTCCGTGCAATTCAGATTCAATTTTGGGATATTATAGGCGGGGCTCGTAAATCAGGCCATGTATCAGAGTAAAAGTAATGTAGCACTAAAGACACCCTACCGCTTCAGACGCCTCAGGTCTGCACCTAGGCATCAATGCCCCTCCACCGCCCTACAGCATCTGTACCTCCACCAAACTCCTCCTAACCCCGTCCCCCTCTCCTAGTCCTTCAAATTCCACCTCCCCAGCCACAGCACCTAGCCGCGAGCACTCAACCCTAAACTCATCCACCCCACCCCCGACCCCAAAATACACCCGCTTCGCCGCTACGACCGCCTTACCCGCCCGCACCCGTGCCAGAATGCCCGCCATCACTTCTGTGAACGCGTTCAAAGCTGTCGGCGAGTAGATCGTCTCGCTCGCGAGGAGGAACGTGTTCATCTCCGGCGCCGAAGGGACGAGTTCCAGGAACTTGGGGGTTGGCGTCCAGGAACCGGATATCAATGTCAGGCTAAGTGGGAGAGCGGTCAGAGCCGATTTGAAGGAGGAGAGGATTTCTGGCGTGACGTCGAGGTCGCCGTGGTCGGTGGAGGGATCGGCGAGAGGGTTTGGAGATTCGTTGGAGAAAGGGGAAGCAGTGGCGGAAAAGGTGCTGGTGTAGGTGAGGAGCAGGTTCGGGAGAGTGACCAGGCGTAGGACGGAAGCGTTGTAGTCGGCTAGCGTGAGGTATAGGGGGATAGAGGCGGTAAGGGCGTAGTGGAAGAGGAGGAGAGTTGGCAGGGCGGTGCCGCAGCCGAGCTGGTAAGAGGTTAATTGGGCTCAGAATTAATTTTTTGATTCGAAGTGTATGTAGACGGGGAGTTATTACGAGTGTACATACCTCAATTACATGATCAACTCTACACAGATCATCAAGATCCTTCCGTGGACCCCGATCGAGCAGGAACTTTACGAGGTCTATAGAACATTCCCAGCTCTTAAACCCGCCTTCGTAGACATTCGTCTTGATATCTGATTCGTCTAGGCCGGAGAGAGGCGCGGAGTCGGTGCCACTATCTTCGGCCATTAGTTGCATGCGGATGTCGAATAGTTCTCGGCGCGGAAGGCGAATTTTGTGGCCTTTGGGGGACTCGATCTCAATGGTATTGTAGGAGATTTTGGAGGGGAGAGTGGAAAGCTGTCGGGCTGTCAGTGTGGATCATAGATAGCCTTGATGAGATAGTTAAGAGATTCGAGATTCTGATGATGGCATGAAGGCAAGAATTGCGATTATTGGTATCCGGTGGGGTTCCGCGAAAACTCTGAGTAGAAGGAAACTTGTTGAATAGCGTGAAGAGCTTTAAGACGATAGTATAATGGGAAAATGGCAAATTGTGCATAGAGAATCCGCGATATCGTTACTGAGAGTCTCAACCCACCAATTCATCTATATTGTGAGTCCGGGCTTCAACGGCTGGGGGCTGAGAGGGGTCCGTTGACGACGCATTTGCAGCAACGGCAGAATTTTCGCCATCTGGGAGAGCATCATTGGGGTCTTCTTCTATATCGTCTCCAGAGAAACCAAAGCTGAATGGTTGAGCCATGGTGGTGTGTAAGAATCGGTGCCGGAGGACTTGGGGTGACGAGACGCTAGTGAGGTAGTCCTCGTCAATTCCTGGGACAAGAGTCATGACAGCATCGTTGTGCTCCAAGCATATAATAGCAATTAGATATTTATTTAGTGTGCCTATGATGAGTCATTATGGAAACTTTAGTTAGAAGATCCGTCTTACTTTCTTCCTAAGACATCACGTGACGATGCAGAGTTTTGGTAAGTAGTTAACTTAATTGCCTTTTCCAAAGATTGCATTGAAAGGCTAAAGAGGGTATCAATAATAATGGCCCAAACGCCAACAAAAGGACAAGACTGCCATGGTAACTTTGAAATCCGCGATAGGAACAGCGCTTCTAGCCCGGTAGGGCCGCCTGTTTCATATCATCCTGTTCAATGGTCGGGATGGTCCTCATCTTCGAGGACTCTTCTTCCTCATTTGTCCAAACTCGATCGCGAACCTTCTTAGTCGCCGACTTCGAATTTTCCCTTACGTCCTCCAACCTCTCCACACTCGCCCTAATCGACGCTAAATGCACTTCTATAGGCACTTCTCTAAACCCATCCTCTTGTGGTCTTCCCATCTCTTCCCTCAAGTTCTCAAGATAGTTGGCTATATCCCTGAGCTTGATCAGCGCGCCACTGAGAACGGTATAGGCAATATGTCGAGCAGTCTGCACATCGTTTAGTGTGCGAAGATTGCTCTCGATCCTGGTCCTCTCCCTCCTGTTCCCACCGAGACGTGTGTACAACTGGCCAAGAAGCTCCGATCGCTGCCCCTGGACCGCGACTTCTTCTTTAATTGAAATGCTTTGCATATCGTCGAGCAACATCTCCAGCCTGTCGAGATCCTGAAGTATAGAGTCCGCTTTGTAGATAAGACGCTTGATTTCTTCCTCCATGCCACTAGCCTGCATCATGTAGGTATCGGCCAGTTCGTCCTTCCGTGTCTTGTGCCTAGCGGCAAGCCCAAATCTGACGAATATTCGCTTCGTCAAATCCATGCTGTCGTCTCCGAGGTGTGCTACATCTGCCACTGCTAAGGTGTGTTGGTTCAACGCGATTATTCTATCAAGAGCGTAATCGAGGCGGGCATGCCAACTGCTGATGTCATTCCCCGACTGTTTGGAGCCATCGATGAATTGCTTGAGGATTTGGCCTAACTCTTGCTTTGATGCGATGTTACTAAAGTCGATCACCGACCTCAAGTCTCGCATGGCCATTTCCTTGGTCTTCATATCCTGTCGGAGACCAGCTGCCTGGATGGAATACTTTGCAACATCTTCGAAGCGGGTTTGAGCTTCCACCAGCGCATCGAATCTTTCGTGGCCAGGTGTGGGTAGGCTAGGGCAGAAAGGAAGGTTCAAATAAGATGCACCCGGAAAATTGCAGATCGGAGAGAGTGCCACGCGAATGCCTGCGTCTACGGCGTTCTTGCCTTTCCAAAAGAAGAAGTAAAGAAGGAAGGCGAGGAGGAGGTAGGAGAAGAACGGCCGAAGGAGCAGGAGTGTGTCCTTGACAATCGACAGAATGTAGACGGCGGTGGGCTGAAGGAAGCTATTCCAAATGGCAGCAAGGTAAGATGAGGCAGAAGAGTCCTGGGCGACAGGACTTGAAACCGGCTTCTGAGAATAAGAAGCCTTCTTTCGAGAAGACCGTTGGTGCGTGTTCTGTGGTGCCACATTGGCTGGAACTGCGTTCACCCAAGAGTTTCCGAGAGATTGATCTAGCTGCGAGGGAGCAATGCCAACTGGAATCGAGCGTCCTGTTGAGGGCCGCCGGTTTGTGGTGCGTTGACGTGCGTTGTTTGTTGGAGTTGTGTTTGTCTGGGAGCTTTCGGTAAAATCTGGCTGTGTTGAAGGAGATGGCATGATGAAAGACGGTGCCACCTTTTCTGGAGCCCTCTGAATGGACTGGTGAGAGCGTTTTGTAGTGGTGGGTGGTGTTGAGATCCGCCCTCGCAGCCTTGTTGATGGTGTTAAATGCACTTGCTGCCTTGATTGCTTCGCGGAAGACGAACGCCGCGGGGATTTTAGCGATACATTCACCGCTGAGAATTGCGTCGCATCTTCCTCCTTTGCATCTTCAGAGCCAGAGGCACGGGGCGATTCACTTCCAGAGCTTTCCTCACTCTCTTCGTAGTCCACATCGCCCCACGACTCTCCCAGCTCCATATGCGCTTTGCGGCTTGGGCTCGTCGCTGCACGAGGCATTTTACAGACTTTCGGATTCGTCTGATAGATTCTCTTATGGACTCACTAGCAACGGATCTGATAATAACAACTTTTGTATTGAGAGGGGCAGAGAGAGAAAGTGGAATGGAGTAGATGATCCTGATCAAGCGGAATTATGAGACTTTGAGCATTAGGAGTTATATCTTTGACAAAGCCTTGAGAGAGACAGTCGAAGGTTGGTCTTGAAGGTGGCACGGTGGCTGGTGAGTGCCAACACCGTCATCGTCACTTTCGCCTCCCACGCGCAGTCTGAGACGCGCCGGCAGCCAATCAAATCACTTCATATACTGTTAGCGCCGACGATCTCAACCTCCAGCTTCATCCAAACTCACGTCTGAGCGGTGCAAAGAAGACATTTTGCCAAAACTATGCAGAGCCTAGGTGAGGTTCAATTTAGTTTTAACCGCGCGCTTGATCGGCGAAGATGCGGCCCGAAGAGTCTAATTCAAGCAATCTAATTGTGACGTCGCATCCTCCAGGAGTCCTTCAACTCACTTCCATGCCCACTCACCAGTGGCAAGAGATGGAAGGCGAAGCTTAACCTGCCATTACCGTCTTGTCTTCGTTGAGTCTCATAGCTGTTTCAAGTGTGAAATACTCCCCTATCGGTTTGTAAGTATGTATTCCTTCACCCTCTCCAAGCCAACTCAGTCCGGTCGCTACCCTTGTACCTGGAGCTTGACTGAGCGATTCAGATGAGCGTTGCTAAATGCTAACCTGGTGTACTAGAATCGGCATGGAGCGCCTCGCCAACCCACTGAAGCGGAAATCGCTGTCGGAGACGCCCGAAAGTTCCTCGAAGCATCATTTTACCCTCAAGTTGATCTGAAGGACATGAAGAAGGTGAAAATTGAGGCTGTTGAGGCCAGAATTGAGGAGGCAATCAAGCCATCACGCAACTCTGAAGGCGCCTTGAAGCGCGACTCATCTACTCAGACCGATCTGATTTTGATGGAGAAGATCAAGGCCGGACCAGTGGAGATAGCGGACGATAACAAGTCTAAGGACATTAAGATCGAGGAAGTCGATGCAGAACCGTAAGTCAATCTGCAGCTCATTCGAAAAGTATATTGATTTCTGATCCTTGAGCAACTAGGGCCAAGCCCGAGAAGATGATTGAGGTGGTAGTGGGTCGATATCCTGAAAGACGCTGGTATCTTCCTAAGAACCTACTGGGGCAGCATTCGAGCTTCTTCAATGCAGACAAAGTCTACCTTCCTAAGGAGTACCCCACTTGCTTTGAAGCCTTTGTGCGATTCATGAATACTGGCCTCTGCTATGAAGAATGCGACCTGGAGTTCAATTATGAGTCTTCAGGGACCGTCGACAGTTACAAAGCTGCGATACTTTGGTGTCTAGGAGAAAGAATTCTCGGACCAAGATTTCAGGATCACGCTATGAGCCATATTTTGCAAGAGGTGGAATTCACTAAAAGCGTCTACCTCCCCATGGTTACATTAGCCTTCAGGGAGGCTCTACCAAGATCGGAGTTCCGGAAGTTGTGCATCGATGCAGTCTCAAAGTATGGAACCTGTCGCCAACATCGGCGAGGCAAGTGGGTGACGGAGAAGGAGAAGTGGGATGATCTCATCGAGAAATACGATGACTTCTCGAAAGAACTGGCCAGGACGCAACTACCATCAGAAAAACGAGATGTACTGCTGACCGTCAGAGAGGACTACTATGAGATAGTCCTGAAACAGTGTTAACTCTATGTCAACTCTCTTCTAGCAGCGATTGAAGGGGTTGAAGCTGGCGATCCAGGCAAAGTCACAAGGCTGTAGTCTGAGGGCTTCAGGGTCTGGCTGTTTCTTATTTCGTGCTACGGCGGCCGATGGATGTTCACCAATACTTGTTTGCTAACTGATGTTTTCTTTTCGAAGAGTTCCTCATACTGTGTTTCCAATTATGCTCTTCAGCCCAGAATTCTTTTCGAACTACTGTTTCACAAGACAGTGTCTTCTACTCAAGCATTCCAGCACTCTTTCTGCTATTTTCTTTCACTGTCAAGACTCGGCACAGGAACTGGAGCTTCGGCAATGGAGCATCAGGCATATGTCACGGTTCGGTTATGGGAAACAACAGCATCCTGATTTCAATTAGCATATGATGCCCTTGCCTTTCCTCTAGGGGAGTACGTAGCACTCAATAATGATACCTACCTTCATCTCTCGCACAAGACAATTGCAATCGGCTACTCGACCCTCTCTTGATTCTCAAACATGAAGCCTAGAACCGACACCAACCCATTCGCATGTGAGCCCAACCCCATGCAGCTCTCCTACCCTCGGACCTCTAAATGAAAAGCTACAAACGTACTTCCACATGCAAACCGTCCCACAACCGAAACGCGCCGCCCTGCCCTGTCCTGCCCTGCACTGGCGATCCCGGGATCTCGATAAAACGCCATGGGCCGCAGATCAGGCTCCAAGTCGCAGCCGGGGCTACGGAAGCGTGGCCCGGGCGGCAGCGATCCGGAAAGGGCGTTTACGCATTTTCGAGGATTTCCATTAAGCATTTTCTGACGGCGGGCGAGGGGATTAGGAAATTTGCGTTCTGCATTTGGTAATGTGCCGAGAGAGGTTTTTCGATGCTTTGGCTGTTTTGGGGTAACTATGGGGACTAATATGAGTAATTGGGGGATGACTGGGGGTGGCATTGGTGGGATGGGGGTTCCCGGGTGAGCGATGTCGAGGAGGTTGTTGACGCTCTTTTTTGCCAGGCGACGGGATTTTTAGGGATGTAGAGAAGGTGGACGGGATTCTTGTTACTAGTGAAGATACGGAGAGACGTCTGCACAATTATAGGCGAGATGGAAACTGTCTCATCTTGATTGATGCGGTAGCTCCCTGGTCCACCTCAGACGGTGCCAGCCATCCAAGCCTCAAAAAGATTGATAGGTTCGGATTTTTTTGTACACCATGAGGCACTGAAATTGAGGAGAATGGCGAGGCACTGTACAAGATTTTAGATATGATTAGATTAAATGTCGATAGAACTTTTCCAACCTCATAAATCATGTCGCTTATCGTACATACAAGTTGCTCCGCATGACTCCCTCAACAACGACTCAGGCCACGATCACCTCACCGGCGCTCCCACCCGTCGCAGACATAAACTTATGGCATACTGTGCATAAGCACCCTCGAGCTTTATCACTCCCACCCCAAGTTCGGTATAACCCCGAGACTTCTTCCGAGAGTGAACAAGCATGCCCGGGTGCGCTCGTTCATGAGCCGAAAGCCTCTCCCACAGCCCAACGCTGCTTCATTCTGCCGAAACGTCGCCGAATCGCGCCGTAGCGATGTGCTGAGCCGTGCACGCATTCCGGACGCTGACGCCGCTCCAGGACGTGATGGACGTTTGCGCTCAGGGTGGCGCGCGCGCCGCGGTCAGCTCGACGAGCCGCTGCTGGTGTTGCCCTTGCTGCCAATGTCGTCGGGCAGCTCCCAGGTCGTCGTGTCGATGCCGGCCTCCTTGGCGGCCTCGACGAGCGCCTTGCGCTCCGAGATCTTGCTCCGCATGAACTTGATGGTGGCCTCGAGCACGACGGCCTCGCTGCGGCCCTGGCCCTCCATGCCGGGCACAATGCTCGCGAGGCGGTCGAAGCCGTCGCGGATGGCCTGCCGCCGCTTCTGCTCGGAGGCGATGTGGTTGTTCTTCTTCTCTTGCTCGGTGAGGCGGGGCTTCTCGGAGCCGGCTTGGTTGGGAGAGCGGGTCGGGGAAGACATTGGTGCGGCGGGCGTGGGTGGTTGGGTGGTTGGGTGGTGGAGAGGCGCGGGAGACGGGTGCTGGAGGCGATGGAGGCTCGGATCGAAGCAAGAGTCGCGCGGCTTTATAGAGGGCGGGTCGCGGGCTGGTGGTTCATGTGAAGGCGCTTGGGGTGGTCAGCAGAAACCGGCGGAGCCCGAGGCTATGGAGGATGGACGTCAAGGCGCAGGTGCTTCATGTTACTGTAGTCTCCTCGCGGCCATGGGGCCAGGAAAAGGGGAAGCGGAGGTGGTTGTTTGGGAGAGGAGCGCGAGCGATGTCGAGTTGCCGGTGCATCTAAGCGGCCCTCGGCAGCCCGTGACGTGAGCAGCGAGTTCCGCCGTAGGGCTAGTTCTAGGGCTGAGCGCGGCGCGGTAACGTCAGAGGCAGAGAAAAGACAGATTGGGCCGACGCGGGATCGCAGCAGCTCGAGGCCGACAGGGCTGTATGTACGGCACTATTTCTGGGCCTGCCAGTGTGCCAGTGCGTTTCGGACGCCTCGTTTCATCACATCCCGGAGGAGCTAGGCCTGAGAGCGCTGCGTCCTCCTGCCAGCCAGTGCCAGGGAGACCACGAGACGCTCTCGCCGGCCGGGGTCGTGACCTGCTCATCTCGCGCACCCTCTGACGCCACCTATCGCGAGCTCCATATTGCAGCCACTGCTTCACGTCTGCCGCTGTTGCTCTCCGCTCAGGCACCGAGTCACGAGTCTACGGAGCCCCCACCGCGAAAGAAAGCGTGGAGAGCTCACCGCTGCCTCTGCAAACACCACGACCCGCCCCGCCATACCACACGGCCCCCAGCGCCGCGAGACGAAGCTGCCCAGTGCTGCACGTCCTGATATGCGCCCTCCCTCCTGCGCCCAACACCCGTGAGCCTCACACTCCTTGCGCACGCCGCTCTCGTCCGCCGCCCACCGCCCACCGTCCACTCCTCGCTGCCATGTCGAGCCTCTCAACCCGCTCGCGGGGGACTGGCCACAAGAGGCTCAACAGCCTCCAGCAGAGCGACCGCCTGCAGCGCCAGGGCTCCTACACCCGCAAGCGTCAGATCACCTCACAGGACTCCTATCTATACGCCCTGCGCGTGGCCTTCCTCACCTACCTCCTCCAGCCCCGCCAGAAGCGTCTTCAGCACGTCGCCGCCGCCCCCCGCCCAATCAATCGCTCCACGACCTCCATGGCCGACCTGATGAAGGACTTCTCCGTCATCAGAGACTCCAAGAGCACCCGCTTCCCCCATGGCTTCATGGCCGAGCTGGACAATCGGATAACGGGCGTGCTGATGGGCAAGGAGAAGATGCCTGAGTTCAGCGAGGCCCTGGTCAAACGCACATTCGCCGTATTCCTGAACGTCTTCAAGGCCCCGCAATTTCGAAAATCCATGGAGAAGGACCGCAGAGTGGAGGACTTGCTGCTGATTTTCTTCTCCAATGCCACCAAAGAGCTGCAGAAGGGGAAATCGCCGACGGACGATAGCTGGAAGCTGATGGTGGACCGGCATGTGGCGTTGTTCATTCGACTGATCAGCTCGACGCTGAAGGACCATGATTGGACAAGGGATAGGCCTGAGCTGACGAGCCGGCTGGCAACAATGGAGAAGAAGCTGCTGATGCATGACCAAGATCTGTCTGCAGAGTCACAGCGCAATGGCGGTGCTGGCGGCACCAGTATCGAAGTCGAAGTGCCTCGTAGCTATGAGGTCAAGGATATGCCATTGGTGTTGGTTATTTCGCGCGTGTTCGGCGTTTCCTATCAGCAGGTTCAAGATGATATAAACAGCCATAAGGATGTGTGGACAGAGCGGGCTGCGTTGCAGGACCTCAAAACTTACCAGACCTACCTCAGTCTCAATACAAAGAAGACGCTGAACAGCGACGATTTCGACCTGGAGGACGCATATGAGATGTGGAAAAAGTCCGAGATTCCAGACTTGTCTCAGATGGTTCTGGCAATCGTTCAGTCGAATCCGGAACTTGCCAAGAGCACGCCAGGCGGAAGCCTACCACAATTCAAGCCTGGTGGTGCGACAGAGTATCAAGACATGTCGAGGAAGATGTCTGACCCAGAAAACAATGGCTCGTCGTACGTCATTGACCAGCCAGTGGACATGAGTGCGCTGAATCTACATGACGAACCGTTGCGAGGAGCGACGGACGAGGATCCATACGTTTTTATCCCACCAGATCCTCGGGCATACTACCGCGCAGTGCTGAAGGAAGCCCTTACGTACGATCTTCAAGATGCGGGCCTTCAGCCGTCTGAAGCGACTAGTGAAGCACCCTCTATCAAACTGCTCTCCAAGCAGTCCGCCGAACTTCTGAATGAGGTTGCTCTACGATGGCGTGTTCCACAGTTCTCTCGTCTAGTCCTCTTTCTCGACGTAATTCGAGAAAAGTACGAGGCCCAGGAGATCGATCTTGACACACTAGACGCTGCCTTCAACTACGTCAAGGAAGCACCAGTAGACAAAAAGCACAACCGAATGAGCCACGTGTCACCAGCATTGTTTGATCGAACGAAATGGACCGTCGCTGACTATGCCTTGAATGGGACAATTTTGAGCTCTCTCCACGCATGCTTGCTACGAGAGCTCTTTGAGGTGTTACTTCAATGCTACGAGTCCAAGGCGCCTCCACTTGGGCCTATCATGTATGTCTTGGAGCATCATATCTATGAAGATTCTCTTTTCTCTGCCACACCGGAGGAGCTTGATCAATTCACAGAGTCACTAAAGGAAGGGCTCAAGTTACGAGCTGGCGAGGTGTATCGCGAACTTCTTTCGAAGAACATCCCAGACACAAAAGAAGAATGGGAGTTCTTCCACGTCATTCAGCTTGGCAAAGCCGTTGTCAAGCTTTCAGAGAGAATTCAGAAACGATATCGGAAGAATCCAGAGATCATGGGCGTCAATCCTCTCATGATACTTGTTGAGGAGATATTGCCATCATATGCTGCAGATGCCAGAGATTTGGTGGCACGCATCATGGACGTCGCTCAGGAGAAGCAAGAAGATGTACCGATTCAAGATGGGTTCGATTTGTACAAGGAGCTTGTTGAGATCCGACGTATCCATGCGGATGCGCTTCCAGGGTAAGTGTCGCCTAACCTACCAAGAACGTCTCACTAATGAACGCAGCCGGCAATTTGCTTTCCATATTGAAGGACTATTGCAAGATTTCGTTTGGCGATGGATCGAGATGACTGATGCTAGTCTTGTTGGATGGGTGGAGAATGCTGTCAAGCAAGACCAATTTACCACTATTAGCGAAAATCCAGTCGCAATGGATGATGAACGGCACAGCGTTTCGGTGGTTGACATTTTCCGGTCTTTCAACCAAAGTATTGAGCAAATCGTCGGTCTCAACTGGGACGACGATCTGCAGTATGCCAAGTTCATGACCGCCATGTCAAAGACTATTGGTATTGGGCTGGCAAGATACTGCGAGCTGATTGAGCAGCAATTTAGCAAGGAGATGGACCGCTTGACACCAGAGCAAGAGGCTGCAGCCGAACAGAGTCGACAGGATAAATGGCTGCAGATGGTCAAAGACGGCTGGAACAACAAGGAGAAGATGGAACCGTTCCAGTTCTTGCAAGAGGTAAGTCATTCCACAAACTAGTCGCTACATTTCTAATTATGTATCAGTCTCTTGTGAAACTTAACAACATCGAATATGCGACACTACGACTCGATAAGCTCGAACGCGAAGTGAACGTAGATGCATGTGCCGAAGTCATCCAAAAGCATGCTCCTCCACTAGCTCAGCGCGCTCGTCGGTCTGATAACTACGTCTTCACCATCAAGATTATTGAGGCAGAGGACCTGAAGGCCTGCGATATCAATGGCCTCAGCGATCCGTATGTTGTTCTCGGAGACGAGTACCAGAAACGATTGGCGAAGACTCGCACTATCTACGGCAATCTCAATCCTCGATGGGATGAGACTATCGATATTACCACTCAAGGACCATTGAACATCATTGCTACTATTTGGGATTGGGACACGCTAGGTGACCATGACTGTGTGGGCCGCACCTCCTTGAAACTCGACCCATCGCATTTCAGGGACTTCATGCCTCGAGAGTATTGGTTAGACTTAGATACTCAGGGCAGATTGCTCCTGCGAGTGAGTATGGAAGGAGAGCGGGATGATATTCAATTCTACTTCGGAAAGGCTTTCAGGACGCTCAAGAGGACGGAACGAGACATGACGAGGAAAATCACTGACAAGGTATTTACTCTCCATCTGTAAAAAGGTCACCTGCTAACAATCCCCAGCTGTCTGCTTATATTCACCACTGTCTCTCACGACAAGCGTTACGTAATATGCTATCTCGTGGCATCACCATGTCCTCTATATCAAGCTACTTCCAGAAAGCCCGTCCGCAGTCAGTCCAAACAGGCCCTACGCAACGAGATGTTACCAACGCGTTGGAGCCACTATTTAACTATTTCAACGACAATTTTGCTATAATGAAAGAGACATTAACAGACTCTGCTATGGTCATGGTCATGACCCGGTTGTGGAAAGAAGTTTTGGCCACCATCGAGTCTCTTCTGGTTCCACCTCTCTCAGACAAGCCATCTCAACAGCGCCCTCTCACTCAGCAGGAACTAGATGTCGTCTTCAAATGGCTACAGGTAAGTCAGCTCCAATTCCAATTCCTATGTCACGTACTAACCCACTCAGCTTCTCTTCGACTTCTTCCACGCCGTTGACGAAGACGGAGTATCATGTGGTGTACCAATGGACATCCTCAAATCGCCAAAATACCATGAGCTCCAGAACCTCAACTTCTTCTATTTCGAGACGACCGAGAACCTAGTCCGCACATCAGAGAGCATGGCAGCAGCGACAGCACAACGCCAACAAGCAGAACAGGCCAAGATGAACCGCCTCTCGGCTCCTGCAGCCATGGGCCACCAGTTCGGCGGTGCTGCTGGTTTGCTAGGCCTCCCAACCCGCAAGCACAAGACCATCATGCTGTCGCGTAATCTGGGCACAATGAGGAAAGCCAAGGAAGAGAAGAGAAAGGAAGCACAAGCTGACCCGAACGACGATATCATTCTCCGTATTCTAAGGATGAGGCCAGAAGCGGAACGATACCTGAAAGAGCGCAGTCGGCAGAAGGAGAGGCTCGCTGCGGCTGCCGCGGCCGAGATGATCGTACGACAGAGCCTGAACGCCGGGGGCGGGAGGATGACGGGCACGTTGCCACGGATGCGATAAGAGTCGGTTTGCGGCGAAGGCGGTGCATGCGGTTGAGCGTTCGAAAATGCTCATATGGGGAAACAGCGCGCGTCTTACGAGACAAGGATACATGGGGATTACCTCGGTACCTGGATATTTCTTTTGTGATCATCTACTGTGCGTAATGACTCTCCTCACTAGCCTGGAGTCTGGAGCATGGGTTGGGCTTTCGGCGTCGGATAGGAATTCATTGGTTGGGGGACGGATGGACTGGACTGGAATGGATTCGGCTGCGTACGTTTTAGGCGCTTTAGGCGATTTGTTGAAGCGCGAGAAGGGAGGGGGGGTGAGGGAAGTCTAGCGCATACATCTTAATGTTGTGGGTACGCACGGGTGTGATGGGTGGGTATGGGTGGGCTAGACGCATGAAATATGTAGACAGACTAGGTAACTGTCCGCATTTCTTACTCTTCTACTCTACACGTGAACTCAAAGCCCTTGTATCAATCTATGCTTATGTACTATCCCCTAACTACAGTAAATACACCACACCATCCTCCTTTCCTGCGGCTCTCCGTTCAATCTAAATCAATGATTCCTCGCAACGATCTCCCTCGCAAACGCCGCAAAGTCCTTCTCCCCATCCACCTTCTCCCACAAATTCGGCTGCGTGAACACCGCCAGCGTGTTGCGCGCTACTTTGCCCCCCTTGGAGCTCGCGCCCCGCACGAAGTGTGGCACCGCTTTGAACTTCCCCCGCGTGATCACCTCGAGCGCTTCCCCCGTCTGGAACCCCAGACAGTCGCGCGGGATCCCGACTTTCGTCACTGCGCCGGTGCGGGAGCGGATGTACAGCCCCGCAGCCGGGTCAGGGGAGGACGGGAGTTCAGGCAGCGGCAGCGGGGGCGAGGTGGCGGGGGACCAGGGGGGGAGGACGGGGGGGTTTGCGGCCTCGTCGACGAACATGGCAGAGGTGAGGCCGGTGAGGCAGCCGTGGTCGAGGTGGGTGGCGCACCAGTCGTCATCGTCGTCGGCTGGGTCCGCTTTCCCTGCCGCTGTCGTCGTGGGGGACCCCGGGGGCGGGAAGTAGTGCAGCAGTCGCGCTTTCGTGGAGACGGAGGTGCGGACGACGTGCTCCAGATACCCCTTCTCGTAACCCCCGACTTTCTCGAGAGCGTAGACGTCGCATGCTCGGGCTACTAACACGGCCACGTCGATGATGAGCTCGCACAATTCTCTGAAGGTGCTTTCGAAGGTGGGGAGGAGAGTGGTGGGAGGCCAGACGTTGGGGGCGGTGTATTCGGGGAAGGAGGGGTATTTTTCGGCGACCGAGGACTGGACGGAGGGGTCGGAGAAGGAGGGGGCCGGGTTGACGTAGTAGGAGCCTTTTAGGGTGTCGTAGATGCCGGATTTGAGGGTTTCTTTGCCGCAGGACCAGCCGACGAGGTAGTGGGAGTCGGGGGATTCGAGGGCGGCTGGGGCAGTGTGAGAATGAGTGATGTTCGGGGGAAATGGGTGCTATAGAAGTGGTCTATTTTGACTTCTTTCTAGGGCTCTTTTGGAAGATAGAGGCGGAGCAATCGAAGTGATATAATGAGAAAACCTACCTAGTTCTTCTGCGGGAAGATTGGCCAGATAGGACGAGTATGAGAGAAGCTTGTGTCGTAGCTCTACGAACTTCTCGGGTAGACCTTTGACAACGATTATACCTAGTGATGAGGGGCCAAAGGCTTCCTCTAAGGTTGAGAAATCCACATTTCCTAGACACATGCTTCAATATCAGTCCATACTGATTAGGACTGTTTATGGACTCACCCTTCCTAAGATCCTCTAAATTCACCGCGACGGCGCTTTGGCTAACTACCTCGCTTGACATTTTGAAAAGATGTGCACAACCTAATGATGTGGTTGGGCAAAGTGCGTTTTATACAACAGATAATTCACCTTCCCAATCCAACACGCCGTCGGCCACCTCCGATATTCTATCACGTGATCTGGAGATTAACCTCCGCCAAGCATCTTCAACAGCTTTCTAAGTAGGTAGCACTCCACGACCGAGCTCCGAAATTCAAAACAAGATGCCCGTCAAGCCACTAACCTTCAAAGGCGACAAAAAGACCAAGAAGCGCAAGCGCACCGCCGCCGCCGACGACGATACGCCCTCCAAATCTACAGACTTGACCACCACCGCTGCGGCGAAGGAAGCGGACCCGGAGGACGACTCGTGGGTGTCTGCAGAAGCTGCCTCCGACGTTTCTGGTCCCATAATATTCGTCCTGCCCACCGAACCAGCTACGTGTCTAGCCTGCGACGCGAACGGGAAAGTCTGGACGAGCGCGGTGGAGAACTTCGTCGATGGGGATCCTTCTACAGCAGAGCCGCATGATGTGAGGCAGGTGTGGATAGCGAACCGGGTGGCAGGGACAGAGAGGTTTAGTTTCAAGGGGCATCATGGCCGGTATGTGGGATCCAGCTCCGTTTCCACTCCAGTTCGAAATGCTAACATTGTATGTACAGCTACTTAAGCTGCGACAAATACGGTCTTCTAACCGCAACCCCCCCCGCCGTCTCCCCAATTGAATCCTTCCTCCTCATCCCTCTCCCCTCACAGCCCGCAGTCTTCGCTATCCAGGCCGACACGGAAAAGTTCCTCGCCGTTGACGATACCTCTGCCTCTCCTACCGTTCGTGGCGACGCAGAAGAACTGCTGTTCAATACAGGTCTGCGTGTACGTATGCAGGCGCGGTTCAAGCCGAGGCTGAAGGTTGCAAAGGCGGAGAAGGCGGCAGCGAAGATTAGTCGGAAGGAATTGGAAGAGGCGGTGGGCAGGCGGTTAGAGGACGACGAGGTGAAGAAGCTGAAGAAGGCGAGGAAGGAGGGAGATTACCACGAGGTGTTGTTGGATGTGAAGGTCAAGGGAAAGCATGATAAGTTTGCTTGATGATTCTGATGCGGGAGTTAATAAGGAAAATACTCCATGAGGTTGGATGCATGGACTAGTACATGGTTGCACTCTGCTTTTCATGCACAGCAGGGGTGTAGTGCTGGCTTGGGATAGCTGATATAGCTCATAGCGTAAGTCTGTAAGGCATGACTTTCTAGTCATCAGACGCCATGATTGATCATGGCGTTGATCAAGGCTGGGTGTATTTCTTGTCATCATCGGACTGAGACAGGGTCACGAATGCCAGTTCTCCGTCCGCTATTCCATGGGAGAGCCTCAGATAGTTGTGTTGGAGGAGTGAGAAGTCGTCGTCGGTAGACCTTTCAAAAAACTTTCAGTGCCGGGTCTAAATGGTGGTGATTTGAGTGCAAATAGTCAGACCTCGAATCATCTATTGTAAGTTCGTCGCTATCTCTCATTTGATCTAGCGAGGTTGACCATCGCTTCGAAAGGGGTATTTGGCAAGGTTGCAGTTTTCCGCATGCAAAAGCGAGCGTCCCGGCCCTCGTACCAAGCTGTCAGACAACACGCGTGAGGGAAAAACACCAAGATATCATACTAACTAACCACAAGTTCAACGGTGCACCATTGAGCTAGAATCTTATGGTCGGTAACGATATGGTCAGATGCTTAAATGCGAACAATAAAGACAACGTATATATCGCCAAAGCGCATGGCTATTGGTATAAGGTGTATCGAGTATCTGTAGGTGAAAAGCATCGCGTGAACGTTGCAGCAAGGAGTGTTTTCCAGGTCTCTTGTCGTGATGTTGTGGGACTACAGCCACTTCCGAACACCTCCCAAATTGTCTCCTTGTCGCTCCTTCTCCGTCTGCGGCCTCCGCCGAGACGCCTCTCATCTCTTCTAGTTAACCCTCAATTCCACTCGCCCATACTTTCTGTCGTTTCTACGACGTCTTACCTCCCTTGAACTGCCGTTGATAGGATCTCATCACTGCGGGCTCTCCTCCAGTTTGCTCAGCATTCAGATTAATGTTGAAACAGTAGCTGCCAGCTCGACATCTGCTAGGGTCCGACCTCAAGCCGTCGATACTCCGTGAACCCTACGAGTGGTTTGCGGAATTCACTAACTCCCCTTACATCTGACGTTGCAACTCTTCCCTCACGATCACGATGCTTCCATCCAACCTCCCAGCGCCAGCGAAGATACTAGTTCTGACCTTCATCATTGCCTTTCTACTATTCACCGCGGCGTATCTTGCCTACCAAACTCCTACCGCAGCTTGCGTACTTGAACACTATGGCGATACTCCATCCTACATTCCACCAATCAATAAGTCCGAGTCAATCATAGAGACCGTCCTGCACACGCCAATCACGAGCCCCAGTGACACAATATCATTGCAACATGTCCTGCAATTCATCTTCAACCTGAAGAGGTTCTCCATTACCGAGCCCTTATACATCAACAATGGCACCGAATATAAGCTCCACGGCACGCCATTGTACACAAAGCCACTCGGGAAGAACATATGCATCGTCGATATAGATACTCGGCCATATACGAATGAGCACCAGGTGATGCACGATGGCGAGTTCGTCTGGAGCGATACGGACCGGTACTCCGCTGGCATGATGAACCATTACACCTATGGTACAAGCTCAGATACTCATAAGCCTCTTTCCACTACTACCTACTAACGTGCACAGCAACCCTTCACGGCTACGACTACAAATTCGTCAACGCCGCCAACTACACCGACCGCTCGCCCACCTGGATTAAGCCCGCCGCCATCGCGAACCTCCTGCCCTCCTACAAATTCGTCATCTTCCTCGACGCCGACGCCACCTTCAACACCATGCACATCCCGCTGGAATGGCTCTTCAACTACTGGAACATTACCGCCAAGGTTTCCATCGCCATGGCCCTCGATCCGAACGCCACCAGCAACTACGACCGCTTTCAGCGCCTCTTGACAAATACTGGCTTCATGATCGTGCAGTATAACGCGGTCACAATGCACATGCTGCGTGCATGGGACGAGTGTCCCGGCGAGACGCGGTATGCCGGGTGCGCGGAGTGGAAGCATCCGAGGTTCCACGAGCAGTCAGCGTTTGGGAATTACGTGCGATATGACTACGGGGAGTGGATCAAGGAGTTGCCGTGTAATGAGGCGAATGGCGAGCCGGAGTTTGGCGAGTGCAAGGGCGTTTTCGTGAGCCATTTCTGGTGGCGGACTGATAATGTGAAAAAATACTTTGAGATGAACGCGTTGCAGGCGCTGATGGGGAGGGTGCAAGGAGAGATGGTCGATCGGAAGAAGGAAGTAGTGAAGCTGCAGATGGAGAATGTGATTGCTCATGGGTAGGGCGTTGGCATCGAGGGATGGCGGCATATGTTCTGGTGTGGGTAAATGTTTTGATCGGCATGGTATGATAGCATCAACACGACATTGGGGGAGTAAATCGGCATGAACCTCTGCAGGCCTCGGCATACAGAAAATTTGTAGTCCATACATATAAGACGTGAGCTTCCGAATCGATTCGAAGCTTTCGACTGCATCGAAGCAACTTCGCTATGCTTTGCTTCTTGTTTTAAATTTCTTTGCTGGGGCTGTTGAAAAAGCTTTGAAAATTAGCAGAGAGTGAAATTCTGCGGGGTGCCAGTCTCTGCAATTGGTCTCCCATCTGAGGAGATGAGTTCGCCGTCCATTACGCCGTCTACGTACGCATCTCCAAAGTTACTTACCATGAACTTTGTATTATCTATTCTTGATCCTCGTAATCACGTGATGATAGAAGCGGATTGGACTTACTATTTATAAAATGTTTGCAACTTCCCCAACAATCGACTATTGTCGAAGCCCTCGATACGCCCTAATTGATGTTCTCCCGAGTCCGAATTATTACCGTCTCCCTTGCTGTCATAACGAAGCGCCCCAATCGAGGATTATTATACTAGACTTCGTGGATAACTACCCCGTGAATTTCTGCTGCTGTGCTGAGCACTCTGCTAACAGAGTTTCTAGTTTTGCTTTCTCCGCACTGCACTGTACATATTTTTGATAACATTCAGCCTGTCCGATGTTAGCTACCTACTCATTGTTGAGAATCCGTAGAAAGACAAAACCAGCATAAGTAGAAGGGAAACGGCGTAAGAGGGGTACGTACTGCTTGCTCTGTATTTCCAGCATTCTGGTGTTGTACATATGTATTGTACCATGCGTTCGCGGCAGCCGCCGCCGCACTTATCGCACCCAGCCAAATTCCGGTCATGCTTCCGGCATTTATCATCCGGTCCGTTTTCGAAGCCATGCTTGGATTGCGATGAGTAGGAACTAGCAGAAAAAAAATCTGTGGAGACAGAATGGTTTTGAGAAGAGAGGTGAGTTGGCATTGTTGCGGGATTGCGGAAATGGGGCTTTCTTAAATACTAGATCAGGCTGAGTCGAAGGGCCGAGAGGCTGAGGTGAAGGACAATGCAGGCGGAACCATCAGCCTATCATCAGTGAACACATTTAAAAAGGTGTCTTATCAAGATCCAACCCCTCTCCTGGGGCGGCTTTTGTAGTGGTGGGCGGCGTTAGGCTGAGGTGAAGGACGATACGAACGGAACTATCAGCCTATTATAAGTGAACTCTTTTAAAGAGGTGTCTTATGAAAATCCAACCCCTCTCTAAGCGTGGCATTATAATGGTGGGCGGTAAAAGGAAAAGAGGCAACCAGAGCAAAGACGTTTGGCGAAAAAGGTAACAAGGACGAGGCTGAGACTCTGGGATAGAGATAGTTAGATTTATGGGAAGCGCAAGGCAGAAAATGGTAAGCGAGACGAGATGGTAAGCAGCATGATTCTTCAGTTGCTTGCGAGAAGGCTTTCGGCAGCTCACGCCGAGAGGTTTCTGAGAGGGAGACCTGGAGGGTTAGGTTCTTACTCACCTTCTGGTTACTGCGTCACGGGCTAACACGTGAACACGAGGTGCGAGGTGAAGGGTAAGACGTGTCAGATAATGGGCCCTGCGCTTTTGCGAAGGTGCTTTGCCTTCTTGCAACGATGCTGAAAAGACTTTCGATTAGATTTCTTTCCGGCTAAGTAACACGTCTATTCTTTCGCTAAAGAACTCAAGTAGGGAGGTGTTGTCTTTTGGGTCGAGAAATATCTTGCGAATGGCTGTGGTTGTTTGAATTAAGGCATCTCCATATTGACGAGATCCATAGCATCTGAGGTCCTCCTTGAGGAGCCGAGCTGTGTTAGCTAGGTATTACATTCTAAGCATTCTACACAACTTAAAGGCGTCTTCGAAGTCTGCTTTGGGGTCCCCGGACGGCCAATCAAGTCTTCTACTGTGTCAAAGTCAACCCTGATGACGGTTAGGGTGCGAGTGTTACTGGAGAGTTCGACTGTAGCGGTTGATCTAGGACCAGTTGCCTGGAAGGTTCTTAATGTTCCCCACCCATACCCTCTCCTCACAGGGTCTGAGAAAGTGCGCGTCCAGGACGAAAGGCCGTCCAGGAGCAGTGATCGGTTGCCCGATATAACGTCTAATCCGCCTGCTTGGCTTATGAGATGCTGAACGGTCTCGTAGAGTAATTGCGGCAGCGGCTTCGTATAGTCCGGATATATAGATATTCAGTCCTCATGCCTGGCAAGTCCTAGTAAGGCTTATATGTTGTCTCGGGGATCACTAGCATGGAAATGACCGTTAAGGTAAAGCAACATCTCAAGCGATTGTCCTGACGATAGAGACTCGCCAATATGGGCTGCAGCGCGGTGAAGCCGGCAGACACTGAAAGAATTTAGGAGCCAGTCCATACCCTTGCTCAAAGACTCACACAGAAGTGTCTCGGAGTTATTGACACGGCCAGCAAGTAGATCAACGCTCTTTTAGAGAACTTCGCAAGGAATCCAGCGATATCCGAGCCCAAGTATCACCCGACCTTGGTCTTATCAATTCCCCGGGGAACATTGAGGAGCTGAGATATTGGACTATCGCATTAATATAAGAATGATCGGTGGACCCAAATTTGGAGCTCGGAAATCCATTAGAGAAGGATAACTCGAGAGCTTCCAATAAGATTTATTGTGCGATACTCAAATGTCTCCTACATTCTCTCATCGCTAGATCTTCTTTTTGGCGGCGTGGTATAGAACCTAACAGTGCACTGGTAGCAACATCTAGTCATTACCTATGACTCACTTTTAGCTAGGGTAATTCTAGATACAAGTATATGCAGTATTAGTACATAACCTCGAAGTCATCTATACTGTCAAGAAGCTTAGCGTCGCTTTCCTCCCAAGGATACCGCTGCTCAACCTCTTTGATCAACTTCACATGCTCCTCAGTTCGCGGCTTAATTTGGAACTCAAACTCAGTTGGGTAGGTCAGGATGCCCGGTTTCGGCTTAACATCAACCTCAATCTCCTTTCCATCCTTACTCACTGCCTTGCGAATGGTGAAAGCGGCCAGCGACTGCACAATACTGAGGTAGAGGCTCGAATCCGCAAAGAACCGTCCAGGGCATATTCTGCGACCGTAGCCAAAAACATCCGTCACGGGATCAGGCTCGTTTCGAGGCGGGAGGAAGCGACTGGGATTGAATGACTCTGGGTTTTCATATACCTCTGGGTCGTGCATGAACCACCAGACAGCAGGGAGGAGGATTGCGTCCTGGGGGATATGGAGGCCGTTGTATTCGAAGGCCTCAGTCGTCGTATGAGGGAAACCCATCGGCGCAATGGGCCACCATCTCGTGGCTTCTTTGGCCAAGGCATTGACATATGGCAGCTTCTCGCGGTCCTCAAAATTGGGCAGGCGGTCTCTGCCGACCACACGGTCAATCTCCTCTTGAGCCTTGCGCTGCACATGTTCGAACTTGAGCATGGCTAAGGTAAAGACGGTGAGAGTAATCACAGTAGTATCTGCGGCAGCACCATAAAGACTTGCTGCAGACCAGATAATAGCTTCCTCATCGTCCTTGCTTAACTTGGCGGGATTTTCTCCTTGCAGCTGTTGGATAAGCTTCGACACGTACGACGGTCGGTAGTTAGGGCTAGCCGTTTGGCTCTGTACAAACCGGTATGGGATATATGCTGACGCCTGAATGGACCTTCGCCATTTGCGAGCTGTCTTCTTGAATGCTGTACCAGGGAAATGGTCAGGAAGATACTGGAGGACGGGAATAATGTCGACGGCCCAAGCCATAGGGGCAGCGGCGAGCGAGAACTCGGTCATCATCTTGTCGACCAAGTCGACCAGGGTGTCAGGCTTATTGGGCTCAATAGCGTAACCGTAGGCCATTTTCAAGACGGTGGCGGCAGCAGTGCTGTGTTTCCCTCGTTTTAGTATACAACTCTCCCCAAGTTCAAACAAGATGACCAAACTCACGTTTTGAAGTGCTCCAGCCATTTCTCAGGCTCCTTCAACGATCGCACAAGCTGCCGGTTTACTTCAATCTCTTGAGCGTCGCGGAACTGCGCTGCAGACACCTTGGTGCCAAGCTCTTGCTGGAGGTATTTGCGATAGCGGTGAAAGGTAGGGGTGTAACCCTGGCAGAGGACGATAGACTCATAGCCGCACAGCTTGTTCGCCATGACCATGGTGGGCCGCCCTGAAGTCTTGCTCGAGGTCTGCACCAGCAGCTCACGTGCTGCTTTCTTGTCATGGATTATCACGAGCGTCATGCCCATAACTGTCACGGAGCTGACGCCACCATAAAGCCTCTTGTGCTTTAGCCAATGTTGGTATTCGGGCATGCCATCGGGGGGGAAGTCTTTGATGTTTCCCAGAATGGGAAGAAGCGGCTTCGGGCCTGGGGGCAGTTTGCGCCGGCTCTTTTGGCTCGAGTGTTGGTATACGAGATAGCTGACTAGAACAGCTATGCCCCATAGCATCAGTGATGAAATCACCATTCCGGTAGGTGGAGTGTTGAACAAGTCAAGTATTTGGCACGAGAGGAGTGGAGGGAGCGGACAGAAGTCGACGTCTTAGGGACCACGTTGCTTTGGTCGGATACTCGAGCCGCTTGGTCCAACCAAACAGTATAAGCTCACTTTTTGGTGTAGCCGAATACTTGATATGCTACTTTTACTTAATAGTTACCTTGCTAGCGCGTCTTACTCAGCGCTAGTTGAACGGGAAAGTCAAAGTTTCGATAGGTGACCTTCCCTCGAGCACACCAGTTCGGCCTGACCAAACGTACGCTACAACAGCGACCACTGCGAATAGTGCACAACGCGGATCATGCATGTTGCGAAGAAGGTTGTAAATGCTGTGTTGTGGACTATCCTTCCTACGTTGATTTACGTCCACAGTTATCGATAAGGATGCGTCTAGTGGGGGGTTAGCGCTTGGCTTAGCGATTGGATGTACGAGGGTTTTTCCATCGAAGTTTCTGTCAAAGCTGCCGAAAGATTCGATCCGATAGGAAATATGCTATCATCAATTACAATATGATCCTCAAGCGGAGGAGGGCTCCAAGTATAAGACAGTGCATCGTATCGTGTGGTGGTATCAAGTGAGATATGGAGTAGAGTACCGTTAATGGCCTCGCTTCCTTTCAGGTAATAGCTCCGGCAGTCGAACATCGTGCTCTAGATCGGCGAGCGGCTGATATGTGTAGGCTAATGCCATGATGTTGCAACAGACTCAAACCTTATTTTGCACAGGAAGGGTTTACAGAAAAGGGGCCAGCCCGAAAGTGAAATATACTGCGCTAGCGCTGAGTTGATGCTTCAGATGTCACGGTAGGGCAGAAATTTCTAGTGGAGGGGGACCATGCTAAAGAAATACCCCAACCGTACAGAACGATGTTTCGTAGGGGCAATACAGCTTATTGGAAAGGCGGCTCGAGATCCCGCTTGGGGCATATTTAAAGGCAACAAGGCACCTTATCATCTGAAGCTTGTGTTTCAACGCCCCAATCTGCACCATGCCTAACCCATCTGCTCACGTGACCATATGCCACAATAGCTAAGTTCAGCTCAGGCCCAACTCAGCTTCGGCTCAGCTCTCCTCAAGTCTGCTCACCCTTACTCACCGGCTGCGGCGCAGTCTTAGATATACCTCACTAGAAACTGTCAAGTATTAGCGAGGGGCCTCAAGTCTGTCCCGGGTCACGAATCAGGGCCCCATACAGTTTTGTAAGCCTCACAAGCTCAAGCTACTTTCTAGGGAGCGTTCTCCGCCCTTGTCCTTGTTAGTGTAGAGTATGCCATTCTACTTAAATGGCCGACTTCCCTCTTACTTTCCCGTTTATTCACACCTTTTTCCTATCCTACATAGTTAGGATCCTGCACAGTTAGAATCCTACACATTATAAGTGCGTTACTGAATCTGCAACTCTAGTACTACAAGACGGCGCAGTTAGGCTATATGAAGATAGAGGGTGTATCCGACTCCAATTAAATCTGACAAGGCGAATAAAGTGCACTCAGACAGAATCTAGCTCTCCGGCCCGAGGATTTTCCGCGCTCAAGTCGAGTCGACCTCATGTCCGGCCGGCTTCTTGCCTTCCCTCAATGGAGCTATGATTATCAAGGCAGTCAATAGCCACGTCCTTCAGATCTCATGGTGTGACAAAGGCCCCGTATGGGATCCCAGGGTGCAACTGCAAGCTGTTGTGAAGGGAGTCAGCTGCGAATTGGACGGGATGTATATTGCGGCACAGCACTTTGGCGCCGAAGTCGAGCTGATGCCTGTCGGCACATTATTTCCCCCCACATCAAGGTTAAGAAGCCGTTTAGATGTCACCTCCTTCTTATCTAGTCGTGAGACAAAGACGCGACATGCAGGTTCAGGCATCTGTTGTGATGGTTGACCTTGAGAATGAGTGGGCTGTATATTGCGGCGCAGAAGTTTTGACATAAGGGGCTGCGACTCAGCCTGGTTCCAACATTCGTCTCCCTTTCCGGGACCCGTTTCAGGCAGCACATACCTGCCTCTTACGCGAGAAAGGGCGCTGTTATCTGACGTTTACGTTATTTCATTCGCTAGCAGCTTTGCCGCCCAGTTCTAGCCTGGTTACACACTGGTCAGCCTCGTGAACGCCTGGGGATCTATTTCAAGTATAAGAGTCGCAAGACTGTCACTGACATGTTCCGTTCTTTCTTCCCATACACCTCGTCCCTACATCTGTGTTGTTGACCAACATCGAGGCTGCATTTACAAAAATTGTATTGAGTTATTTGCGACACAGATCACCCCTTCACTGCTCTATCATATTCGCATGACCAGAAAAAGCAGCAACCATGTCGAGTGATTCGAGAGAAGAAGCGCGTGTCTTCATTGACAAGTTGAGGGAAAACAATGGTGGAATAGCGAAAGCGGATCGAGAATTCCTCGCGCAAACCAAGCCTCACATACTCACAACTTTTGATAACATACGGCGGAAGCTGGGTGCTTCGACACGAGCGTAAGTTAATAGCCTCGATCAAAGTTACTTTTTGTCGGTCCGTTGAGTCGCTAACATATCTATTTAACATAGTTTAGCCGACAACCTCTACGCAAAAGACACTCGTTTCGTTTACGAATTAATCCAGAACGCTGAAGACAACAAATACTCTATTGCAAATTCTTCTTCCGAGCTCCCTTGGCTCACTTTCCGGCTTTATCAGGACCGGATCGTGATTGACTCCAACGAGGATGGCTTCTCAAAAGCGAACATCATGGCCATTTGCTCCATTGGTGAGAGCACGAAATCATCAGCTCAAGGCTACATTGGCGAGAAAGGGATTGGCTTCAAATCTGTTTTCAAGGTTGCACACAAAGTTCACGTCCAGTCTGGGCCATACTCGTTTGCGTTTGAGCACCAGCGCGATGGAAATGACAATGGGCTTGGAATGGTCACACCCATGAACGAAGATTATCTTGACGTTCCTGATGGAGTACGGACTCGAATAACCTTACATCTTCTGGCGAGTTGTGACACAGCCGCGTTACGCAAGGAATTTCTAGGACTCCCTGACACCTTGTTGTTGTTCCTCAAGAAACTGAAGCGGCTATCAATCCATATCACATCCGGGGGATTTTCTGAAACAGAACGAACCTATTCGTTATCTTCGTCCGAGAATCGAGTGAGCCTTCACACGAGTCACAAGGCTCCTTTTAGTGGCTTGGTCTCCTCGACCAAAGACTACTGGATCAGTAGACGTCATGTCACGAACATGCCGTCCGACCGCGACCGGAAGAATATTAATGAAGCCGAAGTCATCCTTGCATTTCCTCTCGATGGAAATGATCACCCTGTTATCGAAACTCAGCACGCATTTGCATTTCTACCTATGCGGAAGGTTGGCTATAAGGTCAGTTCCATGAAATACTCTGCGCAACAAGCTACGCAACAAGCTGACGCTTTATACTCTGACGCTAGTTCCTCATCCAATCCGACTTCATTACCCAGGCGAGCCGGGAGGACGTATTTGATACGCCCTGGAACAACCGCCTCCTTGAGGAAGTTGCCGAAACCTTTCTGCAAAGCATCGATGGATTCCTACTTCATCCAACTCTGCGACATCACTGGATAAGATATATCCCAACCGACTCAGTTCCTGATGACTTGTGGAACCGAATCCAGATCAAGCTTCACAAAGCGATATCGTCACGTAGCTTGTTCTTTTCGAGAGACAACGGCAGGCTGTGGCGCGCAAATGAATTACGTATATTGATCCCGAGCAATAAAGACGAGGACGGGGAGCCTCTGTTTCCAGATCTTGCCTATCCTGGGCCAACCGCATACATATCGGACACATATGATCGGGGAATTGATATTCCTATTTTGAAAAGCGTCGGTCTTTCACTTTTGTCTATGCAAGATCTCCTAGACAGACTTGCACAGGACCTTAATCGCCTTAGCCCTCGGATGCATTCTATGTCACCATCCAATCAATGGCATAGTCGAGTTGCAGATCTTCTCATTTCTTTTATGCAGCATTCTAATCATACCGAATTCCTCAAGAAGCTCCCAATCGTCCCTCTCAACAATGGAAAATGGGTCCGCCCGCGCAATGCTAGTATTTTCTTCCCAACGTCAGGAGGAATTGATATCCCGGATGGGCTGCCGAACTTGAACTTAGTTGATACCGGCGCACTGCGTTCCCAAAGTCGAAGAACCCTATTTTCGAAGCTCGGGGTTATTGAGTGTGAACCATCAAGAATCTTTCCGCTCATTGAGGAACGGCACCGGTCTGGTGGCACCACCCCTGCCCAGAGTGTCAGCTACATTCGTTTCATATACTGGCACCACACCAAGTTACCCTCTAAAAACCTCGCGATTTCTCTGGCGCCGAGTTTTGTCCTCAATAAACAATGGTTCAACCCCTTCTACTCTAGAAACGGTTGGACATATTGTCCTCGATCTGAAGACCTTCATGCAATGTCCAGGTACATAGGTTTTTTGATGCCCGACCAACTGAAGGACCAAATTCGGTTTACCTATCCAGCATATTACGATGAGCTTCAGAAATGCGAGCGTCGAAATGATAAGGCCGGCGTCGACTGGTTTCGGGAATATTTCCAGATCAAGCATACGCCTCAGCTTTGCCGCAGGGACAATATGCAACAGATTTCTTCCGAGGTTGAGTACATTGCCAAGCATCAATCACAGTCCCTCCTTGGGGTGTTGCAAGCAAATTGGCATCAATACTGTTCCGAATGGGATGCGTACTTCAAATCTACCGAACTTCCGATCCTTCATTCAGATAAACTACAACGTCTTGACACAACGTATCTTCCTTTGCCGAAACTTAAGTCTATTGTAAGTCGTCTTGGTCTGGAAGAAGGCTTTGGTTTCCTCAAAGAGCTTGAGGACATCGCAGAGCATACGGCTAGCAAATGGGCATTCTTGGACCGATTTGGCGTCGTGATGGAGGAGAACGTGTCTTTTTGGTTGGAACTATTGAAAAAGGCCCAGACCAATCCCGAAACCAAGATTGAAGTCGTCTTTGAGATATACGCCAATTTGCAGAAATATGTCGATCCAGAAAGCAGAAAGATTAAGTACGCAAAACATTTTGCGGCTATGAAGAATCTCGGCGTTAACATATGATTTTTAGGAACGTTTTTGAAGGAAACCTCGTCCTGATACCGCCGGTTGATTCGGAGAGCCATGGGTCCTGGAATAGTCTCGACTCATGTGTGTGGGATGGTCCGGAGTGGTTTACATTCAAACACCGCCTTGGGGCCATCACGCAGTACCAAGATCTTTATAGTCTCTTCAGGAACACGCTACGTGTTAGTAACGCCGGATGTGATGATTTCCTGGCCTACCTACAGGATATCAAAGATTCAGAAACGAACATTACATCGAGCGTTGAGGCGAAGATTAGGCATCTCTATGAACAATTGAACGAAGAGACCAAGGCAGCATGGATTTTGTCGCCAAAAGAAAAAATCAAGTATGTATTAACATCCTCCAGTAAGACCCTATTACGAGAAAGCAGGTCTAATTGTAACAGATCCATGTTTGATGAAAATAAACTGATATACAACCCCGGAAGTCAGTCTTGGTGTGGCCCTTCCTCTTGTATCTGGGCCGAAGACACAATCCAACTACCCGGAAAATTCTCCCTTGCCACAACGTACAAAAAACAAAAGTCGTTCTTCCTTAGCATTCTTGATGTCACCAAGCCCAACTTAGAGATGCATATACTTGCATTGATGCAGAAAGCTGTAGTTCCGGACAAGCGGAGCATTATGCAGGAGATGCTGAACATCTGTGCCTTCGACGTAACGCCTCAAGCAGTAGAGAAACTCTCCGACTGCAAATGCTTACCAGTCAAGCTACCTTCTGGGGAAATTCAATGGCTACACCGATCTGGAACTTTTGCTATTGTGGACCGCCGCGATTATGGCCAAATCTTCACCGGCCGAATCAAGGTACTGGATTTCTCACTGGAAGAGGTTCATTCCTTGAGACCACTCCTATTTACGTTAGGCCTTGGCGGACAATACCTGTCCAAAGCGGTCCGGGAAGAGACTACCGTCGAAGGTGGCTCTATTGATGAACATCTCACGGAAGACCTGAGAAGGAAGTCGTACGCAATTTGCCGGTAAGTATCGACACACTTTCAAGTTCGGACTGTGCTGATTTCCTAGATACGCTGCTCATCTAGGAAGTAAGAAAGTCAAAAACAATGCATTAGCCGTGCATCGTACTCTACAGAATATGGACGTCTATGTTAGTGATGGAATCTCCAAGTCTGTCTCAGTTCGGCAAAACGGCAGAAGCGTGACAATCCCGCAAGAAAGCGCATACTTCCATCTCGATCAGCAGGACGACAAACTCAAACTCTACATCCCACAAAGCAAGAAGCACCAACAAGTATGCTTATCGAGACAGCTCCCGATTACCCTTCTCAAGCACTTTGGCGTCACAAGCGCCTTATCTGGGCAGGCGCTCGGGTCTATTATGACAGCTTTGAACCTCTTCGTGGTAGACGAAATCCTGGAGGAAGACGGTATCATTGAAATAGAAGGAATCGAGAGGCCAGAAGACGACAGGGAATTGGAGGCAAGCGACTCCGAGACTACAAGAATCCCAGCAAGTACTTCACAGATGAGAGCCTCTCCCTTCAGATCAACGGACCCTGAGACCTCAAATATCCCAGTGATCACTTCACAGGCGGGAAGTCCTGGCCAGAGTGCTAGAGTTCTCACACCTAGTACTCCGCCCCCGCGAACAGGTATCAGTCCGGACTTATTCCTCTCGCCTGGTATATCAACACCTGGTACATCAACATTCGATGGATTACCCAGTTCTCCGGAACGGCCGCACCTCTACCGAGAATTGCTAGATGCAGTGATTCGGCAAGCGGAAGGTCTTTCCAACCTACCGATGAAAGGACGCACAATTGAAGCGCCCATGGCTGCGAACTGGGGATTCGATACGTTGTCTGCTGTTAGTTCGCACATACCTGGTGAAAAGGAGTTCAAGATTGGAGCTGCCGGTGAGCTATTCGTAAGTATATCCCAATTCAAACCTGCTACATACAGTAGTCACTTACACGAAGTAGGTTTACGAATTGTTGAAAGGTCTTACGCTCCCTGGATTTACCCTCGCAAACTGGCAAAGTACGATAAGTTACCGCGTTGCTGTCCATGAGCGCTACCGTGACCTCGAGCGATGGCTCGGGTCGGAGACGGCGGATATTGTCTACGAAGACCAGAACAGCTTCCTGACAGAACTACTGATTGAAAGGGGATATCTGGAAAACGCCATTTGGGGGGGCCACTCGCCACGATATTACATCGAGGTGAAGACGACCATAGGATCCCTAGAAACGCCGTTCTACTGTAGCCAGTTGCAGTACGACCGGATGGAGCGCATGCAATTGAATGGTGCAGCGAACGAAGTCTATTTGATCGTAAGAGTCTTTTCGCTGGGTGACTCTGGAATGGGTTTGAAGGTGTATATGGACCCGGCTACGCTTCGGAGGGATCGTGGACTGATCTTCAAAACGGACAAGTACTCTGTTACGCCTGGATATGGCAGATAGAGCAAGCTCAGTTGTTTTAGGATTTATGTTGGACGATGTTAGGCTGAGAGGTTGGCGCAAAAGGCTTTTGAGTTTGTGCGATCAATACAACAATAAGCTCGTTCCTACACATACTGCATCGAGGATGCCTCTTAACTCTGCCGACCTATAATGTCCCACCCCCATTTGCTCGAGCAAGTCGGGCGTCGTGAAGAAAGACTTGATGGGATCCCAACGTAAGACCGGCTCCACACGATCTATATTGCCGTAGAGCTCTATGTCTAGCCTTGCAGTATCGAGAGCCGTGTAACAAAAGAACATATTCATATGGGGAAGATGGCCTTGAAGGTCAGGGTCAGGAAGAGAAGCGAATGCCCACGGTCTGTCCTCCGAGGTCTGATTTACTGAACTATTTTCGGGGATATCGTGAGGGGTAGTGTCGATTACAAGATAGTGAAATCCTCGAGTTATGAATCCGGAGGCTTTCTGACGTTCCTCCTCGTCTTGCGGGAGTTGCGTATTAGAGAGGTTAGAAAGTCTGCTGATCAAGCCGCCCTCTGGCTTTCCATTGGGTCCGGGACCACCAAGAGATAGCTGACATATTGAACACCACCCGCGTCCAGCAAATACATCGGGCAGGAGAATGAAAATGAAGTCAACAGGGCCCAAAGATCTAAGACGATCATGACGGAGGGCCCAACTGTGCCATTCAAGAAACCCTTAGCAACACTCGGGTCCGATGGCCATTTCGTTAATGTCAGGTTTAAAAACAGTGGCTTCTGACACGAAACTCGGGAATCTAGAACAAGAGCCTTGCCAGTTGTCTGCTAGCGTAATACGTCACTATATGCCACTAGCGTACCTCTCTAGAAACCCTATATATACCCCTCTTCCTACATAGATAATACACAAGAATTCTCTCCATTACATGGCTTTTCGCCAGCAATCACCAGTGTAGTTTCGAAATCCTTGTCTGGATTGAGCATCCGGAAATGGTAGGAAGGCTCGTAGTAGGATGCCTGTATCATCCACGTCGTTGGATGGGGATTGAATCGGTTCAGAATATTCGGCAAAGGCTGGGTAGGCTGGGGGAGTCCCTTCGCACCCCGGGGTTCGGTGCGGAAGAGAAAGGATACAATTATGCGATACGTCTTCACTGGTTTCTCATCTTCGAGTGAGCAATACTTGATTTCATAAGCTAGTGACCCATGTGTAGCGAGACCAGGCAATGGACCGAGACGAAGATCAGGTGGTAGTATTGTTGAAGTAAATTGAAGCACCGAAGTTGTAAGCGCTAGCCAGAGTGCTCCAATCGTAAGGATGACAGTTGTGGACCGAGTCTTCAGTCGAAGACTAGTGTTAAAGGGTAGTACCAGATCCCTTGGCTGGCCATTTCTCGCTCGTAGCGTTGATATTTGCGGAGAGTCATATAGTGGTATCTAAGATTTTTCAAGGACTAAGCCAGCAAGCATAGCAGCAGCGATATCCGGCGACGTCGGATACGGTTGATGGTGCACCCAAATGATAGTGGGAAAGCAAAGTTGGCGAATAGCTGGTTTCCGCCGTTGGTTGATAACATTAAAGCGTTGGAGTAGGTGGGCGATCAAAAGGGTACTGAGGAGTAAAAAGTGAAGATTTAAGCGATGGAAGCTGTGCTGGCAGAGGTTGAAATGCGAAAATGCATAGTCCTGCTTAGCCTCTACTCTTGCTGGCTTGTCAAAGGGTAGTCTAGCTCCCACTATCATGCTCTTTACTTTGTCTTTAGATTCTTGAAAGCCCATGGGGCTACCCCAAGCAGTGGCAAACGGATGTAGTCCTACTGTTAGTAAGACGGCGAACCCAGACTTGTCCAATCCTCAGATTCATGCATCACTTCCGACTGCCGCACTTCCGGCCACTGTCGCTCCTCCATTGCTCGTAGTGGTATGTCTATTGAACAATATTGTACAGGACTTTGTCGTTCGTGGTATCATCATTGATGTGGTTCATCGTTCGGCAAGGTACCGCAGCGAGTGGTCTACGGAGGCTCCCAGCAGAAAAGCCTGGGTCCAAGAGCCCCGGATATGCCTCCAGCCATGATGAGCGTGACCCATGATAGTTGCAGCCTTATCGTTTCGCAGTGTCTGGTGCAGCCGGTCGCCCGCCGTCGGAAACAGACTGAATCTTCCTGTATTCCTCCTCAAGAGCCTTTTGCATCTCGAAATCCAGTAACCGCTCCTTCTTCACTCGCTGCTGTTCGTAGTCTCGGATAACGCCAGCATGCATTGCCTGAGACTGTCAGCATACAACAAAATATCTGGACCGAAGTGAATACTTACAGCCTTTTCAGTCTGTTGCGCACGATGGACAAAGATTACAATGCCAATTGCTGAAAGAGAGGTAGCTGTTAATGTGAGCTTCGCAGCGCGAGACATGATGAAAATGCAGAGGCGATATGGACAAAAATTGGAGATTTGGTCGTCGCGAGGAATTGGAACCATCATCGCGGAGACTTTTGGCGGGAGCTTTGACCACGCGCTCGGTCTTGGCTCCTCAGTGCTTCTTCTCTACTCCCGCGGCTGGTGATAACAGTCTAACCCTGCTCAACAACCACAACCAGTCGCAAGCATGGTGAGGAGTCTCAGTGTCTATAAACGCTGGAATTTACAGCTAACCTCCAAATAGTCTGCCCAAAACTCCGCGGGAATCCAAACGCTGCTCGATGTAAGTGCGCCTGCTCAGCCACGCACCTGGAAGCTCACCATGGACTCAGGCCGAACGAGAGGCCCAGAAGATTGTGCAGAAATGTAAGCAGCGGACATATAAGCTGGTTTGTAGCTCCATAAACTGACATATTTCAGCCAGAGAATGTACGCCATCATCCCCGCACTGCTGTCCACCGGCGAACCCTGACCCCTTCTAGACCGGACAAAGCGAGTGAAGGACGCTCGGAGTGAGGCACAGAAAGAGATTGAGGAGTACAGAAGTCAGAAAGAGGCTGAGTTCAAGGCGTTTGAGAAGGAGGTGCGTCCAACTGAGCACCGAGAGATGGAGCTGTCGGGGAACTGACGTATGGTACAGCACAGCAGCGGCAACCAGAAAGCTGAAGAGGATGCCAACAAGGAGGCCGAGGCGAAGGTGAAGGAGATTAAGGGGATTGGGAGCAAGACTGGCTCCAAGGTGGTGGATCAGCTGCTTGCTGCCGTTATAGATGTCGAGCCTAAGCCACTCAGATGAGAGCATGTCGGACGTGATAAGAACTACGGACCACCGGAATCCAGGAGTTGGACAATGTTAGCTCCCTGATAGAGCGTTTACGGAGGACCCTGGTTATCTGCTATCCATCAGGAAAGAGGAATCCTTGTTCACAGTGCTGGCATTCCATTTTCGAATGTACAAAGATTACAATTGCACAATAAGGTGCTTATTGAAGTTGTTATCCGTTCTTGTATTATTCGTGAATCATCGAACAACAATAAGAACCCATGGAGAGTATTTGAAGCAATGTACGTAGCTTAGCAATATAGAGCGACAATATGAGACAGAAAGACCAATCCTTGAGTGCTTTCAGATCTTCTTGCGAACTCTGCAAGACCAAATCCGATCATTTCTGCTTCAATTAGCCATTTCTATCAGACGTTGTGGCATTAGTTCTGAACCCTGCAAATCCATGGTCCGGGTGAGGTTACGTCACCCGAACTTGTTTGAGGTCGCGACCCTCAATTTCAACGCCAGCAGTTCAACCTCCACACCATGCGTGATTTCTTCTCACCGAATAATGTTACTTCTGCATCGGACAGCATGCCGCTATGCGATCCGAACACCACGTCTTGCGCTATGTTCCCGCACACTCAGCACTTCCTTTCGACGCTCGAAGGACCCACGTCTAGGTGACATTGGACGCGTTATAGAGGACGAATACGCCGTAGTACGAGATAATTATGGTAACGTGAATGCATTGCCGTACGGAAAATACAAAGGTTAACTTCTAACAGAAACTCCCGTATGTTCGAGCTCCCTTTGCCACGACACTTCTCTGATTCTCTAGAAAAATCCCATTATCCTCGCGCATGGCCTCCTCGGCTTCACCGAACTCAAACTGGGTGGATCTGTGTTACCCGGCATTCATTACTGGCGAGGAATAACGGAAGTCCTCTCTCAGAAGGGCATTGAGGTCATTACAGCGGCTGTGCCCGCCTCAGGCTGCATAGAGGCACGAGCCGAGAAACTTGCAGAGACCATTGCGGAGAAGGCGCATGGAAAGAGTGTGAACATAGTAGCGTAAGTTCAAAAAGTTTTGCCTGGGCAAATGATGAAAACTAATGGGCCCTAGGCATTCTATGGTACGAAGTACGTCCATCAATGTCCTAGGACTTGCTAATAGTGGCTAGGGGTAAACATAATACCAGGTTCCTTGTATGACAGGTTATATCAGCAGTTAACCGGATGAATAGTGGGCTTGACTCTCGCTACATGATCAGCCAGCTCAGGCCTCCCAATGTTCGCGTATTATCGTTGACTACCATTGCAACTCCCCATAGAGGATCTGCTTTTGCGGATTATATGTTCAACACGATTCCGCGTGTGTGCCGTAACCTAGCTCTTGTTTCTTGAGTATCAGCTGATTGTTCACAGCACACGCAGTAAAGAGAATCTACAAGGCGCTTGAATACGTCGGGTTTGAAACAGGCGCCTTTTCGCAATTGACTAGGAAATACATGGCAGAAAGTTTCAATCCCAGAACCCCAGACGTGGATGGAATTCGGTTTGGAGCCTCTCGCAACGAAGATCAGTCACTTTCGCTCAGCGTACTAATTTCTCTACAGCTACTTCTCCTATGGAGCGACCCTCGAACCACAATTCTGGTCTATCTTTGGACCTTCGCACAAGATCATAAAGCGTATTGAAGGCGCGCCTAATGATGGGCTCGTAAGGTGTGTAATGATGACAATGAAAGAAGTTTGAAGGCTTACTCATAGCTCATCTGCAGTGTCCCTTCCAGCCAGTGGGGTGAATACAAAGGCACTCTTGTCGGAGTAAGCCATTTGGATCTGATCAACTGGACGAATCGAATCAAGTGGTTCTTCTGGGAGCTAACCGGAAGCAAACGAAAGTGAGAGGCTGCTTTATTCAAGATTCAAGTCTGATCCTACGAGGCTGACTTTTGTGAAGTTTCAATGCGATCGCATTCTATCTTGACATTGCAGGTAAGCTTCGTTTCACACACCGAACACGAGACGGGCTTTGCGGGCTAATAGTGATCCATGGGTAGACATGCTGGCAAAGGAAGGACTGTGATTCCAATCGCTCTGCGTAAGAATGCACGAGCTTCGTCTTTCGCAGGGCTGAAGCTATCAATTCAGCTGGAAGATTCATATACGTGCAGGAGCAACGTAAGCCTTGCTGGATTCGTGCACATTTGATACGTCCCAGGAGTCTGGGAGTCTGAGCTTCCATCCGCAGCGGCGCTTCGTGCTGCAAGGGAGTGTGGCTCAGCCCGTGGCGGCACGAGTCCCCTGGAGATCGCCACATTTCGATTCCTGCCGTTGTAAATATGTACATTCGTAGTATAGATACTCGTGGATAAATGTTTTGTTTGAATGAAACTTGATTCTTGACCTGTGTGGAATCGCTGGGCTTACTAGATTTGTCTCGTGAGAATTTTATGTTTTATTTCGTCATAAGCGGAAGCGCCGGTGACCACTTTGGTGAGCATTTCGCCAACGAGAAATACTGACGCGGACAAACGGGCAGTGCAGCGTACGGAACACCTCCAGGGCTCTATCAAACACTGGCCAAGACTTCCAGATCATTTCACGACGACTACTAAAGACGGCGTGCGATGCCTGACCGTGATCCAAGGCGGCATCTGAACGCTACGTTCGCATCATGATTGTCCAAATCCGCCTGGATAAACCACACGCGCATTTCACCAACCTCGATGTCATCAGTGGCAGGGTGCTGCTCCGCGTTCCCAATACTACCAATGTGTCTGCGATAGTCGTCAAGCTCGAGGGCGAGTCACGGACTCGACTTCTTGCGCCGACGCGACCTGATAGACCAAACCAGGCCAGGCCTGTACTGGAGGTTCATAAGGTGAGATGCCACCAGTACCGGACGCAGGAAATGTTACAGAGTTTTCTTATATTGACAGATTGCTAATAGCACACAGATCCTATACAAGACACAGGCTGTATGGCCATCGCAAAATCTGCAAGATCCAGCCTTGCAACCGAAGAGCTATACAATAAACGCAGGCCATTATGAGTACCCGTTCCAATTCAAGGTAAGACCCAGTTTATATAACTCCACACAGCACCAAGCTAATCTGCTTGTTCTTAGCTACCCTTCAACAATGCCTGTGTTACGGCAAACAGTCTCGCGACAAACCTCAACTTCTCTGGCCTTGCGATGGAAGTTGCGAAGACACCCACCCACCACGTCAAACAGACCCTCCCTCCCTCCTTGAACGGATTTCCTGGCGAGGCAGAAATAAGATACTATGTGAAGGTTACAGTCAACCGGCCGCAGTTCTTCAAGGAGAATCCCCGAGCTGTAAGTTAGATGCTTAGGCTGTGACTGATATAATCTGATGGATATCTTTTTAGTGGTCGAACTTCACATTTCTTCCAATCGAGCCCCCGAGACCTCCTCGTGCGGATGGAGAGGCGTATGCAAGACGACAGCACCAGTTTCTCGACATGTCTGGAGACACCGGAAAGAGAAAGCAGAGCTTCTTCGATGGAATGAGAAAGAAGGATCAAGCAACAACTCCAACCACTCCGGTATCACCAGGAGCGAGCGCTCCTCCACGATTCACTGTTGATGCCCGTCTACCAAATCCTGCCATTCTCACGTGCAACGAGGAGATTCCTCTGAGGATTCTCGTCAAAAGCTTAAGCGAACGCACAAAAAACGTTTACTTGCAATCGCTTCAGATCGAACTAATTGGCTACACCAAAGTGCGAGCGCATGAAGTTCATAGGACTGAATCGAACAGCTGGATCATCAACACTATGAGCAATATGGCAATCCCATTGGGTGCTCCGACAGATCCCGTTGGAACAGAAGTGTCAATCAATCCAGAATATTGGTCAGGCAAGACCCTACCTAACACTGTAGCCCCCTCATTCGAGACCTGCAACATCTCGAGGTCCTACGAGCTCGAAATTCGCGTGGGTTTGGGTTATGGCACCTACGAGCACGGCAGAGATCAACTGACAGTGCTACCACTACGGCTCCCAGTCAAGGTCTTCTCTGGTATCAAGCCTCCGGCCGCGCTGCTCCAAGCTATGGCGTCTGGCGATGGAAAGCTCCAACCTGGTCTCGCACCCGCGTCTCTCCAGCCCGAGCCCGGCCCTGTTATGCCCTACACGCCTGTCGACCCTCCACCGTTTTCTAACAACCAATTTCCCCCTCAACAAGGCGTGCCATACCAGCCGCCTCCGATGGCCGCGGGCTTTGAAGACGCGCCTCCGAGTTACGAAGATGCCGTCGCGCAGGATATCCCGCCTATCAACGGGTATAGAGGGGAGTACCAGCCTCCGCCTTTCCCGGAAGGGGAACCAAGGTTCTCTGGAGACGAGAAAAGAAGACCGTAGAGGAGGCATCGTGATGACTTATGATGGACATGGTTTGGTGAGAGATATCCATGAGCACTTTCTTAGGGAGAGGCTGTTCTATGGTGATTGCTCAGGCTATTGCTTGGCACTTGCAGACTTTTGGGGGTCAATAATGGAGATGGGTTTATGATTAGACTAATATTGAAACTCTTTCCTTTTCATCAAATGCTAGTACTGTAGCCTCCGGTATGGCGGGGAAGTGCTGCTGGTTAGCATCGTGAAAACATGAATGCATACTACCCAGAAAAATTGAGAATGAGAGGGTGAAAGGATTGTATGCCCATTACGAGTAAATCGAACGTTACATGTTAGGGTCAGGATGACCGCAAGTTGACAGACTTCGGTAATGATGAAAGCCGTGGAGCGTGATCTTCGGCTGCAGAGGTGGTTTCTCGGGAGGCTTCCTGAGAACACCCCTTCCACCCTATCCATTCCACACTATTTTAGCTGTTGATTCCATAAAGGACTTTTCACATAATAGATTTCGCGACTGAGCATTCCGGCTAATGATTAAAGAACTGTAACGCCGGCTTTGTTCGTGTTCGACGGTGGACTTAGATGAAAGTAACAAGTTCTTCCTACCTTTGTATGATTCTGCATCATGCACACGCTCCGTGGAGACCATTCACCATCTGCACGACTGGCGTTTCGGAAAACGCGACGTTGACGCGAAACGATTGGCCGACATTCACTCGGGCCTGCTTCGCGGAGAGGCTGAAAGTCCACGCGAGCGTTGCTGGGGTGCCCCGAACTGTAAACAACCATCAACCTTGCCTCGACTTCCTCATAAAAACCCACCTCTAGATCTCGAACCTCACATCTTTGCCTCACCGCAGTCTCTACCGCCACAGGGTTATCAGACACTTTTTCAGGAAGCCTTCCCAGAAACACGCTTTTGCATAAAGAAACATGGACTCCCTCATCAACCCGCCTACCATGTCGAACGCGGACATGGCGACTTCGGAGGCCAAAATCTCTCCACCTTCGCGGTCCACGACTAGTAATGCGAATGTTACAAAGCGGTGCGTTCGCTCGCATGCATATTACCTGTTTATGTAACTAATTTGGTGTTGCAGGCTGCAAACTGAGCTCATGAACTTAATGATGTCGTCGACGCCCGGCATCTCCGCCTTCCCTAACGACGAGAACCTCATGAAGTGGACCGCCACCATCGACGGCCCCGAAGACACGCCCTACGCCGGTCTCAGCTTCAAGCTCAGCTTCGAGTTCCCTACCACCTACCCGCTCACGCCGCCGACCGTCCTCTTCAAGACCCCCATCTACCACCCCAACATCGACTTCTCGGGCCGCATCTGCCTCGACATCCTCAAGGACAAGTGGAGCGCCATCTACAACGTGCAGAGCGTGCTGCTGAGCTTGCAGAGCCTGCTCGGCGAGCCTAACAAGTAAGTGACAAAGTCGTGCTGTCCAACCCACGGCGATGGAGAGACAGAGCAGCGTGCTAACGAAGCGTAGTGCGAGCCCGTTGAACGGACAGGCTGCCGAGCTGTGGGACAGCGACCCAGCCGAGTACCAGCGCCTGGTGCTGGCGCGCCACCGCGACGACGAGGAAACGGAGCTATAGCTGCGTAATCAGTTTCTCTCTATCCTACTTCCCGATGTGTGATTAGCGGGCGTTGAGTGCAGGCTCCTTCCTTTCCTGGGCCTGGACTGGTGTCGGAACTTCTTGTTTGCATTATTTGGAGCGTAGGGTTGCTTTGGGTATTGTAGCTACCTTTGAACTGGCATTGTTGGCGTGATGAGTGCTAGTTGGGTGTGCTGTGGTGATGCGGTGCTTGATCGTAGTGCTTTTGGGGTGGCTCTCTTGTGGTATATGGGAGCTTGAGTACCTATAATCTGCTCCACGACGATATGTCGGGAATAATGATACTGTCATGTCTTGTTTTGACCTGTTCGATTTGCGCATAGGAGAGCCACGGCGTAAGGGTGAGTACACGGCGTCGTTATCTTCCGACACTCCTATACAAACTCTGTATATACGTGTACACTCTTGAGCACATCGAGCTAGTAGATGAACAGGATATTCCTGATGAGTCGTGCTTCATGGCACTCGTGTCTGATTTGCGGCAGGATGAATGCCATCGTCATGATGTGTCCGGAGGATTAGAGGCCGGACGCCGGCAGGATCTGGTCAGGTTCCGCTTTGGGGCAAGTACAGTTTGAGAAGTCTGGAGGTCTTTCGCCATTGGCAATTTGAGAAAACAAACTGGCTTGTTTCAGAACACTGTCTTTGCGTTTCCCTTTGCAGGATTGAGGAGAGTCATCTAATCTCGCTCTTGGCGGAGACGGAATGCCAAGATTTCACGACCGCTCATCACGTTCACTTCAAAGCAGCTAGACAACTGCCAGGAGAGCCAATTCCGATGGAGCAACACGCAACTGCTGGCACATAGAAGCAACCTACGAGTCTATGTACTGGAATCTCGCCTCCCCCTTGCGGACTGCCGGCCATGCCTGTCTGGGCGGAAGCGTCGTCTCGATATATTGCAGTTTCAAGGCCGATCCCCACCGAGGCCCTTCAGCGGCAACAAAAAGCGCATTCCATCTTATGCATGACATTTCGGATGGGGCAAGTGATGGCTTTTCCGAGACCGCTGAGGGCGCCGGAGTCCCGCGACTCGTCCCATCGCCCGAGCGACCCCTCCCTCCCACAGCCCGTGGTGATCGCATCACGCTGTGCTCGGTTCAAAGGCATGCCGCCCTACGGCCGCCGCTGCTGCCGGCGCGGCGGACGGCAAGAGGAGGACACGGCGGTGAAGTGGGCAGCAATTCTGAGCTGAATGCTGCCCACCCACGGCAGCACCCCGGATTCCACGTGGAGACTCCCGCAACCCGCGGCAAGCAGAAATGTCGCCTGAGGGGAGCTTTTAGCGCTGATATCCATGGTGTCTCTTGCCCTCATGCGTGCAAGGGCCGGCAGTCGCCACAGTGGGGTCTCTCGACCCGACGGCGAAGGTGTGGGGGAACAAGCACCGTGCCGTGTCTTGATGGGAGCCCTCGAGCGCGAGAGCGGCAGGCACAATTGCAGAGGCACAAGTGAGGGGGCAGAGATGAAGATATATTGCCCTGCGCGGCCGATCTGGTTTCGCCATGCTCGCGGCGCAGGGAACACGTCCTGACGATCCCAGCGGCCGGATCGCCCTGACGGCCCCGGCCCAGTTCCAAGTTTCGGGCGGGGCCGATGGCCTGGATCCCGCGCCTGCTAGCCGGATTGCGGCCGCGGCGTGGGTGGCTGGGTGAGCTGGGTGAGGCGTCGAGATGGAGGCGGTCGGCGACAGCGGCAGACTCAGCTGGCGCAAGCGCACACGACGCCTCGAGAAGACGCAACAGGCAAACGGCGACGCAGAGGCATTCCGCAGGGCGGTTGAGGCAGAGTCCAGCGCGCCGCCTCAGACACAGGCACTCGAAACAGGCATGCCAACCATCGTGGACGGGCCCTAGGCCGAGAAAGCCAGGGTCTCTGCCGGGCAGCCATTGCGCACCTGAACCACCTTGGCCCACCGGAACTTGCATTCAGGAATCGTGTGTCTCTCGGGCGTCTGAGACGTCGGCCCGCGAGACCAGGCGGCCAGTGTCGCTATTTAAGTGCTCGGAGTACGCAGCAGAGCATCGGACGAGCACCAGATGAAGATCAGACAGACATCACCGGCGGAGGATGAGCGGCAGACGTGTAAACGTCCTTTTTGGGCTAATGTTGGCCTGGCTTGAGTATTGATTGGCTGGGAGGTGACTATTCCCCCCTACAGGCGTCCGGAAATGCTACCTTCTACGTAGTTTTGTGGCTTGATTTCCGCGCTAGGTCACCGGACGCAGGAAGATGCTGTAGTCACGAACGTGCCCAGCGGCTGCACGCTCTGGGCCGGTGCAGATTGACGTTGCACATGTGCCTCTCTGGCGTGCTGGCAGCCCTCGTCGATGCAGCACCACTCAGCAAGCCCTGGAACTGTCGTCGACCGCCCTCCCACCGGACAGGGCGCCCTTCACGCAGCTCTGCCTCTGCCTCGACACCCGCCCCCGCTCTCGTACTTCCGTGACAGCCAATCGTTTCAGCGTGAGCTCGCCCATGCCCAGTCCGCTCCGTGCTCTGGCTCAACCTCTCGGGTAGCATCGCGCTATGACAGTCTGACTTTGTCTGACAGAGCGTCTTTGTTCGTTACTCCGCCTTTGCCTCCAAGCCCGCCAGCACACACGCTCTCCTCTCCCGTGACGACCAAACCCTCTCCGCCGGAGCACCTGCTCGACTTCACACAGGTTCACAAGCTGGCTCTCGCAAACTCCTCTGCGTCGTCGAGCTTGCGGTTGGGCTGCCTCTCCTCTCCATGCCTCGCCTTCCTTGACGCTGTTTTTGCGGGACTTGACGGCATCCTACAGCCAACTTGTTGAGACACGGCCCAGTGCAGCTCGCCATGGCCTCAACACTGCTGCCCTCCGGCGGCATTGCCCTCCATGGGGCTCCGGACTCCGACATCTCCACGAAAGAAGCCAGGAGCCATGCTGTGCACGTCATGCAGCTCGAAATCACCCAAGACATCATCAACGAGCTTCTCGAGAGTGCCCACGGCGGCAAACCCCCCCAGATACTCTTTGGCAGGAATCCTGTACGTGTGGAGAGTGCAATTCATTATCAATGCTGAAGCCGTCGCCCCACATCCAACATGATCCTAAGATTTCCGAACTTTACTGATAGCCACCACCATAGCAACTCAAATATGGCGACAAGTCCCACGTCCTCCAGACCACTTCCGAGAACCTTCGATACGAATTGTACCATTCTGCCGGCCCCGATAGTCAAGATGAATACACATTCGCCGGCCTCATCAACCACTCTCTCGCCATCCAACATGCCGAACAAGTTACGTCGGGGGTGGACACTGCGTTGGAACAGCTGAAGAGCTCCATGGCGGCTATACACAACATTAAGGAAGCGAACAAGTATGCTCTACTCTTTTCGTTTCGTTCCCATCCGACTAGAGAGCTGCCGGGACAGGGGTTGGTGACATTCGTTGTCGTCACCAACTTTACTCACCTGTTATGAGAGGCTTGCACCTGACTCTTCAGCAAGCACTATACTCACAACTGAACAATAGGACTACTGTTGTCAAGGACGCAGACGCAAGCTCACTCCTCACTCCTTCGCACCGGCGAGGTCTCTCCAAAAACTTCAAGCCTCAACAACACCTGAAACCCTCCTCCAACCTGTCCTCACCACTACGATCTGTGCCTTCGAGCCCAGCCTTGAATGGATTACAGAATCTAGGTAAGGGTCCTACATCACAACCAAGCTCGCAAACCGAAAAGACTCGAGCTTTGCGGTATGTGACTGTTCATTACCTCGCCTTGGAACCGCAACCATTTGAGAAGTACGTGAACCACATCCGCGCGCGGAGGGACGACTGCAAGGAAGTTCTCCAGAAGGTTGGCAAAAATCAAGACGGGAAGTGGCACCTCACCGATCGAGCCTTCAAGGATCTCGACCCATATAAATTTCCCTACCAAACTTCTGAGGATCGAGAGAAAGCAGTCAAGAATGCAGTGAAAGCGTTTGACCGACTCCGAATCGCGAAAGACGACAAAATCTGGCAAATGTTGCTGCCTAAGGAGGAGCGTGGAAAGGGAATGTGTCTATCCCGTCTCAACGTCACTGCACCCTCCCAAAGGCCGTCTACACCAATGCAGTCAATCTCGAAGCTCACAGAAAAGAAGGCGGGGGCTGGAACCAAGGGCGAGGAGAAGAAGTCGGAGAAGGAGGGAAAGAAGGTCCGAGAGGTGAAAGAGAAGAAACCCGCTAAGGAGGTGAAGGAATCAACAAGCGACGAGCCCAAGATGGTGAACAATAAGAAGACGGCGAGCCAATTGCAAACCGGCGCTGCCAAAACGAAGGTGAAGAAGTCAGCCGCGCTTTCAACGGCCGAAGACTCTTCTACTTCTACATCTCGACAGAAGACCAAAGCCACTGCCAAAACTACTACCAAGTCGACTACCAAATCGACCACCAAAACAACCGCCAAGGAAGATTCATCTCAAGAGAAAATGATCAGGTCCGGCAAGCCGACAATAAGCGCTGCTACGAAGCCGAAAAATCCTTCTCCGCTCTCTGCATCGCCTCCGGTGAATGCGAGCGACTTCGATGACGCCCATCCGGTCCACAAAGCACTCTCCGCAGCTCCATCCCCAGCTAAGAGCTCCTCTGGCAATTCGGACCACATGCTCAAGCGCAAGGCCAACGATCTTGACAGCAACATCCACAATCACAACCTCTCGGTCAAGGTACGCAGGGTCGATCGCTCAACTCCGATTGCAACCCCGCTCAGCACATCGGGCAAGACTAGCACGCCCTCTTCTGCGCAATCTCTCAAGCGCAAAGCCGTGGATACCGACTTCTCCGATATTTCACGAACTCACACACCCATGGCGTCTGGCTCCAAAGTCCGCAAAGTCAACAGCATCGACACCGCCGCCGCCTCTCGGTACAACGCCGCCTCTCCTCAATCCGACACCACTACCTCTCCACCTCTACCACTCAGCTACCGTCAGACGATCGAGTTGTCCCAGAAGTTTGAGCGGTACTACAAAAAGTACGAGCAGCTGTACTTCCAGCTCGCTGACGACACAAAACCGCCGAACGAAGAACAACGCGATAGCCTCATGAAGATGCACAGGAAGCTGGAGGAGATGAAGCGGGAGATCAAGGCTGGTGCCAGGCACTCGCAGGCGAGCAAGGAACATTCGTGAAGGAGAAGTGCATACCTGGTCTTGAAGACCAACTGATTTTGGCGGCATACTGGGTGTTCACGGAAAGGAACAAGGTCTCTCATTTCATGCATCACTCTGGTGTTTTTGAATCAGCATTTCTGAGGGGTCATTGGGAGTTTGAGAAGCCTTTGGGTTTCGTTTCTGGGCTTTCTTCCGAATAATGACCGCATAGGCCAACTGGATGGCAACGAAAAGCATATCTTGGAAAGGAGCTTTGATGCTATAGTCGAATGAAAGTTTTCGCATAAATCTCTGCTGCTGCTCGGAGTGAGTGATACATCATGTAGGATAGTTTGGAGTGGCGCAGCGAACTGGACATCAAACCTTTTAACATAACTGATTTCTGTCCCAAAATGCACTGAAGCCAATAGGAACTTATAAGCCTACACAAATTGATCAATCCAAACATCTCAATTCTACCTCACATAAAATGTCAGCTACCAGGCCACCCTCCCCTGCTTGAAGTGCTTTAATGAGGTTCCACACAGCCGAAAATGAAGAGTTTCTGTCCTGTTCAGGTTTCTGAAATTTCATTGAAGCACCCCAAGCAGTAACATCCACGCGCACACAACTACGGCGGCTTGTTCTAGGAATTAGAGCCCTTCCTGTCTAGCCGCTTACTCAACAGCTTCTTGTGTATATTTTTCCTCCTTCCGCTCAATAGCTAGCTTCCTCACCTTCATCAATACAACAGCTTTTGGCTACACACCTTGTCTTGATCCGTTTCCCCTCTGACTGTCGCTCAGCATACATGCCAGCACATGGGTTCGCGCTAGTAAATCTTGGCAGACCCACTGGAGCTCGCGCCACAAGCGGTGAGCTGCAGGCAGTAACCTTGCCCAACCACGACTCACACCTTCACCCTTCCAGCTGCCATTGAACAACACTACACATTTCAAATTTTGAACACGAGATTCTCAATTCAATCCTCCTCGAAGGCACAGCACCTACGCTACGACTACAAGCTCCATCCAAATCGACAGCTCAACACGATGGACCTCGACCCCTCCGAACCCGCCTCCCTGCAGACCCTCCCCCTGGAGCTCCTCTTCGAAATCTACGCCCACCTCCTCGCGCCCCTGCCCACCCACTACAGCTACACCGCCGCGGCCCCCTCCACCGGCACTCCCGCCTCCACCCAATCCCTCAACGTCCCCGCCCTCCGCGGCAGCGGCAGCGGCACTCCAAAGAAGCAAACCAAAACCAACCCCCCACGGCCGCTGCGCACCCACGGCATGCTGCTCGCCAACCACGCCCTCAGCGCGCACTACATCAAGGCTTTCTACGCGCGCACAAACTTCTTCTTCTACGTCGACGCGCACAACGCGCGCGCCAAGGCCTGGTTCGCGCTGCCCGCGGGCGCGCTGGCGCATGTCCGCGCCTGCAAGCTGTATATCGAGGTGCACCAGATCGCGCGCGACCACCACCACACCGAGGCGCACCTGGCGGCGTTTGTCAAGCGCGTGGAGAGGCTCCTGCGCCGGTTGAAGAAGCTGAGGCAGGTGCAGCTGGTGTGGGACGTGGGGCCGGTTGGGAGGGGCGCGAAGAAGGGGCTGGGGGTGGCGCTGGATTGGGAGGGGCTGGGGGAGCCGTTTGTGGAGATGTTGAAGGGGATGCAGGGGGTGAGGGAGTTTATGGTGACGGTGGGTGAGCAGATTGAGCGGTTTCGGAGGGAGAAGGGGGGGTGGGGGGTTTATGGGGAGGGGGTTGAGGGTGGATCGAGGGTGGCGAAGGGGCCGTTTCCGTTTCTTTAGGGCGGGGATGCCGACGATGGGGGGGACGGGGTTGGACAGGGAGCTGTGAAGGTGGCTCAAAAGGATTTGGGCTGCTGAGCTGGGCTATTCTAGTGTGAGAGATCAGCTATGCATCTCTAAACTATGCGGACCGTGGGATCTAAGGCGTTTGCGGGGAATGGATCAGTGGATGGCACGGCTTCGTGAACTTCGTCAAGGAGTTGTCCGTCAAGGATTGACGAGTTTCAAAGTCACCAACAGTCTAGGTCATGAGTTTTTCTATCAGAAATGCATACTGGTATACCCTCAGATCTTCCTATGTCGCACCCAGCCTCTTCTTCAACGCCTCAACGGCCGGCTTGAGATTCTTCGGCTGCTGCGCCCAATCGTGAAGTTTCAGATCGTCGTCGCTTGTCACTACCCACAAGGTCTCTGCAGCACTACTACGAATCTACTGCAGTCAGCATGCATTTCCGATCAATGAGATTATGAGTTTAGCCATACCTTAGGAAAAGGATGCAGCAGCATGCTCGCTACCTTAAGGAGCACGTCTTTCCTCGTGCTGTCAATCTCCGCTAGCCCCCTATACACATCCAGCGCAATATGCAGCTTATTGATATTAGTAGATTTATAATGAGCCTTCTGGGTTAGGGAGAGGAGAGCCCGAAAGCTGTAACCCACGTCAGCAAATAGCCACAACACACAGAAAACAGCAGGAAGAAACTCACTTAAACCGCGTGCCCACCAATCTCTGCACCACCCCGGCATCAAACAAGAACGCCACAACCTCCATCGCCGGAATCAACACCCGATCGTTCGCCAGACTCCCCTTCAGCAGCTCTACCAAGATATCCATGACATCGAGCAGCGAGCAGCTTCCCCCCTCCCCCTCCCCCTCCCCCTCCGCCCCCTCTACCTCGCCACCAGGCCTGCCCACAGGAAGCCTCTCCATCGCATCCACCAGCACCATGCGCGCATTCTGCACCACACTCTCCGACCCCATCCCCGCCGCGCTCACATACCCCTCCATGACGGCCTTCTTCAGCCACGCGGGGCTCTGGGGGCTGAACACCCCCAGCGCCTCCGCAAAGTAGGCGTACGACGACACGCCGTCGGCGGCCCCGCTGATGGCGGCCTCGAAGTGCTCCTGGTTGCCCGCTTCGAGGCAGTGCGCGGCGCGGACGCGCATCTTGTCGAGCCGCTCGACGGAGAGGCGCAGCACGGCGGCGTGCAGCTCGTTCGCGCCAGCGCTGCCGCTGAGGAGCGCTGTGCGCCATGCGATTTCGGTGGTGGCGATGGCCTCGAGGCGCACGAGGGCGCCGACGTCGCCGCGCTCGGTGACGGTGTAGTCGTTCAGCGCGGTGTTGAGCGCCTGCGTGATCTTGGCTTTTGAAGTCGGCGGTAGGAGGGAGGAGGGGTTGGTGGTGGTGGTCGAGGAGCGCGTGGCGCGTGCGGCGGCTTCTTGGAGTAAGGTGCCGAGACTCTGGAGCGCGGCGGTGCGGGCTGGGATGTCGACGGCGGCGGTGCATCGGAAGGTTAGGACGGCGATGATGCGCTGTTCGTAGGAGTTAAGGTCGGGTTCTGGGAGGGAGGAGAGGTGGGAGTAGGCGGCTCCTAGGGCGATTGCGAAGCCGGAGGCCCGTCGGCTGGCGTAGGAGGCTTCTTGTTCGAGGTAGTCTATCCAGGCGGAGACTACGGTTGAGACTGTTGACGAGGCGTTTGCTTGCAGGGCTTCAATGGTGTAGATGACGGTTTTAGGGATGGCTTGGAGGACGCTCTCTTCGGTACGGCCGAGGCATAGGTCGAGCAGTCGAACCAACTCCTTGCTAGGGGGCTGTATGGTCTCGTTCGATCCTATGATCTGCACTGATATAGAAGCTAGCGCACCAAGAAGGCTACAAATCGCGGAAGCTGTGAGTTCTGGTCGCATTGCTGGCGAGATAAAAGCCTTGTCTTCTAGATTGAGGGTTTTGTCGAATATAGTCCAAACGCGAGTCAACTCGGCCAATTCAGCTAGGGATCTCGAAGGTGGTGGATTTGCCTCAGAGTCGGAGATGGGAGCCCTTTGTGCTGCTGATTGTGTATTGCTTTGACTGATAAGAAAAGCCAAAGACATTACCAGTCCATGCCTCTCCTCGATTTGCCTCGATGCCAGTCCGTCTAGTTGCTGCCATATATTCTTCACCATCGCATTGACTTTAGGGAACAGCTGGTAACGACTCAAGAGCCCAATGGCATTCGCCGCAGACAATCGGGACGAGGTATCCAGGGATCCAACTCCTCTCCATTCCAGCAGATTCTCGAAGATTGCGTCCCAATAAATGGGATATAGTTGGGCCGCATTGATTCCGACCTCGCAAATCGCGCGGTCTCGGAGCCCTACGGCATGGAAGTCCACAATCTGCACTAGAGGTATTCCTTCTTGAACGGTATCAGGATGCCGCCCAATCAATTCCTGTAGAGCCGCTGAAGAGCCTCTTCGGATGTTGCCGGCCGGGTCTAGGCAAGCTGCGACCAGTAATTCGATAGCTAGCACCTGAGGGACCGAGTAAGAGTGGAGGTTCTGGTGAGAGGCACGTATAGACGTAGTCTGAACCGCAAGGAGATCTTTAGTCAAGTATCTTCTGGATAAAGCCCATATACCGAAGCAGGCGGCATCCCTAACATTAGTTCCGATGGATCCGCCAGTCGCCGAACGCTGTTCGAAAGCAAGGGCCAGCAGTAGAGCGTTCAGAATGTCCGGGAGTTGATCAGTGGAAGGGGCCTTTCTATAAAGCAGATGCGCTAATGTCAGTGTCAAACCGTGCCATCTCAATGGATTGACCCCACTGAGACTCCTTCTCGAGCCCTCCCAGTACACGTCCTCGTTAAGGCTTCCGAGAATGGCCTCTACGACTTCACCTCCCATCTCAGGATCGAGCTTCAAGGTGATCACGCTTAGCGCCTTACTTGCAGCGTACCTCACCGGAGTGTCGCCGTCAGCAAGAGACTGAAGCAAGAAATCGATGACCTCTTCTAAAACGGTAGGGGTGTCGATGCCTTCCAAAGATGAAGCAGATTGTAGACAGTGAACAGTAACGTTGCGGAGTGTTTTGATGACCAATTTTCTCGCAACAGCAGAAGACCGGACAAAGGCGAGAGCGTCTGAAGTTATGAAAAGCTGGCATTTGGTGTAGATAGCTTGAAGGTATGGACCAATCTCTTGATTGGTGGCCGAAGCCACTATTCCACTTATAAACGAGAGAACTCCTAGGTATTGATGGATATCAGATGTGCCCTCAGAGAAAGACTCGAGCGAGGTTAGTGCCCATTGAATCAGAGCATCAAGCATTCCAATCTTTTGCATATCCGGCCGTAGGACGAGCTTGACAAGTAGAGATCCAGCTGCCCCTCGTTCTTTCGACGCAGATTTGAGATGAGCAACGCATATTGGAAGAACACGTAGTACTACCCCAGAGAGCTCAGAGGGCAGTTTGATACCTGTCTCCTTGGAGGTTTCTTCAGACGAGTGAGTTGCGGAAATAGAGGCAAGGGGAAATGGGGCTAGCATGAGATGGGATAGCCATAGCAGGAGCACGTATCTCTCCTCCCATGGAATGATCTTCTGAGAAATAGCATCTAGCTCTTCACCTGAGACTGTCAGCCCACTCTCGAACTCAGCCAACACGGGTTCGAGATATCGGGGCTCATTGTTTAGGAAGCCAATGACGACCTTCTCGCCTCGTACATTGCAGAAGAGGTTCAGAATTCTGCAGATGGCATGCGAAAGAGGAACAAACTTCTTTTTCAAACCAGGCCTGGGAGTGATCCGAAGGTAGTCTAGATAGGCAGCAACTAGTGGGGGAATGAGGTGCTTGAGTTGAGCATCTAGAAGCTGAGGATCTTCTTGAAAGGGAACAAGCTGGATTCTGTTTAGTAGGTGAGGTTTATATTTATTGACTGCTTCTAGTCTTTACCAAAGGTATGAATCTATCCAGGTCCCTCTCCCGGACTCGGCGGTGGACGGCGCCATTCTCTTTCCGCAAGACTCGATTTATCAAGGCTTGCAGATCTAACAAGAGCGTTGACGCAGCCTTCTGAAGAACAACATCGTCGTCATCGGTAGCGTTCATTGTTGATGCGAGGACGTTGGTGGTGGGGTGGTAGTTTATATCTTGGCGTGATTTTAAAACGCGTTCTAATTTAGAACTAACGACGACGCGAAACCCTTCACCCGAGGTCGACTCAACACCAAACACCACCTCAACAACTCAGAAACGCTCCGACGATGGCAGATCAGTACAAAATGTACCTGGCGAGCAGAGTGCTTAATGAGGGCAAGCCCGTGACCTACCGCTTGCTGAGCCGCGAATTGAAAGTCCACGTCAATGTCGCTAAACAGTGAGTAGCTTCAACGCAGTCGTTGATCGCGATCTAACCCGATGTTAGGATGCTATTCGACTTCCACACGAAACAAAACGCGAAACGTCCGGGCTCCGTCAACGCAAGCTACTGGGTTACGGGCAAGAAGCGTCCTCTACCATCCCAACACACCAACGGCAAAATCTCTCAAGATGGCGGAGACAGCTTCATGCAGAGCAGCCCCTTCCCGAGCTCCATGCCGGACAGAGAGGAGGAAGTGGTGGAGAAAACTAGACCCGTCGAATCGCATGTAATCGTGAGGGAAGAGGAACTTGAGGGTACGTTCCTATGGCTATCGGAGTGGACCCCATGCCGTACCATGTCAGAGACAGAACCCTGATCAATCATAGATACGCTTGCAGCGCTAGAAGAGTTGATTGCTATCCACGTCTATAGCTTACAGCCGGGTCCTCTCGAGGTACGCACGTTGATTTCCAATCTTTGGGGTCGTGATAGCTGATCCAGAGTGCAGAATATAAACCTACTGTCCACCTGTGGCTATGAAATCAGAGAGCGATTTGGAAAAGAGGATTCGTTAGAGACTTGGAAGATCTACGGAACGATCCACAATCCGTACATAAAGGCAAGCATCGCAGCGGTGCTTGAAGAACGTGTACTAACGCCACGAATAGAGGAGGACTCAGCGCGTACAACTAGTTGCACCTGCAGCACCCCCTCCTGCGCCTAAAGTGGCATCGAAACTAATCAATACGGCCAGACCCGAGCTAAAGAGGAGTGGCTCAACACAATCGCTTCCACGCATTGATTCGGAGGAGAGCAAACTAGAAAAACCTGCAAGCCAGTCTAGACTCTCAGCTACTACCACGAAGAAGGCCGAACCAAAAGTCCAGAAGAAGGGTGCAGACTTCTTCAAGTCGTCTTTTGCGAAACAACCACCTGCTAAGGCCAAGAACCCAGCGCCGGTAGAGGATGGTACGTGTATAGTGTCCTCAACATGTATTTCTATGGTACTAATATAACACAGAACCGATGATGGATGCCTCCGAAGACGAGTATGAGGAGGATTTCGTCTCCGAACTTCCCGAGTCACAGGAGGCGAAGGAGAAGAGGGAGAGGAGGGAAGCAGAAAAGAAGGCCAAACAAGAGAAACTGGACCACATCTTTGACGATGTTGAGGATGGTAAGTCTGCATACTTCCTACTGTAGCGTATTGTTGACCAATTCGTTACAGAACAAGAACAAGATGTGACTATGGACGACGCGCCAGAACAAGAAGAGTCATCCGACGATGCTCCAATAGACAAGATAGATGCTCCAAACCCTGCCGAGCCTGCCCCTGAACCCAGCGTTACTGGCGGTCGCAAGCGTGGGAGGCGACAGGTTAAGAAGAAGAAGACAGTCAAGGATGACGAAGGCTATCTTGGTAAGTTCTTTTATACAGTCTTGAACCTCGATTGTCTAACCTATCCCAGTTACCAAGGAGGTCATGGAGTGGGAGTCATACTCCGAAGACGAACCACAACCAAAGAAACCGAAGCCGCCTGCCATCCAACCTCCGGCAGCCAAAGGTAAGAAAGGGGCTCAACAGGGTCGGAGCATCGCGTCTTTCTTCACTAAGCCTCCGGCGGCCAAGAAGTAGATACCGCTATTACCACAAGGCGCCGTGAGGCGATCCAGCATAGTATTATACGTTTTCGAGCGGATTTCCAAACGGTCGGGTCTCCAAGGCGTAGCGAGGCACACGATTTGAAGGTACATGACAAGGAATGTAGCTCCTTTGACAGTGGTAGGCACTTGCCTCCCAACGCCCTCTAATGAAGCGTCGAAGGGATGGAATGCAAAGTATGCTTTTCTTTATTGCCAGACTTTCTTTAGTGTACCCTATTCCGGATGACTATACGTCTATCACAGCAACATATAAATCGACCAGGGGTACCTCACACAGGTCTCCACACCCCCAAAACATACGCTTACATGCGCCAATATTGCATGCGCGATAAAGGAGTGCTTTGAGACTAATCACATGATCACGATCTGATTCAGGGCGTGCGGAGCTTTAGATTCTCCTTTGGGAGCTCTGGCCGATGTGAAAGAGTAGCTCGAAATAACGATTTGGTTTGTTACAAATACCCTCATAGGATTCTGGAAAGAAAAGAATGGCTCAAGACTTCGAGGGAATATGAGGCAAAAGCAATGATAGTATGTGGCGTAAACAAGGTTGAGCCATAGGTAGAGCCGAGACCTTGGCATATGAGGCAGCCACTTCGTATTGATACACAGCTGCAGAATTTCATCTCCATTCAAGTCCTCCAACAACGGTCTTGTATTTCACAATAACGAGATTAATGGAACAACTTGATGAGAAGAACCTGCAGGCCAGCATTGAGAAGAGCGAGACAGAGCTGCTAATTCGCACAAGATGTCCCGCCTGTGGCACGTCAAAGACTAAAGAAGAAAGGCACGAAGATGGATGTGTAAACGGCGTGACCTTCGAAGATGGATTCAAATCTTTCGCCGATTTAGGTCTGAAGCCTGAGCTTCTCCGAGGTGAGCTTCCTCATCGTTGAAATGGACAAAATTATCTAAACAATGCACCAGGAATTGAGGCGTTTGGGTAGGCTAACATCCCCTATCATCTACTCTGTAAATCCAACCTCAAAACTTATTTCCCAAGTCTATCCGAGCCCTCTGAAATCCAACAGCTTGCCCTTCCCTCGCTCCTCCGCCGTACGTTCGCTTACCACTCCCTCATACCATCCTTTCTTAACCCAAACAGGCGACCCCATGCACATCCGCCACTTCTCCAAATCCGGCAAATCCCTCGCCCTCGCCATCTCCGCTCTCCAACTCATCGACACAAGCATCCCCTCCTTCCAAGTTGTCGTCCTCGCGGCTCCCCGCTTCAAGCTCCAGACCCTCGCCGACGAGATGCAGCAGCTCGCGGCATTCCTGCCGGACACCAAGATCCTGGCCATTTCCAGCCCGCCAAACATCCGCCTTGTCGCCGAGAAAATACGTACAGAGCCGCACCACATTCTCGTCGCCAGCCCGTGGAAGTTCAGGTACTTCGCCGAGACTCGGGGGCTAACGGACAGCTGGGAGGAACAGGGCCTGGGGCTGGATTTTAGCAAGGTGCGGTATGTTATGTTTGACGATATTACGGAGATGGCGGTGGGTTGCACTTCAGCCTTTGTTTTCCGTCTTGATCGCGCCGAATCTAGTCGGGATCTAACGCGGGTTAAAAAGTACTCATCGGTCAGTGGGGACGAACGGTTCAGGGAGTTTGTGAGAGTTATAGCGGAGAACTTGGACGCCGACGTCAGCGTCGTTACTGCAAATTGTACCCCGGAGGCCGAGTTCGAGGACGCGTTGGCGGCGTTCGGGAATTGTCCGCGGAAGATTGTTGCCGCGAGGGCGAGTTGGTATAGTGAGACGCTCCCGGTGCATACGTTGAGAGAGGAGGCTCGACGAGATCACTTGATGGAAGGGAAGAGTCCGGGTGGGTACCGGTTCGGACATGCGTTAATGCCTGGAGTTTAGTGTTATCCAGGATGAAGAATATATTCGGAATAAACTCTATCTTATCTTTGCTTTATGGGATACGGAATAGGGGTGTATAGAGAGTTATTATAAATAGAGATATAGGGTTATCCGCGGATATTCCTGTATATTAACATTCACTTATAGAACGTCTCTACTAGTAGAATTTAACTGTGCACCTCTTCACCTTCGCCGGTGAGCTAAGTGTAATTCAACCTTACACCTCTTTACATTCACTGTAGGAAATGAGACTATCCCGGATACTATCCTCGAATATTTACAAAACTTATTAAAAATAGAATAGCATCTATATTTATAAAAGATATAAAGACTAGAACCCCCTAATTCTATCTAAGTATATCTCGCATAACACTCCAGTGGAGTTGATCCCACGGCGAGGCAAGAAATGAAGCATCATTAAACTCCATACCACCCGCACTCTACCATAGCTTCCAGATTCCAGTAGCAACAAACCCAACCACAGCTCCCGACGTGGCTTCCATCCCATTCCCTATAAATCGCCCACCTTCCATCTTCCTCGTCCACAACCCCCCTCCTCGCTCCCTCCAACCTCCCCTTCTCGACAAAAAAAACCCAAAAAACCCCAAAAAACCCCAAAAAAAGAAAAAATCGCAACTCCCTACCCGCACCAACCATACCCCCACCACAGCCGTCTCTCCAAGCTCTCCGGAGCTCTACTGCTGCAAACCAAATCCCCAATCTCCAAATTTTCGTTTCCCATCAACCCCGCCACCACCTTTGCCAACGACGCATTCGCCACCAGTCACCGTTTCCCGCAAAGAGCGCCCAAACACCATCACCACGACGGCCAACATCACGACGACGACCACCGCCGCCACCGTCGGCACCGTCACCGAAGTCGTCGAAGTGACAGGCTTTGTGATCATGTGGTATTCTGGCGATTGAGGGGGGGAGGGAAGGAGCGGAGGAGGGATAAGTGTGGATTGGGGTTGAGGGCGCGGTCTGGACCCACTGTGTTGTTGAGTGATAGAGTTATAGCGAGAAAAGGGGAGGGGAGGCGGGTGGGTGGGCGTGTAAGAAATACTTTGAGAGAGAGAACGAGAGAGAGAGAGGAGGGGGGGGGGGGGCGCCGGGCTGGTCATAGAATTGTGTTGGCTAGCAGGGACCCCAATCGTTTAGAGGTTTATTGGTTGTAGTGGTATGGATGTATGCTTCGACTAGGGCATGTCAAGTAATCGAAGAATTCAATCTCTCCGTCTGCAGCCCCCTTGGAAGTGATGGAATTGACGTGTTAGGAAGAGGTCTAAATGGATAGAATTGAGGAAGGAGAAATAGATGGACGGTGAGCTGTCTAACAGCAAGCGCGGCGAGCTCATGGGTCTTGGGAAGTATAACGCGTTGCGGCGTAATTGAAGCAGCTTTATGTTTTTTTAGGTAGAGCAGACGTAGGAGATACTACGAGGCCAGCATTTATTCTGACATGACAAGAGGTGGGGCTCTGGGGTATGAGAACCTCGCCATGGATCCTGCGTGATAGAGATAACTAACCTACGGCGAGTTGAGTATACGATGCATGAAGGTCAAGTTTGATAGAGATTCTCCCCATTCCACTATGCTACAATCCCGCCCGGTGCGTCAAAAACCAGATGCAAAGGCTCTAAAGAAAATGTACAGTTTGCATCTCGAGCCCCACTCTTCCAAAATTCCCGATCATAGAGTTCGGTATTCGGGCTTCACGAAGTCGGCGAAGGTCTTGGGCTCACCCTCGTAGTTGTGCGCGCCATCATCGTCTATCACATATGTTAGCCGGAGACATGTTAATAAATCACGAGGGCGGGCTTCGTACGGTGGTGGTCGTGGTGTCCGTCATCTTGAGGACCCACGTAATCCATCTTCAAGACATTGCCACACTCGGGGCACCGCTCAACCGGTCGGTCGCGGGACATCTGAGCAAATCAGTCCTGCTTTTAGCTAGGTTACATACTCCACAAATCATACCGTAAGCCATGTGACGACGTGGGAGTCGGCAGGGTAGCCGGTGCAGCCGGCGTACTGCTCGTCACCGAACGACTTGACGACAATCGGGTTGTCAAGCGTGCCTGAAATTTCCCCATAGTTAGCTGCCTGGTTTCCTGTCATGAAGATTCCAAGCCCTCGTAGCCAGTATATTTCGCACCTTTCCTCGACGAATCCAGCGGCTTCATGTCGAAAACATCAACACCCTCCATCTTTCCCAAGATTTCGAATCGCTCCAGACCGGTAGCTTGTTCCAAATCCGTGGGGACGGTTCCGGGGGCAGCACCAGTCTTAGGGAGAAGGTCCTCCATGGTCTTAACCTCTGCATAGCCGTAAATGTCAGCCATCGTCTTCAGCTCGGTTGCAAACATGCGCGGTATAGCGTTATTAGGTCCCGATTGACGCACCCTCGAACTTCTTCATCGTGTTGCCCACATTGGTACCGGGCTTCGAGTCGCCTATTTAAAAACGGGTAAGCGGGTGCAGTGGTTCGATCCCTCCTGGAGCTACTCACGAGCGACGAAAGAGCTGGCAAACGTGCGCTTAGCCAAGGTACCAGCGGCGGCGCGCCGGGCGACGGTGAAGGCGGAGCGTTGGAGGAACATTGTGGACGCAATTGGGGTGGAGGGGAGAGTGGGCGTAGCTGGAGAGGGAGCTGTGAGGTCTTGTTCTGAGGTTGGCTGCGAATCGCATGATCCGAGATCGCGGCATTTGCCGGAGGCTTGGCAGGCAACAGGGACTCTCCAAACCAAATTTGAGTCTGCGTCTATCGATGGGTCTTAATCAACATCACGACCCGGCTGTACAATGGGCTGAACGTCTTCTCTGGGGTCGAGAAAGAGCGCGCGGAGTTCATATAAGCTAAGCCAGGAGTCAAGTAGCTTCAACATAGGGACTCCAAGATCACTTCGCAGAACCAATTCTCTCCAACGCTCAGCAAGACAGCGCTGTCTTCCGCCATCCATTGATGTCTTCGCCTAGATCTCTCCTAACCTAGACCCCCCAACCTGTTCCATCCATCCGCCCACCGCATTAACAAAGGAGGGTGGAAAAAATCATGCAACGAGATAGACGGACCCATCTCTTCCTTCCTTCCTACCCTCTTATCCTCACTATCTAAACACCCAAAAAGAATTTCCCATCGTATGCAGTTATGACTCCATGCTCCCAAACTTAAACGAGAACCCAAGCCCCGTAAGACGCTTGCACCCCTCTGAAACGTAAACGCCCCACACCCGTTTTGTTTTCAAATCTGAAAGCCTCCCTTTTTCGAAAGGTTCCATGGACAAAGAAAAAGAAAGTTACTCCAAAGAAGCGCCGAGTCCCAATGCGCACCCCGCCAGCGCCATGCTTTCCGTTTGTCTCCACCCGAGTTCCCAGATGCCAGCCACGTGGGGACGAACAAAGTACAGTTCAAGGAACATTTGACAGCAAAGAAATTTGGACTGAAAGGAAATGGAGAGGAGCCCCTACTGTGAATATTGGTATGAGAGATCTCGCTCTGAACGCAATTACAATAGAAGCTAGAGGTGCACTGGTGGCCGAGGCCTTCTTTGGCTTGGATGCACCAGTGAGGGGTATATATGTATAGGTATGCGTGAGTTGCGTGATGCGAAAGGAGAGATTGTGCTGCTGGACATCGTTGAAACACCCTATAGGTTGTCCGGTTTCGTCATAGGCGACACAGCAGGCGACTCTTCCGTGCTCGAGGTAGCAGTGGTCGTAGTCGTGCTACCTTGCGCCTTCGATGGGGGCCAAGGCCTTTTATCGTTGGCCTTGGATGAAGACTCTTTCACTAGTGGCATAACGACTTCGCCCTCTTCTTCCGGTATAGGAGGACAGTATGTTTTCAGGACGTGTTTTAGGGCTGGCCGTCGGATGGGTTTGGCGAGGAAGAAGTCCATGCCTGAGTCGAGACATTCCTGTTGGCTGTTAGATAGTACTCGACAAAAATAGGTCATAATTGCTTACCTTGACATTGCTCTCTTCTGCGTACGCGGTGAGAGCCACTATAGGTGCCGAGAAACCGGACTGCCGTATCAATCGAGTAGATTGGAGACCGTCGAGGTTAGGCATCTAGCGAAATGTCAATTGGGATTACATTGTCCAGGCAGCGAGCTAAGCTTACCTGAACATCCATGAAGATCAGGTTATATGGGTTAGAGTTTTCCATGCTTTCCTTAACTCTGTCAAGAGCTTCTTGCCCATCTATTCCAAATTAGCATTGGAGCTGGCCACGAGACGCATGACAGTGAATCTACCTTTAGCAACAGTAACGTCATAAATGTCCTCTAGCTTCAGCATACGCAACACGACCTCCTGATTTGTTTTGTTGTCCTCAGCCACGAGCACCTTGACCTTGTCACCCCTTTTGGACGCGTCTGCAGCTATCCGTTCCATAGCAGCCATTTGAGAATTGGGCGACTCTAATGGCGCGTTCGACGCGAAGAACGGATGGCTGAGACCGACTAGTCGTGGTTTGGAGTCTGTTTCAAACACAGGGCCGGGTGCTCCAGGAGTACTGACTGCCGATTGAACTGAGCGACCGGACCTTGCATCATCCACAATGGCATCGACTCGACTCCTTCCCTCGTCCAGGGAAGACGCCCTTGTTAAGCCGCCTTCTGCAAAATTTACATTGTTTGAGCTTGCCGTACTGTCAGCTCGACTGTTGAGATGCCTTAGAGGGATTTGCATGGTGAAAATGCTCCCATTCCCAACTTCGCTCTTGACACCCACAAATCCTTTCATGAGACCGGCCAGCTGGGAGCAGATACTCAGTCCAAGTCCCGTACCACCAAATTTCTTGCTCAAACCCAAATCACCTTGTACGAATGGCTCGAAAATCTTATCTTGAAGATGTTCCGGGATTCCTGGTCCGCTATCTTGAACTTCGAACTCGAATTGAAGCCATCGACCGGGAGGGGGGGTCACAGCTCTTTCTTGCGCCATGATCGAAGCATAGACACTCGGCTTGTCGTAAGCATTGATGGTATTGGCCGTGTCCATGTTGTGGGGTGTTTTTATCGACGCTGAGTTCTCGGATGAGCCTCGGATTCGTGTTCTCGATTGCCGCATGGAACTCTGTCTAGACTGTGTTGATCCCTTACGGCTGCTGTCAGACACCGTAGCCTCTCCAGTGCATCGTATTGTCATCGTCACAGATCCGCCCGGAGGCGTGAATTTGAGACTGTTGGATACCAAATTGATCACCACTTGGAGGATTCTGTGTTGATCTCCCCACAGAATCATGTCTTTTATGCGACCAAGGCCGTATGGGGCGAGGTCGGTCTGTTCGGAGGATTTGCCTAGATCGTCAAAGTTGGCGTCGATCGGACCCTCAAATTTCACCCGGAAGTTGATACCGCCCTCCTTGGCTTGCTTGTCGAAGATGGCGAGAACTTGGGAACTAATATCACGCAAGCGGAATTCTCTCTCGTCGAGAGACAGCTGCTGCCCAACTTGGTTTTTACTATAAACTGTTAGCCAAGTCGCAGTATGACGATTCCTCCAATGCAATGTGCTCACCTGAATGTCAATAGATCAGTTAGCAGATTGAGTAGCAGGTCTCCACTTTTGTAGATGATCCCCAGCGAACGCTTCAATTTTACTGGGTCGTCTTCGGACATGCACACGGCGCACATGCCCAAAATTCCGTTGAGTGGTGTCTTCAACTCATGCGAGATATTCGCAATGAACAAAGTCTTGCTCTCATTTGCGGCCTCCGCAGCTTTCTTACTGAGCTCCAACTCAGCCGTACGCTGCTGCACTCTTTCTTCCAGCTTTTCGTACTGCATCATGAGCTCATCGGACATTTCGTTGAACGTTTGTGTTAAATCGGTGAGCTCATCGTGGATGAAGTGTTTGCGGTCCTTGACTTTCCCAGGAATCCGGAACTGGCGTCGCCGTTCTTCTTCCTTGCGCTCTGCGTTCGTTTTCCTTCCACCGCGAGTATAAGTCTTGACTTTACCAAAGAATCCTTCTTTTCTAGCAAGAGCGTCTCGGTGATCATCATCGGTACCATCGTGTGTATTGAGACTTCCAGTGTCCGAAAATCCTGGAGGTGCAACGGACTTTTTCGTTGCATCCCGCAGCCGTCTGATGGGACGGCTGGAAATGTGAGCGACGGGGAAGGCGAGAAGAATCATACCGCCCATCGTCCCAAATACACAAGCTATAATGACCTTGCGCAGATGGACGATCGGCGCCCACACCTCAGCATGGGATTGCTCTACGATGACAACCCAGTCTACGAGACTCGTATTGACAATGGCGTAGCCAGCTGCAACGTTGTCCCTTTCTTCGTTCTTGGTCGATATCATGCTGCCAGCGTTGTTGGTAGCCCCCGAGTCTCTGGTAATTGCCCGATGCACGGCTGGGTACTTAGTGTAGTCGAACGGCTTATTTTGCGATCCATACGAATGATCTGGATGCCTATCCGTCAACCCTGTTCGGTTGGTAGGCGGCAACACAAAATTGACTAATTCATTCGCGGGTGGGTGCCCATTGTTAGAAGTGTATAGTACTCCCTTCGGGAATTTGTTCGTCACGTTGTTCGGGCCGATCAGCATTGTGACTCCGGTGTCGTCCAAACCCTCCATAGCGTTCACAACGCTTCTAATCAGCCTGCCGTCCAAGACAACCGTAAGCCAGCCCAATATGTCAATGGCAGAGGTGTTGTTTATGATAGGCATGGTAACAGACACAAGGGAGAATGTTTGGTTGATGTTATACGGGCCGAGCAACAGATAGTTGTCTTGATCAACAACTCGGCCGCCGAACGAAGCTATCGTCTGGTTGTAGGTCGAGCTGATTGGTATTATGGTGAAGTCAAAGGCCGGATATAGCTGTGGCACGAAGCCGTATGTGTCGCCCAGGACAGCGGTGGTCCCATTTGGTGCCTTGTACGGCAACGCAAGGTCGGATACGGACGGCGCCGTTGCACTCATAACTGATGTCGACGAGTTGATTGGGAAAATCTGGGCCTGCAGGAGCAGCGCAGCCTGCTGGTCGCCTTGGAAAACAGCCTGGAGATCGGCGGTGGAGCGCACCCAATTCGCTTCCGTGTTGTTGCCATTGTTGTATCGCTGGAGCGAGCTTTGGATCAGAACTCGAGTCGCGGTAGATTTGACGCTCGACTGCATGAGAAGGAAATTCGAGGACAGCTGCGCAGCCTTCAAGGACGCGGTCAGCGCGAGACGGGAAGCCCTGGGATACTGTTAGAGCAGGACCAGTAAATTGCGCGGAGGCACTGACCGTATGTCCAGAACGAAGCCGTGGTTTGTGACCTTTGATATGTTATGTTAGTAGAAGGCTCCAAAGCTTCTCAAGCTCCAGCGAGCAAGGAGGAATTACCCAAGTCGCAATGGCAACGACTGCCAGGCCGATCAGCGAGGCCAGCAACACCAAACATCCCAATTGCTCCCGGATCGGAATCCGCATCTTGACCATTCGAGCGATGGAGAGGGGGGCGGGAGAAGGACAGCCAGCGGCGCGGATGGTCGCGGCGACAGCCTCTGCGGTCAGACCCGAGCAGGCGTCGAGGTCGGGGTGAGTGAGGGTGGTCGAGGAGCGGAGACCGTCGCACTTCCCATTCCTCTTTCGTGGCGAGGGCAGGGCTCCAACAGGTGCACGACGCGGTTCAGGACGGGGCAGTTCAGAGAGACGTCCAAGACACTGGCTGAGAGGCAATATGCCGTCTCGGAGTGGCGTCGCTCTAGGCCAGAAGCGTCAGGCGAGGGCTGAGAAAGCAGAAACCGGCCGGCGACGCGTGAAAGACAGTCGATGGGCCTGCTGTGGCCGCCTGCTGTGGCCGCCTGCAATGCTCGTCTTGGGCAATCGGTGAAGGCCCTCGGGTCCCAGTTGCGACGGCGCTGTCAGGCTGTCAGTCTGTCAGTCCGCGGCCTCCAACGTGGCCGGTGTCGCGGAGCCAGCTGGACACGAAGTCTGGCGTGGGCGCAGGCGGGCGTCGAGCCGGTGCAGAGGAGATTTGGGGCAACGGCCCCTAGCAGCGGCGCTGCAGTGCGACCGGCCATCGGCTGCAGACGCCGCGCGCCCTGAGATCCGGGCGGGGAGACAGCCTTGTCGATGCATGCCTGCCATGGCATTCTTGCGATGCTGCATCGGGCCGGGCTGGGGTGCAATCGCATTGTGGGCAACCGCCCCGGCGAAGCCAGCAGCGAGCCTTCGCTGTTCCGCGATGCTTCCCAGCACTCGACGGCTGGTGGTGCCCGCCCGGCATGCCGACTGCGCGTCTCGGGCATCTCTGGGGGCGGCAGACGCCCCACGCGTGCCGATGGAGGGCGAAGCGATTTGCTGCGATCGTCGCGGCTCGTCTGGAACACAACATCCTTGACACCACCGAGCGACGGTCTCGAACTTTATCCTCGTCGAAAAGCGGGCCGTGCTCCGCTCGCCCAACGCACGCCGAGGCCAAGTTTCTGCCTGGCACCAGGGCTGGTTACGAGCAGTATATATCACAGCATCGCTGCGGACAATCTGAGCATCATCGGCACCACTCTCGACGACCACCACTGTTTGTTGCGCCCGCTCCGGTCTGAACTGATTCCTCGCCTGCGGACCGATCCGCTCTCGGCTGTTTGATGGGACAGCTCGCGCTGCGACGGGGAGGAACGTGTCATCTTGACAGTTACACAGATGAGGGACGGCGTTGGACGAATTCGGCACGGAAGAAGATAGATCTAAATGCTTGTCTTGACGAACGCTGTCCAAGTTTCCAGGGTACCTAGCACGCACGCTGGCTGTGTGGAGACGCCAATCATCAACAGCCACTCTCGTCAAAGAGGGATCTATATCGACTCCAAAATTCGGTACGGCTCCCAACGTCGCTAGTGATCCTCCTCTCGACGCCCCCTAGTCAGAGAGCTTCTCCAAATATCCTCCTCTCCCAGCCCAGTCAAGGTACCGTAATACCCCTAATAATTGATATTCCCAAACGGCTGCGCATCGAGAGGCATCTGCGCTCTCCCCGGACACGACCCATACAGCCCAAGCCCCTTCTTATCATTCCGATAATACCGTCCCATCTTCTTAAAATGCGTGATCGCAATCGTACAGCTGCTCGCAATCATCTCCACCTCCCACCCATCGCGTAAAAACCCATCCCGAAAGATCACCAACTCGCCCACCTCCGCCCCATTCGCAGCAACAGTACCGCACTCGCTGTACGTAAACCGCGCAAACACAAGACACGACGACCCTTCAACAAACGCCAGCGAGATCGGCCGGTCGTCCAGCCGCCAGTAGAACGCCGACCGTCCCCCCTCCATCGGGATCTTCCAGTCGTTAAAGTTTCTCGATTCCATGTTATACAGCTTCGCCGAGCCTCCGGACCCGCACACGATCTTCGCCCGCGGGCACCACGGCAAGGGGCCGTTATTGTCGAAGTCGATGGTCGCCACCTCGTCGCCCTCCGACGCCTCCACAGATCCCCGCTGCACGCGCCGTAGCGTCATCTCAGACTTCTTAGACAAGAAGCTGGGCGAGCCGCGCGAGATAATCTTGTACAAGGGAGCGTGGGTGGGGCCGAAGGGGACGAGGATCTGGACCTTCCTGCTGATTTGGCGGAGGTGGTAGGATATCTTCGGGACCGAGGACATGCTGGAGTCGCGCCGCTCGTAGACGGGGGGCGAGTGGGGTTCGTAGTGTGGGAGCTCTTCGTGGTCATGCTCATGGTCGTCCATTGGGAGGTCGGTTGGACCTAGGGATTCAAGGGTTCGGGTGTTCATGTTTGTATTCATATTCGTGCTCATCCAGAAGCTGGATTCTGGTGGACGGCTTTCACTTGTCGTTTAGAATGATAGAGTTTGAGTCAATGAGGATGAAGTAGACAAAATGGAGCATTTCTTTGACACCGATGTGCTTACGGCCAGACGCGGTGGAGGGTGTGAGAGAGTTGTAGACGAATGGGGAAAACAGCGATGGAGCGACGAATATAAAGAAAAACATCGAGGACTGAACCGGCGAGGCGGGGCCTGGCACGCGTGGGGCCCGAGGTTGCCGTCATCCATGGGCCGTGGCGAATTAGCACGCTGTTTACTATCTCCGGCCATTGACGGCGCGGGATACACGAGTGTGGTTGACAGGTCTGACAGCTGTGGAGAGAGGGTCTGGCCTATTTTTGTTTCTTTTGGAAATGTCCCCACACGCATCATGCAGCACAGGGGTCCTAACTAGTGTCCGTAAGGGAAACATTTCACGCGTATAACAGGCGGTCTAAGCTCTACTCGGATAAGCCACTGGAGTGGCCCTTGCTCAACCCACTTAGCATTTTATTTTTTAAATGGACCACGAACAGACGATATGCTCGTGTCCCACAATACCGCGTCTAATTAGCTGTTCTCAGAAGGGCTTGCATTTACAAAGCAAGATTACTGATTTTGCTGGCACCAAAGTCTCCCAGGGTCTAGAGGCTGCGAATCACGTATTCACTGAGCCACTTGACGCTTGGTAGAGGACCCTGGATAATGATAGCCACGCGGGCTGGGAAGACGACAAGCTTTATCTTTCCTAACCGACGAAGAATTGCTATATATACTCTAGCCAGAACCATATGTAAACCCTACATCATTCCCTCTTCAAACGTCTCTCCCCCAAATTCTCCCTCGTGCATCTCAAACCCAAACTCCAACCCAAATCCCACTACATGTCCCTCGAATCCCCCATGCTGCGCAAACTCACCACTCGTCCCACTCGCCTTCCATCCCATTCCTCCCCCAAGTCCCTTCCCCCTGCTGCCCCGCCATTAACCTTACCATCTCCTCAAACTGCTCCGTATTTCCCAGCCCCTCCTCCGCACTTCCTGATCGTCTCCTGTAAGTCAACCGTAAGCTCACCAACAGCCTGTCGCGGCGCTATCATGCCACCCTCAGCGATCTGGTCGGCGATTTTCGCTCGCACAACCTCGAACGCGTTGCGATACTTCTTCGCGGTTTGCATGCGCTCCGCCATGACGAGGAGCACAATGCTGCAGGCGCTGATGTCGTTGCTGGTCGCGGGAGTGGATATGTCGGAGGGTGAGGACCAGGCGCAGCAGATGAGCGGGAGGCCGGCTAAGAAGACGGTTTGGAGGGACATCATGCTGTAGCCGACGTACATTATTTGGCGGAGGCGCTTGTAGGTTTGGCAAATGCCGCCGCACGACGCAGCGAGAGCTTTTAAGAAGCGGGGTGACGCTTGGGGTTTCGTCAATTATGGGTAGAAGAGCAGGCGGAGGGTTTTGAAGTAGAAGACCATGTAATGATCATAGCCGTCGAACGCCTTTCCATCAGAGTCAGTCATTCTTCGCGCATCTTGCGAAATCATATCCTTCCAATGCGTTAGCTGGCTGATGAAGCCGTCAATCACCGAGTCTTGAACGGCTTCAGTGTGATCTACGCGGTAGATAGTCTGCTCGATCTGTGACTCTATTCGTCGGATTCGAAGGACGTGGATACATAGAGATAACGTGGTGCTCATAGCTGGGGCAGGTGTAGACTCTGTCCCTATCTGGGCATGCGCATCAAAGGCATTCTCGACCACGTCGGGGTCATTGCATGCTTCATCAATGTCGAGTGATAGGGGCACATCGATATCACGGTCCGATAGTCCGAATGGCCTTCCAAGCGGTATCGAGATTTGCCTGTCGAATGCATAGCAGGCCCAGAATATCCGTTTCTGCATCTCAATTCCAAAGTGAAGTCCCTTCGCAGGTGGTATTTGACGATGAAGGCCCAGATCGATCGCGTTGAGCATGGCAAGCCGACTATACGCCCAGGCGCCGGGGTCTCTAGATGCAGGAAAGCAATAAACCGCGAGAAGCATTAGCGTACACACTGAGCGGGTGTCCCGAAATTGAAGTATCTCATCAAGGTGCTTTAGGGAAGCGGCGTAGTGTGATTCGGGCTTAAAGGCAGGGTTCACTTCCCCAGAAGTCTCGAGAAATCTACCAGCAGTGGCATACACGAGATGCAAAATGCACTTTTCGTAGGTGTCGAAGATGGTGTACCGGCGTGCGTGGAGTGCTTTAACCCACACGGAATGTAAGACTGGCCAACGCGACGATATGTGCTTCATGTAGCCTACAATCATCCTGTCTCCTACTTCGGGGGGATTTCGGAGAAGCAAACAGTTTCCTCGTCATTAGTAAGCGATGGGGGTCCGGAGCTGGAGAGGCTTGTCCGATAACGAGGCGAAGCATTCCGCCCTGGTTGCTCTTCTCTCTCAGAAGAAACCCGACCAGCCGTCTCATAGTGATATGGGATGAAGGTCCAATGTAACCGCCATTTGCATCTAGAGAGAGGTCTTTGAGCACTACGACTATGGAATCAATCTGAAAGTCTTGGCCCTCGTCATCGTCGTCTGACACTAGATCGATGTCTGGAGGTTCGAACTGTCCCGGAGTCGGTGGAGGTACTTGGAATTGCCCAATAGGGATGTGCGTGCTTGAGCTCTGGCGCGAGTGCGCTGACTGTGGTTGGTATCGCCATTGACTGTTCCCTGGATCCGGGAGGCCCTGCTCAGTCAAGGAGCTCTCGAGCTGCTCAACGCGGGATTCTAGCGACCGAATGTAGTGATTACGGCCAAAGGGCATGGGCTTATTCGGAAGGATATACTCGCATGGCGTTTGGAGACTCCTGCATTTGGAGCAGGAGGGGTGCGCACCGTCGCATTCTGACTCGGTGAGAAGCTTTATATCATCTACAAGGTAAATAAGACGAACTTTGCTTTCGGAGTTTGCACCTTTGACAAGCCAAAGCTACCCTAGGACGTTTCGTGGGTCGATGGGTTTGCTCGTATTCGGTCATCTTCATGGTCACGTTGAGTTTACGGGAAAGAGAAGAGGATACCGCCACCTCGAACCATTTCGTTCCACCCCACTGATGCTCTTCATAGCTTCTTGCTATTGATGGCCTTGTGGAGAATTTCGTCCAGGGCCCAAGATAAGCCGTGATAGATCGCATGGTGTTGATTGGGTTCTTCCATCGGATCCGTCGACCCGCTAGTTAGATGCGCGGCCCTGACTCATAAAATAGATAATACTGAGAACATACAAAACGCTTTGAAAAGGCTGACAGGTTTAAAGCTGGGGTGATTTCAGACCGCGCCGGTTCTGTATCGACTTTGAGAATTTTGTGTGGAGCATGAACCATCTCGAGTTATTTTGTACTGAAGAAAATTGGTGCCGATATCTAGTGAGAACGTTCGAGCATTTTGGTACAACATTGGGTATCATAGAATAATTGATGCCTCCCTCTCCACACCCTGAAAATCCGCCATACCTTCAAGCACGGCATTTCTCAATTGAGCAGCAGCTCGTCCTGCTTCCCCTCCGCTCTTCTTGGCTTGCTCCAGCCCAGAAACAATCGCAGTTTCTGCCTTCTCATTGAAAACCCGTTGCCGGTCCTCCCTATCCTCATACATCTCGGCTTCGTCGTCACTAGGTGTGCTGAAAATATTCAAGTGCCGGTATACATACGATCGCTGAGTGATCATATGCTGGTCCACATTAGTCAACGGAAATCCTGGCCATGGCCCAACTAGAGCACCAAAGCCGACCGATTCAGGCACCAATCCTACTCTCACGAGTAGTGCAAGACTAGCGATCTGCTTCACGAGCAGCTTGCCTTGGCTACCAGCTTTGCCGAGCGTTGCCTTCGGCGCAGACCACTTTCCAGTCGAGTCCATCTCCCACCCAAGGAGTCCAAGGAAGCATTTAAGGGTTTTCACCCATCCGCCGGCGCAACTGACAACCTCATTGCCGGCAACCTGGAGAAGCCAGTCGAAGATGTCTAACGAGGAAAGCCGAATGTCAGCGGCCAAGTGAGTCAGGCCAGCTCGTGTGTACAGTAGTAACTGGTCGGCATGACTTGCGATGTCCGCTACGGGCAGACTTTGCAGAAGCTTCAAGAGCTGATGGCGGACGCTGTTTGATGCGTCAAGAATCAAACGTTGGATTTCGGGAAGAATGACAGCGACTGGCTGTGGTATGGCTGAGCCATTTGGTGTGCTAAGGATCGCAGAAGTCAGATATGCGAGTGATTCTCGCCGCTGAGAGTCTGCTTTGTGCGAAAGTAATGACAAGTGATGAGAGAATTGTGAGGCGGTTGACGGAGCATTGGTTGAAAGAGATTGCTGGTTCAGGACAATTGCTAGAGATGCATGAGCTCAGTTGTAATAACGTATGACAGATATTCATTCTTACACTTTGCTTTGAAACTGGTGTCTGTGAAATTAGCAGCCTGCGCTTTGGTCTTGCCAACCCTGAGCTTCACTTTCTGCGTGGCACATTAGATCACATCGATGAAAGGATGAGCTCCTATACGCACTTGGAAGTCCTTCTTCTTTTCTTTCTTCTTTTTCGCGCTGGAACCCATCTTTTCGCCGAAGCTGTGACACTGTCTGCCGTTGATGAAGACCCTGCGACTCGAAATTTAGTGTTGTCTGCGTGGACCGTGCATGGTTAGTCAGCAAGCTGTTCCATAGTTAGTTATACCTACGGCCGAGCTGGAGCTCCTCCACCGCGAAACGTTCGATCACATACGAGCTTGGAAGGGTCGAAGTCAGATTTACGACTGTGTTTGGGAGCAGGATTCACAAAAGCTGGTGAACGGCGTCGGCTGCCCCATGATAGCAGTGATTGCGCGTGACGATCTCCTTTGGTCGTACTTAGGGCATTTGAAGGATATCGGACCAGACGTGAAGATCTGCCAAGTGTCCTGGGGCTAATTTTGAACCAGACCAGGGGACTGAAGCCATTGCAAAGCATCTCAACGAGTTCTTGATGACAGTCGAGGCATAAGAGTGAATCGGTAGCATATTTTCCATAACACAAATCTTCATTATAACACGTTTGGATGTAGTCAATCTCCATGTATCATTAGTGAATAAACATATCGGCGTTATAAAGCAAACGAATACCTAGTCCTTACATTCCATTGAATTTATCAATGATGCCAAGCTTCTTCGGCTAAACTTGCTTCGGGTGAAATTTTATAACCCACCACAACTACATCCCACATCTTTCTTGCTCTTCAACCACACATCATGATTGTAAGGCAGCCCTACGAATAACCACAGTAATTCATCTCAGACTGACTTCTTGCAGCGCCGTCAAGCTCGCGAACGGCGTGACTACCTTTATCGTCGCGCCCTTACTTTACGAGACGCCGAGCTCACCTCAAAGCGGGCTGCGCTGAAAAGCTCTCTTGCGTCCGGAAAGCCTCTCGACTCGGCCGTTGCAAATGACAAAACCCTCAGGAATGATTTCAAGTACGACGAATCTCGAGCAGATCGGACAGCGGAGGAGGAATTAGCTCTGGATGATGAATACCAACAGCTTTCTGGAGTCGTGGACCCACGTATTCTGGTCACAACCTCGCGCGATCCTTCGTCGCGACTTTCGACTTTCTCCAAAGAGATCAAACTGCTACTTCCCACGTCAATTCGCTTGAACCGTGGTAATACGGTGCTGCCAAACATGGTATCCAGTGCCCTCGCACAAGGCTTGAGTGATCTGATTCTTCTTCACGAGGCAAGCTATTTTGTGTACGCCAGTGTGTGTATCTAATGCTAACCTTATGATAGCATCGTGGCACACCCACTGCTCTAACAGTTTCTCATTTTCCTCATGGTCCCACAGCTTCCTTCTCCCTTCATAATGTGGTACTGCGTCACGACATCCCTAATGCCTCCCGCGGAACCGTTTCCGAGTCTTACCCACACCTGATATTCGAAGGTTTCAGCACCAAACTGGGTCTGCGCGTTGTCCAGATCCTCAAGCATCTATTCCCACCCCGCGAAAGCTCAGCTAAAGTCGGCAATCGAATCGTCACCTTCAAGAATATTGAAGACAGCATCGAAATGCGCCACCACGTCTTCGTCAAAACTGGTTACCAGAGCGTCGAGCTTGCCGAAGTAGGGCCACGGATGACGATGCGACTCTTCGAGATTCGAGCTGGGACACTTGACAATAAAGACGGGGATGTTGAGTGGCATATGAACCAGTACACTAGAACATCCAGGAAGAAAGACTATCTGTGAAAATAGAAGTGAAGCAAACACAAGGGGTTCAATGTGATGTTTTAGCTGTGCCATCTTGCGTAAGCTCCCATTTCATTACTATTGCAGTACCTCTAAATATTCTAAGTGTATATTGCGCCGTTCAACCCAAGATCAGAATCCATATATCTCCATCAAAGCTGACCATATTCAATAGGGGTTTCCTTGCTTCTTGCACCCTTCTCGGTGTCTTCCACGCCGCCAACGGAAACATTGCTATTTTGGTCCGCTGGAGCAGCGCCTTCCAAGATCTCTGAATCATCCATCGCTTCGGCGATGAAAAGACCTTCGGGCGGGAAATGTTTACAGGTCCCGATGTTCATAGGGATCGAGATGATCTAAGGTCATTAGGCATATGCTCTATCGGGTCGCGGAAGATGGATTGCTCACCAGTCCAACAAAGTACGATAGTTGATAGATGCGAGTCCAACCTTCAGCGATTGGGTGTTTGTTGATGGCACAGACAAAACCGGCCATCGAAGGCCACGTCGCCATGAAAAAGGTGAAGAATGCTCTCCAGTTCAAATCAGCAGTATACCAATAGATACCATCCTACAATGATTAGCAGTATCCAAGATGACCAGCATCAGAGACGTACCTCACTATACAGGTCTGGAATTTTCCAAATCTGTTTACGCACTATCCAGAAATCGGCGAAAATTGTACCGGCCATCGGTGCGATGAACACTTCACGGCACATTTAGCCAGACACATGTGAAAACTTGGGATAGGGGATTTACCTGCAAAAGAACTCAAGACTGTCAGGAACGTAAGAGCCTGAGTCAAGAAACGCCAGGGCTGTATGACAATTCCTACAACGCAGATGACGATGCAGCCTCTCCTGATATCGATGTACCGAGGAAGGATCGCAGCAATGTCCATTCCCGAGCTCATACCGTTCTGCGTAATGTTTACGAAAACTTGTGATGAGATGAGACCAACACCTACTTGGGGTCAGCAAAGCGTTACTTTGATCACATGCAGGAAATTTTCAACGAACCAGTGAAGAATGTCCCTGCCCGGCATGCCGCAGTATAATGGATGCTTTGAACATATTGCAACATAAGCAGCGGGTTCCAGATGACGACGCCGTACATGTTATTCGTTGCCGAAGTGACGAGTATGCCAATGAGCGCACCAAGCGTGACGGTCAAAGGCATGGATATGGCCATTGGAAGTACCGAAGCATTTCTTGTCTTGGAGTAACGGGTCCAATCACTAATGCGAACCTTTCGATTTGTTAGTCTTCCGAGTTTGAACGAAGAGTCTTGCAATAATAAACATACTGAGCCACCAGTGTATGCTCCGGCTACCGACGACATCGAAGACATCATAGCGAAAGCGGCGTCTTTTTGGGAGATGGCGATGACAGGCTTAACTCAAACCCCTGTCGTGCCCAGTCCGTTCAGGCCGACTGTACAAGGCTGAAGATGCGTCATGACGATTGGTTAGAAGATGTCCTATCCCAACAAACCGTTTGTAATAGAGGCTTAAAAACAGAGCTTTTAATGGCTGAAGACTTATACTGCGCCTTGCAGAGGCAGGTACGGCGGCTAAGTCCGAGGCTACTTAAATACCAACCTCGCCCGCTCAATCTGACTGCTTGGTCCAAGTTATTTAAAGAAACATTCTCTCATTTTTATCAAGGCCGCAGTCGATACCTACGGGTCAGATTCTCCTTCATGGCAGACTTACCACAGGTAGCATATTCAGAAGCAGGCCCAGATGTCCAACCGTGGCCTCACCAGCAAGCACACTACTACGCACTAGCGCCGCCCGGGCTTAACAACGAGACCAGCATCCACCGCGTAGATACTTCAAAGCATGGCTTAATTTTGGGATTCAGGAAACAGACATTCTGGTTTATTATCGTTCTTAGCGTCGTAGTCATTGCGGCTGCCATAAGCGGTGGTGTTGGGGGTTCACTAGCGTCCAAAACGCAGAGTGGGCTTCAATACTTTGGTGTCTCAGACACTTTACCTACGAAATACAGATCAAAATCCGAACCTCAATTACGATCAACTGAAACTATCACAATCACGCCTTCGTCGTCGTCCTCCGCTAACGCCACATCCCCTTCAACCACAAGCACTTCAAGCTCTACCACATACGCCTCTAGAGCCCTCCGCCGTTCTCCGTATCGACAACTCGTGCCCGTCCCAAAGTACTCCTCTCCAGTCGTGGAGTAGAGAGGCTTTCAGCTGCAATCCCTTGACAGATTACAATGGTCACGACGTGGCGGGGCTCCTAGCATACAGTTTGCAGGCTTGCATTGATGCTTGTAGCTCAATGAATTGGGCAGCTGGGAGATCGAATTGTGTGGCTATAGCTCTGGCATGGGATATGAGTAATGCGTATGCATTATACCATGGCGCAAACTGTTGGCTAATGGGGAATATTTCAAAATCTGCACTTGCGGCAAATTCGAATGGGACTATTGCTATACTGTGTGGTTCGGGGGGTTGTTAAGTTCAATCTTTGATAGTAAAGAACGTTACGAATCTTTGGGAAGGCTTCGATTGCAATAGAGATATTTTGAGCAGCAAAGAGTTATTTAGAAGAGTTTATAGGAGTTATAAGAGACGAAGAACCGGGTTAATTTTCGGTTCTAACCTTAGCATCAGTGCTTCAACGAGTTCTGAAGACCTTGAAATTTCCCAAGCCGGTAGAAGCTAATCTATTTCAAGTCTCTAATATTAAGCTTGTTTACTCTTTGCCATCATTAGTCCCAAGCTCCTCCACTCGGTCCTCTATAACTAGTTGCATAAACCTATCACTTCTTCTCTCTATAATAAGCTAAATAAGTTTTTTAAACTTCCTAAGACCCTTATATATCTTATTAAACTTAATTTTCTAAAGTTTAGCCTTTTGAAGTGCTATAATTATATAAAAGGTAGTGGCTGTGCTGGGGTAAGCGGATCCGGAGTTGAGACTTGAGGCCCCAGATCTGGACTCTGTTCGACAGGGACAGGGATACACAACCTGCCCCGGAAAGCCCGTAGTCCTGCCAGCCTCCAGGTTCTAATTTCCAGGTCTTAAGTCTCGAGTAAACTTGCTCTATGATATGTTATGGACCATTCTGCAGACAGTCACATTCCTTAGACAATACGCTCCTCAGACAACACGCTCCTTAGACAACACACTCCTTAGACAACACGCTCTTTAGATAACACGCTCCTTAGATAGCACGCTCCTTAGATAAAACGTTCTTAAGACGAAATGTCCTTAAGACAACCATGAGCTTAAAACGATGAGATCTCAAGATGAGAGACGTTCTCCAGACAGTCACGCTGCGAGCATATAGAAAAGGTGGTCCTTATAGCGAAGGGCCTAATTGTTTCGAGACGGCCGTGCTGGATCTGCTTGCTCGCTCGTGTCGTAAAGACTAGCGGCATGCAGCGAGTTGGTCCTTCAAGCAGCAGTGGCAACAGTGAATACTGCGTATCCTGCACGCTTCATGCGGCCGGTAAGCTGTCTTGCCAATTAAACGTAGGTTGCTGCACTCTCCTGCTTGGTGTCGTGCCTTGCGAAGTCCCGCTATGGTTTATAACAAATAAAAATAAAAATTTTCCCCTAGAAAAGAACCTAAACTTCCTCAGCTTACAAAACTATTTCGGGCCCAAATCCATAACCCGGGAATGGTTTGAGGTTCCTCGCTGAAAGTTGACAATTTCTGGTTGGTACATCTGGCACTGCGCCGCAGCGGGTGAGCGAGGGTGAGTAAGGGTGAGCAAGGTGGAGCAAGAGTGAGCAGACTTGAGGAGACCTGAGCCGAAGCTGAGTTGGGACTGAGCCGAACTCAGCCATAGCGGCGCAGGGTCACGTGAGCAGCGGGGGTGGGTAGAGTTCACATAAGTTACGATTCGACCATGGTGCTAGGAACGCTCCGGGCTCACTCTGAGTGCTAGGGCGTTATCGCGTGCATCGGGAGAGTTGCTAGCTTCCGCAACCCTCGAGACGGAGACTCCACTCCAAACCGCAACACCACACCACCGTGTCAAGACTCGCGGACCGACATAGAAGAACGCGTCTGGGGCCGCGGCAAGATGCGGTTGCCCCTCATTGTCCCGCATTCTCAGCTAGGGTCCTGTTTGTTGGTTCCTGAAAAAGCCACCGAATCTTCTTCTATCACTGAACTATTACGCTACAAATTTTCGTTTGTCTCTCTCTGCACCAATTGGCAATGGCTCTAAAGAAGGTCTAGATCTTTTTCCTGGAAACGTGCTGTACGGGTAGCTATATGGCTGCTGGGCAGTGGAAGTATGATGCGCTCCCTGGTGACTTCGAAGAATCTCGAAACACTGACGCGTGAGAGCCACAGAACAGAAGATGTTTCAAATACCAAAGACACATTGGAATATTATACGGACCTTGCCAAATTAGCAGAGAAGGGCAAAGTTAGCGTACGTTTAACCCAAATCCACATCATACAATACTCTCTCCACATCATACAATACTCTCTCCACATCATACAATACTCTCTCCACATCGCCATCCCGTTACAGCTCCAACTAATTACCCCCAGGCTATCTTTTTTGCGGATTGGTATGGTGGGTTCGAGATATACGGCGGTAGTATGGATGCTATGCTACAAGCAGGACACCAGGTCGCCCATCTCGACCCATTGCCCATGGTTTCAGCAATGGCTGCAGTGACAAAGTCGGTATCTTTTGCTGTCACGATGAGCACCAGCTACGAGAATCAATACGTGATAGCTCGCCTATACAGTACTCTGGATCACCTAACGAAGGGGCGATGTGCATGGAATATCGTCACGAGCTGGTCAAAGTGCGCAGCGAATGCATTGGGACAAGAGGGTGTGATACCCCATGACGAGCGATATGACATGGCGGACGAATTTATGGACGTGACCTACAAGTAAGTCCCGGAATTATTGTCTTCTAATAACACGTAAGGATATCTTTTGGGACTGACTTACTGACATGAACATCACAGACTCTGGGAATCATCCTGGGCCCCTGACTCCGCCGTCTGGAACAAATCAACCAGCGTCGCCTACGACGCTTCCAAGGTCAAGAAGATCGCAAATACTTCAACATGGCAGGCCGCAACCAAGTGCACCCTTCTCCCCAACGCATCCCCGTGCTCTTTCAAGCCGGCACATCCAAGCCTGGCGCCGCATTCGCTGTGAAGCACGCCGAAGCTCTCTTCCTCAACACTTTCACCGTAGCGCAGGCGAAGAGAGTCATCGCAGACGCGCGTGCCGCAGCTGCCGCTCGGGGCTGTGACCCTAAAAGCATCAAGTTCTTCCCTTGTATCGTGCCCTTCATTGGACGAACGGAGGAAGAAGCAAAGGAAAAATACGAATATGCGAAGAAGCACGCAGACCCCGTGGCCGGTCTGGCCCAGTTCTCGGGCTACACAGGTATTGATATGTCGCAGTACCCGCTGGATGAGCTAATCGATCTATCAAAAGCGAACCAGGCTATGGCGATCCAATCTGTTTTCCGCGCGCTAGAAGCATCGGAGTCGGCGTCGGGCCTATGGACGTCACGAAGACTGGGGATCAAGATGGCACTTGGGGGCTTGCATCCAAATCCTGTTGGAAGCGCGGAGTAGGTAGCAGATGTGTTTGAGGAATGGGCAATCGAAGGGGACTGTGATGGGTTCAACATCGCGAGTGTGACCAACCCGGGGAGCTGGCAGGATACGGTCGATTTGCTGATACCTGAATTACAGAAGCGAGGTATGTATTGGGATGATTACGAGGTGCCTGGCGGCACGTTTAGAGAGAATCTGTATGGCGCTGGACGGAAGGGGCTGAGAGACGATCATTATAGGAGTGCTTTCAAGTGGGGAAAGGAGACCCTAGAGCCGGAAGTGAAAGAAGAGGAGAAAGTGGTGGTAAGTGGGGTGAAGAAGGTCGTGGAGGAGGAAAAGGGGTCGATGCCGGAGCCTGTGGTTTTGTCGGCAAGGGCAACGGTCGCAGCTCATGAGTAGACTGCAAAAGTAGTCAGTAGGAATTATAAGAATAACACCAGCATAATTGACTCATCTTTACCTAAATAACTGAAACACTGTGCCATTCTAAGTGAAGGGAGAAAGACGCTCAGAATCATACCTCGAATATACAAGTCTACTAAAAGTCGGCGTCAAGAGGACTTCAAGAGGCGTTTAAAAATGCCTCGTGCCACCATTGGCTGGTATGACAGTGCATTGCATGCCAAGAGTTAAAGGATTACTCCTTTGGGTATGTTTTGCCTTGGTAAAGCTGTGAGAGCATTCAAAATCGTTCCAGTGGTGTTCTTACCTATTTACTTTGTCCAAAATACGAGGGCAACTGTTTCAAACCTACCTGTCGAACTAATAGAATTAAAATAAACAATAAATGTGGCGTCGTCTTCCCCGCAACCGTGCACACCATCCCTCGGTTCTGACCTCGTGAGATTCTAAGAGCGCAAGCTCGGTAGGAAACCATGGTACGGCGGCATGGGTCTCGCCTTCCATCCACAAACCTCGAAGCTACGTTCACCTACGCCTCATACGCGTCGACCAGATCCCATAGGGCTGTGGTCTAAACAGACGATGGCGAGACGACAACACACGCGCTGAAGGACCGCACGGAGCTGGACAGGACACCGTACACCCTCAACACCACAAACCGCGCCATACGAGCCTCGACAACCTCGAGAACGAGGACCGGGACGACTTTCAGTGTCCCTCGACAACAGGCACCCTCACACCACCCAAGTCCTGCTTCCAAACCGCCACAATGCCTCCCAAATCGAAACCACCGCCCTCCCCCTCCTCCGAACCCCCGGACCTCTCAATTCTCGCCGACGATGCTGTCCATCTGCATACCGCCGGCTATACCTCCTCTCATCCCCCAGGGCATGAAAGAAACCTCGTAGGCAGCATGGCGCGCTTCCGGCAATCGCCGCTCGACTTTCTGCGTGAGATCTCGCTGCACGTCTCCGGCACCGGCTGGCGTAGCTACGACAACATAGTCGGCCAGCCAATCTTCTACGCGGGCTTCAGCGAGCGCATGAAAGGGATGGTGCTGCGGAATGAGAAACTCGGAGAGAAGGTGCGAGAGCTCGCGAGTCGGCGGGTGGATGCTGAAGTCCGGGAGGGCGGGTTAGGAGCGGAAATCGAAAATAACAGGGTTTCCGGGGTTGACGGAGGGAGTTTGGGAGTAGAGGAGAGGAAACATCGGCGGAGAGTCCAGATTGAGGAGCAGCTGATGGAGGTGGCAGATAAGTTGACTGATGACATGATTTGCAAGATGGAGAGCCAGCGGTTTATCAGGGGCGCGTATTATCTGTGCACGCAGCTGTTGACCAGGGCGTATCATCAGGGTGAGTGTATTTTTTGCTTATACCGTGACTGGACGGATTCAGGGGCGCTCGGATACGGAAAGGATGGTGTATTGGATTCACCATGGATGCCGTTGGCAACGCAGGCGCATCTCAAATGTTCTTTCCGAATGACTCCTTTGTTTTTTAGTGAACTGAGTCCAATATTAGTTCCCTGGGGTGATAGAGGCATACACAAGCTTAGAATGCGTTGCTAATCCGGTCATATAGGTATCCACGTTTCGAGCGAAGAAGTTCTTCGCCTCCGCGGCGTTGCCGAGCAAGCAGAAAAGAATAAACAATCCATAATCTTCCTTCCATGCCATCGATCTCACGTTGATTACGTTTCCTTGCAGATAATCTGCTATAGACTGGGTTTGGCCCTGCCTACGGTAGTCGCGGGTGATAACCTGAACTTTCCCGTGGTCGGATCCTTTTTGCAACATGCAGGTTGGTCAACACCGTCATGGCCCTCTATTCTGATGAAATGCAGGGTGTGGGTTGGCTAAACAACGTGCTGATGCAACACAGGTGCTATGTGGATACGTCGGAGTTTTGGAGACGATCAGCTTTATACCACGCTTGTGCAGGCATACATAGATACGCTTCTCCAGAATGGATTCAACTTGGAGTGTTTCGTTGGTATGAAGAGAATCGCCCTTATCCTGCTGCTAATAATGTACTAATTAAGGACGTAGAGGGTGGTCGGTCCCGGACTGGTAAACTCCTTCCACCGAAGTTTGGGATTCTAAATTTCCTTTTGGACAGCGTGGCATCTGGACGGGTCAACGATGCAATAATATGTCCAGTCAGCACACAATATGATAAGGTGATTGAAGTAGAGTAAGTGTTGAGGTTCATCGTGAATGGCTGTGGGGCTGACAGATAAACAGTTCGTACATCAGCGAACTTCTCGGACAACCGAAACCAAAAGAGAACCTTATGGATTTCCTTTCTGCTTCCTCGGTACTTTCGTTGAAGCTAGGCCGTGTAGATGTCCGCTTTCATGAGCCTTGGAGTCTCCGTGGTTTCATCCAGCAGCAAACGGAGAGGTTCACTCAGCTACCTCAGCAGCTGGATGCGAAAGAGATGAGGTTGAGAATTCTAAGAACGATGGGGTACAAGGTTCTTTCCGATATCAATGATGTTTCAGTCGTGATGCCCACAGCATTGATTGGCACTGTGCTGCTGACGCTTAGAGGTCGAGGCGTCGGTAAAGCCGAATTGGTCAGAAGAGTTGAGTGGCTCAGCGACCGTGTTCGAAGCCAAGGCGGACGAGTAGCCCACTTCGCTGGCCTCCCGACTAGTGTGGTTGTTGAAAGGGGACTCGAGGTTCTTGGTCCTGGCCTGGTTGGTACGGTTCAGGGGCTACCCGAGGAGACGTTCTACGCCGTTGACAGGTGAGACAAAATCTTCCGAGATCGTGACCTGGAGCAGAACGTTAACACCCGTCCAGATTTCAATTGTCATTCTACAGGAACATGACTATCCATCTCTTTATCTTGCAGGCTCTTGTATCAGCAGCGATGTATACCAAGATCAAGCAAGGCGGTGGACCCGAAAACCAAAGGATCACATACGAGGACCTCCATGGTCAGGTGTATTTCTTATCTCAGGTTAGTTCTGATTCAAGTTCCAGGTGTAAAAAAGAGATAGCTAACGTGTATGAAGTTGTTCCGTGGCGAGTTCATCTTCCCGACTGAAGGACTCGACGCCAACTTGACAAAGGCCTTAAATGGTCTGGAACGCGACAATGTTGTCCAGATAACCAGGAATTCCGAAGACCCAAGCAAGATAGGTTTCATCGAGTTGAGCGATGCTGAAAGAGAATGCGGCCGGGAGAACTTTGACTTCTATTGCTTCTTGATATGGCCATTCGTTGAAGCAAGCTGGCTTGGCGCAATGTCTCTCCAAATGCTTACACCCCCATTAACACAAATAGGAGAAACGTGGCTGGACATGAAAAAGGTTCAAGATCGCGCGCAATTGGTATGTTGGTCAAATTCATATGGAAAAGAAGAGAATGCGGATGAACATTGAAGAAATGAGTTGACTGAAGACTGAAGACATTGCTGACAACACGTAAAGCTAGGAAAAACTCTGTATCACCAAGGAGACTTATCGTATTTTGAAGCCGTCAATAAAGAAATTCTGAAGAACGCTTACCAGCGCTTCGAAGAAGAAGGTATGATCGTAGTTGCGAAGAGTAAAGACACGAAAATACCATCCACCGTACGACTCGCAGACGACTGGACACCCTCCCGTTGCAAAAAGACGGGTAAAATTATGGCGAAGGGGAAGCTCTGGACCTTTTCAGAGCTGGTTTCGCTGTCGCGGAGAGAAGGGTATGTTTGTCTCGTTTCGTTACCTTGTAATCGCTGTGTTCTGCCCACTCTTATGGCCGTGTCTCCTGGATGTCTCAAGAGCACTGTCATCTTGTGTTCTGCTCCTTTTCCGTTATGCATCGTCCTTTTTATTTGCTCTGCCCTTCTTGCATACTGCCTGGCATTCCCTGAAGTATACTCGGATCGTTGCTACTCTTCTTATACCTCATCTCTCTTCATCCTGCCGTATTTCTCTACCCTTTCCCTCCATTCGTGCCTATTCTTTGGGCTCCACACCTCCCTGTCCTTGACTGCCCCCGGGGAGAGTATGTCCTCGCAGCTATTCTCAACCGGTCCCTATCTTTACGCCCTTTGCTGTCTGTTCGAGCATCATCCCCAACCCTCATGTATAAGTCTTCTAGTTTCGTTGCTGCAAGTCTTACTTCATTGGGCTTGGTGCCCCCTATACTCCGCTCGCCGCCGCTACTCCCAAATCTTGTCGGGGGCCTGCGCATCCTGTCTCGTGTGTCCCTTCTGTTACATCCCTTCTTCAACAGGTCTTCATTTCCCTCCCATACTCTGTCCTTGGCTAGCAGTCATGTTCCCGTCCTGTCAAGGTACGGGCTTCCGCAAGGCCGCCGCCCTGGAGTTTGTCCTAGTGGACATCTTATCATGTCCTTATCTTCCTCCCTTTGTTTGTCTGATCTGCTTTCCCCTTCTTCTTGCCCGCCTGCAACGCCCTTATTCTGCGAGTGGAAAGTTCGTGGAGCTTGCTGCGTCGTGGTTGCTTCGGCCCATTACCCCCCTACCTCTTTGTTTGTCTCAGGGGCTCGCTGACTCGTTCCGCCATCTCTAGGAAAAATCGTCGCGATGGTGCTACGGTGCAGAATCGTGTGTTGGCGCTCGCTGATAAGGTCGGAAGGGAGTTGTGGGAGGATGCGGCGTCGCGGGATGGGCTCGTCGACAAAGACGAAGCCCGCATCGCGAAGGCTAAGGGGAAGAGGAAGCGGAAGGCCTTGAACATCGATCGAGCTAGACTGTAACTGTACTTCAGCAAGTCCCCCATTCTCTTGTTTTAGCCCCTTTCTTGTAAGCTTCTTGGTGGGCTGGCGGTGCGGAGATGCTGGAGCGGGTGGACCTCTCTATACATCTAGCGACTAGCGTGTCTGCGACTCTGCAGTGGGTATCAAGGCAGTGATAGTGTATAGTCTACTTACTGTACACCTGTAGACCATTCAGAGACCTCCTCCATGCTCCGTATGTGTGTGTTCTTCTCTTTGTGATGGTGTCTTGCTGCCGCAACCTATCACAACACCGCCGCCCCGTGATCTCCAGACCGCTTCTTCTTCGCACAAACCCTTCCACTCCACGAAACTTCTTCCACCTCATTCAAACCACCGCATCCTCTGCTTCCTGCATCTATCTACACATCCGCTGATTCCGCTCAACATCCTGCACACCTTCTTCACTCGCTAGAGGCCCCCCCGCACCACTATGGGTCGCTCTAAGGAGGCGCGTCGGCATAAGAACCGCACTGACAAGTTGCGCGAGAAGGAGCGTAAGAAGAAACGGGCTGAGGAATCGAAGGCTGCTTCCAAGGGCTCTGCGCGCGTTCTCAAGAACGCGAAGCTCCCCCACATGCGCACTCAGGCCTATGACAGCAATGGAAAGAAGATCAGATATCCACCCTGCTGGATCTGCAAATGGCGCCACGATTCGAAGAAGACCCGCTGCAACCCGAGTATGTGATGTCCTCTTGTCACCGTCTGAGGTACTTCAACTGATTATCATAGAGCGCAAGGACAAGCGTAAGAAGGCTCAATCTGGAGCCGCTGACGCGAATATCAAAGAGGGTATGTGATCTTCCCCTTGTGATCGCCTGAAGTCCTTCAACTAATTATCATAGAGGCCAAGACTGAGGAAGTGACCGTTTGATCTGAAGGCTCTGGTTGTGCACTTGAAGTAGGGTATGTTATCTTCTCTTTCGACTGTCTGAAGTCCTTCGACTAATGATCATAGGGGGCAGAAGCGAGGGCGATGAAGCGAGATATCCGCCCCTATGTAGCTGACACTGAGAATGACATCCTGATTCTCTACGACCTTTTTACGATACCATATGATGCTTGATATTAAGTGCTTGGCAGAACTATTGACGGTTTGGACTGCGGAGTCACGTTGCCATTTGAAAGAGCTAGGAATTGGAGGTCATGTCTTTTTGTTTTGCACATACCTGTGAGTAAAGGTACCACCTCATGACTAGTGCTAATATTCTAAGGAAGATGTAAAGGACTGAAGGGTGTGCATCGGAGCCCTTCACGTTCAGCTTCACAGATCACTGGAGGAGTGAATACACCCCTGGGCTATTCCAAATCCACGCCTACACGATGTCAAAAGCGTCAGGGGCTAGATCAGAGTCCCTCATATGAACGTTTTGACAACACACCAGAGGATCAAATACGCCCCTGGGCTACTTAAAAACGACGCCTTCACGATGTCAAAAGCTCAAGGGGCTAAATCAGAACGTCCAATATCAGAGGATTGTAAACTAGAAGAGCTAGGAATTGAATGACATTCGTGTTGCTTTTGAGCATACGGGTGAGTATGGAATACACCCCTGGGCTATTCAGAAGCCACGGGTTCACGATGTCAAAAACTCGAGGGACCAGATTAGACCGTCTGATCTCACATGAAAGAGCTAGGAACTGAACGATATGCTTATTCCTTTTGAGGATACGGGTGACGATGGAATACCCCTCTAGGCTACTCAAATACGACGCATTCACGATGTCAAGGACTCGAGGGACCAGATCAGGATGTCCAATTTCACATGAAAGAGCTCGAGATTGAAGGGTGTTCTCATTGAATTTGGGCGTATGCATGGGCATGGTGTCTACCCCTGAGCCCATGCTGCCATTCTTGGGAATGAATATTCAACGTCGCAATTTGGGTTACGGAGCTTCATTACAAAAGAGAAGGGCTCGGAATTGAGGGTTATGATCATTGGGTTTGGGCGTATGTGTGAGTACTGTGTCCGCTCCCGAACCCATCATGACATTTTGGGAAATCCTGGCTAACGCGAAGCAGAGGCACAGTCAATGCGAGGCAATTTGAAACGCGTTAGCTATTACATCTTTACATATCACAATCGGTATGTTTCAGAGGTGGAACGCCTTGTTGTCGTGCTGATCAAGGTCTCGTTATGGCCGCTTCAATCTAAAGGTGCTCTGCGCGGCCACGGACCGAGGGGCTCGCAGCGATGTGCAAAGAAGATCAGGCCCAAATCATACCACCCCCAATCATCATTTGGATGAGCATGCTAACAGTAGGATCCTCCCCCGGACTATGGCCTCCTGCGATGCGTACTATGTCACAGCAGACATGCACCGAATCGCCTCCCCTTTGATCACCTGGCTAGCATCACGTTCCGTACCTGAGACGCCATGAGCAGCAGCAGCATCCCGACATCGGTGGCCTGATCCGCAGGGCGTGGCTGGGGTAGAAGGCGGTGACGCCAGAAACGGGGGCCACTGCCAAGCCCCGCTGGGGTATAAAATCTTCGCTCGTCTCGCCCCCAACCCTCTTCTTCTTCCTCAACAACGAGACGTGCTCTTTCGCGGGCCTCTCGGCCTGGGTCTTCATACCCAGGTAGAGCAGTGTTTTATGTTTGTTTGTTTTGTGGAGGGCTTGGGGCCGCGGGAGGTACGTTCGTTCTCGATGATGCTGCTTCCCTCCGACAGCCAGAGCTCCTGATTCTCGCTGCCTGTCGTGGGCGTCAGCCAGCGGCACCACAGATTGGAGAGCTGATATACTATTGCTTGCTGATGATGCTGACGATTGAAGCAGGGCCTCGCAGACCGGCAATTCGCAGCCTCCCACCCCGTCCGTCGAACAGGGTACGGGCCAGCCGCGCACCGGATCGTTTAGCTTCCCATGGAATGCTGCGTCCTTCACCTCTGCGCGAGACGGCCTGACCTCTCCAACCGTAGAGGAACAAGCTGATCCCACGATCGGCTTCCTCCTTAATAAAAGCCCGTCCGAAAGGCTGTGCGGTCGCTCTCGTACTCTGTCGGCCAATCGGCCAACAGGACAACGAGCTTCTCTCACCAAACCCAGCCGCCCACTTCGCTGGCCGCGGTCTTCGTGTCAATTCCACCTCTGTTCGCCACCGGCCATCAAAGCCGAGTCTTCTTGGCGAGGCTCCTCTGGATTTGAGCGGGCTTCCGCAGCTGTTGGAAGGCGAAGACGATATGAACAGCGGTTCAACCGGGTCAGAGGCTGAGCTCGAGCTGCCAGCTTCATGCTGATGGCCATCAAAACCAAGTTTTCTTGGCGAGGCTCCTCTAGATTCGAGCGGACTTCCGCAGCTGTTGGAAGATGAAGACGATATGAACAGCGGTTCAACCGGGTCAGAGGCTGGGCTCGAGCTGCCAGCTTCGTGCTGACGGCCATCAAAACCAAGTCTTCTTGGTGAGGCTCCTCTAGATTCGAGCGGACTTCTGCAGCTGTTGGAATACGAGGACGATATGAACAGCGGTTCAACCGGGTCAGAGGCTGGGCTCGAGCTGCCAGTTTCGTGTTGATGGCCATCACTGAAGGAGTCTACTGACCAAGCAGGGTAAGATATCTAGGTCTACACCAAGCACTTCCCAAGCACAGAAACTAACTTAATCAAAGATGCCCCTTGCTATCTAGCGGACCTTTGAAGTCGTCAGCTCCTTTTCCAAATCTCCTCCCATCGCCGATAGCTCGACTCCACTGGGCCGGAAAATCTGCCGAACCTTGGCTGCCCAGTCCCTGACTCCGGCAAACACACCCACTCTCTCACACAACCCGGAACTTCCTGCCGACTGTGGCTCACACACAGCATTGCCTGATGGTCTTGCAGCCCTTCCACCACGACTTCATTGCTCTTTGCCTTGGCGCTGGGCACCGGAACACTTCCCTTGTCGGTATACGTCAACGTCATACCTTCGCCCCGCGTGAGGAAGAGCAAGCATTTGTCTCGCACGAGGTCATCCATACCGCTGAAAGCTTCGTCAAGAATCAAGATGTCTGGATGGCGGATCACAGCACGGAGGAAGAGCAGAACACGTTGGGCGCTGTATGAGACCTGACCGAAGAGGGTGCTGGATGACCACTCCAGGTTTGACGATGCTGTTTCGGCGAGTTGGGGATTCAGATCAACCTCGAACCAACGGAGACATGCGTCTATGCGGCTGCCTGCTTCGGCGTTGAGAGCGGGTCTCGTGAGGGGAGTATCTGCCCATGCGGATTCGAGGGTTCGTCGAAGAGAGAGCTGTTTGGGAAAGAGAGCATGGACTTCAGGAGAAGAGTGGCCCATGCGGGATTGGATGTCGAAGATGGAGATACCAGGGATACCAGGGGATGGCAGTCGCGAGCGCTGGAAGATTCGGACGGGAGCTGAATATGTCTGTGGATGGTCGGAGGTTATGAGAGAGAGGAGAGTGGTCTTCCCAGATCCTGCTCGACGTTAGCAAGTGGCTAGTCAATGCATGCCTCATTATCGTCTCACCATTTGCTCCAAAGATGCCCCATCGTTGACCTCGCCGAACGTCCCACCACAACCCATCTTTCTTCGTGCCATCTACGTCTTGCTGCCAATCTCCGAGCACAGAATTACTCCCGTATTTGATCCTCACCCCTTGCATCTCAACGAGAGGATCACCAAGCGGCACCCGCGTTTCGTCATTCTTCTCATACCCATCTCGACTCAGCCCAGTTGCGCCGGATTCTTTTCCAGCCTCGAAGTCGCCCCTCTCGGAAAGATGACGACCAACTTCTCTAAGCTCCACTAGTTTCGGATCGAGACTAACGCCCTTCGCACCTCTCTGCTCGGCGGTTTCATACTTGTTTTTCAAGTAGCGGAAAACTTCAGCCTTCGGACCTAATGTATCAACTTTGCCGTCCTCGCCGGCATAGACGATGTGGGTGATCCAATCCGGAACGACGTCTTGCGGACGCAGTGAGAGGACAACGCGGGGAGCGTTCGATTCGGCGAGCCGATGCAAGACTTGAGATATATGCTTCGAGACGAAGGGGTCGAGGCCAACTGATAGACATCAACACGCATCCACATCTACACACACGCACGCACAAGCAACTCATGATCAGGAACACCATGTTCATCGCAAACGTGATTTCGACTCGAGATAAAGAACAGAACATACTAAATGGCGCATCCAACAACAACATCTCCGGCGCGCTCAACAACGCCTTTCCAATTCGCGCCCGCCGGCTCTGCCCGTTGCTCAGCGTGCTCACCGGCTTCTGCACAAACCTCTCCAGCTCCAGGTCCTTCACTACTCGTGCCAGCACCTCCTCCGGTGGTAAACGCGCCCGCACAAACTCCTCACCCTCGTTCAACCCCGTGACCCCGGACAGGTACCGCGCTAGCGACACATCCCCGGCTTCGCGGTGCGACTCATAGCGTGCGCTGAGGTACGCGCCGCCGAAGGCGCGCCGTTCGACGTCAAAACCGACGTACGCGAGGGCACGGTCGGGCGTGCGGGATTTGAAGGAGGCGTTGGGGGTGCTAAGGTAGGGGTAGGAGCGGGCGGTAGGGGGAAAGCAGAGAAGCTGGCCACGGAGGACGTGGAGGAAGGCTGTGCGGATTGTGGAGGAGGGGCTTAGAATGGCCCAGTGCTCGTTTGGGGTTGAAAAAGAAGGTAGAGAAAGGGTGAGGTTTTGGAATAAGGGGGGATTGGGAGAAGAATTGACACTGGACTTGGATGGTTCTTGCCCTGGGCGTGGCCGGGAGGAGGGGTGGCGGGTGTAGAATGTGCCATTGGTGATTTTTACTATGGGAGGGAAGTTGACACGATGGGTTCTTGAGGCGGAGAGGGAAAGGGGGGTAGTTCTTTTCATCGCGGTCGGTGGATGTGGTGTTTGAGTCACGGAGGAAGGAAATTTATATAGCTCTTTTGGCTTCCCGTAGCAAATTGCGCCATAGCTACCAGTGGGCGTCCGTATATTCCCCACAGATTGCTATGACGTCTGACAGATAGACCTCGGCATGTGGATCTTCCTTCACTACTTTGAAGAAAGCTTACACGCACCTTTCACACTCAACTCGCGATGCTCCCAGCATTGCAGCCGTCGCGCCCAAAGGCAAGTAGTCGCCGGCTCTCCAAGTATCGGAAATGTTCTATGCTAACCCGAGTCCAGCTCCCGCAACAAGACTACCAGCGCCCTAGCTACCTCCACCAGCAAACCCGCACCCTACAATACCCCTCTATTCCTCCCCCTCCCGTATCCAGCGCACCAAGCTCCACTGTATCGCAAAAGAAGCCTCGGAACCAAATAGAAGCAATGTCGCCTTTCGCCCCACCTCTCCAGACCCTTCAAACCCTTCAGACCCGAAACCCGACCTTCTCACCGAGCGCGTATGACAGCGCGGTCAGGCATCCCGTTTTTTTCACTCAGCAATTACGGAAACCTCCGTTCCCACTGCCACAAAATGCTGCGCAGGGTGCGAATCCGGTAGCGTTCGGGTATGTGCTGGAGTCAAGGAAGGCTGATGCTACGTTTGGGGGACGGACGAAGCTGTGAGAGTGGGTTGTACTGTACGATGCCTGGTCAAGAATCCCCATACACTGGTCTACCACAGCGCGAGGAACTTCATAGTGTTTTCAGAATTTCGAATAAGAGAGAAGCTCGGCGTTTTGTACAACTAGTAAAGTCGCGAGGCTACCCCAGACAGCGTCAGCAGGGTGTACGCAGGTTGGAAGCATATCTACTGCATCCAATTTCCAATAGTATGTTGGAGCCCCACAAACGGTGGCAGGAAAGAGTATGCAGATCTATGGCAAGGCACTGTATTGGATGGCAGGTAATCAGGGAGAACATTTGGGGATGAGGAGGCTTCATGGTAAAGGGGCGTATCCTCCCCGAGGTTCGAGATCGACTCAAGAGGCAGAACCAATGACTAAAGCACGACTGTCTGACTGTTACGTCTGGTGGGAGTATAGGAATCTAGAGACACGGGCTCCTCATAGTAGCCGTAATTCCCGTACTGCAAGAACTTGCAGTAGCGTGGGTGCTTCAACTCTCGTAGTGGAGTATGAGCGTGGCGTAAATGATACTATTACGTCTAGAGACATCCCTACGTGGGCGATTGGTGAAGCCTAGCAGATATGGGAACTTGTCGTCCCATATTCGTCAAATATTGACGCATTGACAAGTCAAGCACATGTAGTGGATCTCATCAGTCCTCTGCGTCTAGCTGCTGTTCTATAAGGACGAGTCTCATGCCCCTACACAACCGCAGAACTATCTCCCTAACTCAGCAAATAACCCCAACAATCCCCTCCCCACACATCTCCGCCTAATCCACACTCTCCACCATAGCCTCTTTCAGCACAAGTAGGGCGGCAAGCGTTGTTCATTTTGCAGTAAATAGCCAGGCCGCGTGCAGCACCTCTAAACGCCATTCTCACTGCAGTTTAACGACTCCACACTTTTATCTTTTGCAAGGCTACACACCCCCTTATTGTGCCTTTCAACCAGCTTTGCGTCATGTATGGACTGCACCTCGTACCGTTTCTTGGAGAAGATGGTCCCGTGGCGTTATGTACAACCCTGCCTCGCCCTTAGTAGGACCATTGATGGCATGAGCAACCACTCTTTTTGGCGTATTGAGCTCTGCCTGGATGTTGTGAGACGCCGAGGTCCCATTCTCTGCTCATAAGTCGGGCACAAAATGCATCTTGAAGCTCTTCTTCGCCCGATCCGGAGCCGTCCTCTGGAAATGCTCGCCGTGTATCTCAAACACGAGCGGTTGATGTTGCTGCTGACCCTCTTGCTCCAAGAATGGCACCTCGAACCTGAAGATTGTGTGTTCCTTAGGCACCGTCTTCACCACATCCCCCTTCGTGACAATGTCAAACACAAACTTCGTGTCTCGCACCACAATCCCCTTCAGCCCAACCCGGCTCACGCACCGGCTCCGCACCACCTCCACAGCCGCCCCGTGCAGGTCTGCGCTCGCGACCATCGGCCCTGCACCCGCGGGCGTCACGTATTTCGTCGGCCTCCCTTGCTCGCCCTCCGCTTTCACTAGCCCGAGTACCTCCCTCATGTAGCCGCACCACATACTATGCAGCGGCTCGTAGATTGCATATTTCTGCTGCTCTTTCGGGATTTCGTAGAGGCATAGCGCGCGCTTCTGGGCTGCGGATAGCGGGCGCGGCTTTTTCGATTTGCGGGCTTTGGTTGCAGCTTCGCGGGACGCGCGAGCGGAACGACGAGTTGCGCGTGCGGACGGGGTGGGAGAGGTTGGTCGGAGTGTCACCGCCCTCTTGACGACGCGGTCGGTGAAGAGGGTGTTGGTAGTTGTGGGGGAGTGGGCGCGGGAGAGGAGGGTGTGCGCAATGTGAGGTTCGGACGGGTTGGAGGGTGCGGCGTCCGTCATTTCATTGGGAGGTTAGGTGGTGTCTTCAACACTTAGGGAAGTGTTTGATATATAACTGTAGGTAATGGATGTGGCATGGGTTGTGGGGTTTCCGTGCTGAGATTTGTTCTACGAAGTACACCGTACAGGCGCACTTTTGAGTACGCCCTTTGAAGTACTTCACAGATAAATGAAAGTTTCGGGTAAATACCCCTCCTAATGGACGTTTGTGACGCCGTTTTATGGGGGCCTTTTCCCGCCATGCCAAGACGTCTGGTGGCAAGGCTTAACCCTACTGCTACAGAAACCATTATAGGATATAGATCTAGTTTTAAGGATCCTAAAATAGATATAAATGCTTGTACCTAAAAATAGGGCTACTACTAATATTCTCTTAAAGCCTTTTTACCTTCTTCTAATTATTATACTATATAAAAGATTCTTAGATAAAACTTTGTTAGTATGAAGAGTACTACCTAGCTATTCTCTCGATTTAAAAATATTAGTACTTTATCCTAGAAAAGTTATGACTCTAACCCCTAACCTAGTGTTCTAATGACTAGATTTTCCAGTGCTACTTTTTTTGAGAAATAGCTCGCCGGAAACTGCTTTCATCACACGTCTCGTGTCAGCGTAAGTTTTTCGCGAAAGAGCGCCAAAAGAGCTGGAGAGACACACAGCAAGGCATAGAGCAAGTGGCAGCCGTGCAGTCAAACAGTATAAAACTAAATTAAATGCAACTGGGGATGCACCTTCGATAAACGTAAGCGCTCAGCGTCTTCCTCCAAATCAGTCTTCATCGATAATCTCATAGGCATTGTCGCCACTGTCACTTTGGCTCCGTCCAACACTCTTCTCAGGCGTCTTCTCATCCATACTTTCGCCTACAGGCTCAATGCCGTCTTCGTCAGTCATTCTTAAACTGTAAAATCGCTTCTTTATCGCGGCTTCACTCTTGTTTTGGTAAGCATGATCAATGACTTCCCGCACTTTATCCGTGAACACCAGACTTGTCCCATACTTGTGCATGACGTCCGCAAGCTCCTTCCCATCAGACTCCCTCAATGTTTGTCCAAAGATTTGCAGAAACATCTCCTCAGTTACTGGCATCGACGGATCATGCTCCAGGAGCATCTCCAGTACGTTGATGCCGTTGCCATATCCAATCATTTGGAGGGCCATTTTAGGATCTAGCCTAATGCTGGGGTCGAACTTGAGCAGCGGACGCATCGTCAGATATGCCTCTCCCAGCCCTAACTTGGATATCGCTGCAACCACGTCGGTGGAGATACGCGTACCAGGTTCCAGGTGTTTAAGCAGGATCTCCATATCTGCTGCACAGCGCGCTGCTTGCACCATCTCTTCGGTAACAGCGATATCTGGACTGCGGTCGAAGAGGGTCTCTAGCACGTCCTTCCCTTCCTGTTCGTGCTTCCTGTACCTGCGATCGAAGTCATTCCCGATCTCTAGTGCCCGGAATACGACCTCTTTAGTGACAGGCGTCTCAGGGTCGATATCCAGTAGAAGCTTCATGCACTTGAGCTGTTTCTGGGATTTGAGAATCTCTGGCGTGATTCGGCACACCGGTTTGTGCTCAAGCAGGTATTTCAGATCGTAATGAGAATGAACGGCTTCGAGCATCTTGGCCGTCACTCCAATGCCACCACTTCTCTGCATAAGGCGCTTGATGATTTCGTTGCCAGCATACGAGCGCTTGAGGACATGGCATATGACTGCTTCAGATACTACCATGCCCTTGGCAATATCCAAAAGCGAAGCGAGCGTCTTCTCCGCGTCTCTGGAGAGTAGTTCAGCTGCCGCCACGAGGTCGTCATCGAGAACATGCAGTGGGTTTGCAAGCTTCAAAATGACTTCCAAAGGTGTTTCTATCTGAGAGGGTTCGAAGCTTATACGTCTCTGCCTCTTCTCTTCAAGGGCTATCGTCAACGGAGTCCGACCCTTTGCATCTAGAACAGTGGCATTTGCACCGTGCTCTAGTAGCTTGCGGACAGATGCACCGCTACCAATAGCGCAAGCAAGATGCAACGGCGTTGTATATTCAGGGTGAATATGTTTGGTCAGCGGTGCTTTTTGGAGCAGTAGTGCCACGATATCCGGATGACCTCCCTGGATGGCGGCGAAGATGGCCTTCTCGAAAAATCCGGCAGTTGCATTGAGGTCGGCCCCTTTCTCGAGGAGCAACTCAACCAAGGCCTTGCTTCCCAGCAGGCAGGCAAGATGCAACGGCGGCCCAAAAGGCCTGTTATCGTCGGTAATGTTCGCTCCATGGACGACTAGAAGCCGCACGATTTTCTCGCAGTCTGAGAGCCGTCGGAAGGTGCTGGGAGCCGAGTCTCTATAACTGTAATATGCCATTCCGCCCCCAGAATTTGGCAGGGAGAGTTTGTCCACGAGCTTCTTTGCGTTTTCTGATTTCAACCCCCGTAGCGTAGAGGCTGCACACGCTTCCAATGCAGTCATTAATGGTGTTCCATGTTTTGCACTCTTGCAATTCATATCAGCTCCACTTAAAAGGAGGAATCGGACCACCTCCGCTTGCAAGTGCGAAGCTGCAACCTGCAGTGGATAGTCGCCATTCGCCTCGCCTTGTCCATTGATGTCGATGCCACCTTTCTCTAGCATGATCCCTACGGATGCTACCGAGCCTGCTGCGCAGACCTGGACGAAGCGTCTCATAGTATGAGGGGCGTAGTCCAGCAGGAGTCGGAAAACAGAATCATCAAGCCCATGGACAGCAAAGGCCTCGTCGATGACAGTCTCTGGCTTCTCACCATCATAGATCTTCTCAAGTAAGAGTTCAATCATAGGGAGGCGCTTTTGACGGCATGCCAAGGCTAGTACAGGTTCTGCTTTCGACCCAGCTGCTAGAAGCTCTTGCGCAATCTCAATGCTCCCTGCTCTAACGGCATCAGACAAAGCCGCGTCATCGATCGCATTGGCCTCAGCTAAGAGTAGAAGACGCACAATGTCAGCTCGACCCTTAGAGGCTGCGACACTTAGAGGTGTGTGGACCCCTTCGACATTGTTTTCGATGTCAGCCCCCTGGGATAGCAGCAGCTTGGTTACATCCAGGTACCCTCCGGCAATGGCTGCATGGATCGGACTCGCATCCTCGGCCTGAATGCTCCCGTAATAGGGTCGCTTCTTCCCATGAATATTCACTGGTGCGCCAGCGCTAAGCAACTCTTTTACCATGGCCACACTTCCTTGCGTCGAAGCTAGAATCAACGGATGCAGTGTCTCAGATTCATCAAGCACCGCGTTTGCCCCATGCTTCAGGAGAGTCTTGACGATGCTCAGATTGCCGGATTTGACTCCCAACTGTAGCGCATTTTCCGAAGCTTTCTCCGAATCGTCGATGTGTCTGAGATCCATGTCTGCACCGTGGTCGAGGAGTGTCTCTATGACGTCTGCATGACCGCCGACAAGAGCTGCTCGCAGAGCCGTTTGCCAGCGACCCTCAAGCACATTGACTTCGGCGCCCGCGTCTAACAGCTTCTGAACCATACTGATGTGTCCGCAACGGGCTGCTGCCTCCAATGCCGTGCCGTAGTAATATCCGATAGCATTGACGTCCGTGCCACGAGACAACAATAGGTCAAGGAAGGGATGATCGTCGAGGAAAGCGGCCATCTGCAAGACCAGAGTCCATCTAATGTCTGTGGTTGTGATCTGCGGCATTTGACGGAGAAGATCAAATAGCACTGCTCCAGATCCTTCGTTGAACACGTACTCCAGCGACGGAACTACCAAAAAATGGCCATCGGGATCGTCAATGCCGTCAAAATATTTCCTTGAAGTGTTGCCTTTAAAGTAGCGCAAAGCCTGTTCGAGGAGCTCCTTTTGTTCTTCGACCTCCTCCGAGATGGTCGCACCAACCGCAAGGAGTCTGCGAACGATAGAAGCTGCGGACAACTCGCGTCCGGTTGCTGCGAAGAGAGCACTCTCACCATCCTTAGTCGCATTGACGTCTGTACCCGCTGAAATAAATTTCTCCACAATATGACCTGGACAGTATTTCGCAGCCAGCTGTATTGGGTATACATTTTGACCACCCAGATCGTTGGGCTTGGAACCGCTACCAAGGAGAAACATGATGACTTCCTCGTGCTGAGGCTGCTCAGCCTTCCTAGGCTCATTTTTCGAATGGAGGAAGATCCCGGATAAGTGGCTTCTTGACGAGTCGAATCTGGCAAAGCCTCGCAACGCTGCTTGAAGGGGCGAGATGACTGGCACCACAGTAGACTCCTCTTGACTTGCTTGCGACTGGCCCTCTGAGTTATATGAAACAATCGCAAACGGGGACGAGATGAAAATAGTCTTGTTCAAGCCTGGCCCGACGGGTTTGTCGTGCGCCAGATTGTTGATATCCGCCGACATATCTTGGACTAGGTACCGCACCACATCAATATGTCCATTCTCACTGGATACCACGAGGGCACGGATAATAGCAGCGCTGCTAGTTGTGGTCAGCTCGTCCGTCCAGTAAGAGGTAAGCAACTTCATCATATTCACGGAGCCACTGCCAGCCGCCACAACAAATGCTTCCTCGCCCGAAGGCGGTTGTCTCCCTTTGAGCGATGGAGACTCGAGGAGAATTTGAGCGACAGTACTCTGAGCATTCAATGCACAAAGCTGGAGCCCCGCATCGATTTCACGTGGGGACAGTGCTTCGTGGTGCTTCGATCCAAGAATCGCATCAATGACTTGAATGTCTCCAGTTTCGCAACTGTGTGCAAAATCCAAGACCAGCGTTTCCTGGCTTACTTCAGGGTCGCGGTGATATTTGTCGGCTGCCGTGACCAGCTTCTGCTTTAACTCAGCAGTCTCATCCGCAGAGCAGTGTTTAGAAGCCTGAGCAAGGGCGAGGTCGACGATCTGCGATTGTTGCCTTTGACGCCCAACTTCAAGAATTGATTCAATGTGGGATTTGATAGACTGCCGCTTTGCAACGTCGTCAAGAAGTAGCTGAACGACCGGCCAATGAGAATTTGAAGCAGCTACCTTGATGGCATCACTGATCTCATCTTCTGGAATGCCCAGCACCTCCCGTTGTTCCAGGAGCAGTTTGACAGTACCTTCGTGGCCGGCTGAAGCGGCACCTTCAAGTGGGTAATTCTCACGACGTCGTGAGTATGATTGTGGTTCGTAGCCAGTAGCTGGAACCTCTTCGGTCTTCAGCTGAGCCATCTCTGACTCGCCTTCTGCTGCTCTGAAAATGGCCTCAAGCTCGGTAGTAGGCCTTGTCGCTTTAGCGGATATATCTTTCGAGGCTCGAGATGATTGCCTTCGTCTATACGGATCAGAGTCCCGTCCAGGGGATGCATCTCGCATCAGTGCCTTGTATGGTGAAGGTGTAGCTCTACGAAACGCTGGACCCGGAGGTGGATGGTAGAACTTGTAGCCCTTTCGCAGCATCAGCATTATCACATCTTGATGTCCTCCTTCGGCAGCAGCATGGAAAGCGTCCTTGGAATACCCCTTAGCGTGAACATCAGCGCCGGCATCAAGCAAAAGCTCCACAGCACCGTGCTGACCATGGTAAGCTGCAGCTTGTAGGGCTGTGCCGTAGAAACCGCTTTGCTGATTCACATTGGCGCCTTCGTCTATGATGAGTTTCATAACCGTGGTGTGCCCCTTCATAGCCGCAGCTTGGAGTGCGTCACCAAAAATCCCGCAAGCATTGATCTCTGCTCCTCGGTGCAAGAGCAAGCGAGCGATAGGCTGATAGTTGAGGAGGCAAGCCGTTCTCAACGGCGTCCCAACAGCACCTTCGGCTTCCACACTCATGCCCTCGTCTAGGAGGAACTCCACCAAAACCTTGTGATTGTACAAGGTCGCGAGGGCAACGGCGTCTGGTGGAAGAACGTCTCTTTTATTGATTTGTTGATCAAGAAATTGACGAATAACACCGAGCTGGCCACCCTCTATGGCTTTCCTCGTCTTCTTCCTTACTTTGTCAGGCTTGCTCTTGTTGAAGAGCAGAAATGACGGTCGTTGGAGCCGTTCAACGACATTAACAAACCCTGCACGAGCAGCGTCTTCAAGAGCTTGTTCATAGTCGTCCTCGGATTTGACCATAGAGCCGCTTTCGATGAGATGAAGTGCCACATCCTCATGACCACCCCGACATGCGGCCTGCAAGGCGTCATCAAAGACAACACCATAGGAGATGCTTGCGCCAAGCTTGAGAAGGTTGTCGACCACTTCCAGATGCCCTGCGAAGCATGCCGCGTGTAGTGGACTGCCGTATCTCCCGCACTTGACATTGACATTAGCCCCGTGGTCAACGAGCACAGAGACTGTGGTTGAATGTCCTAAGGCAGCCGCAAGATAGACGGGTGTGGCGCCATGTTTGTTCTTCTGATTCACATCAAGATCCGCCACGTGCTCAAAAACCACACGTAATAAGCCAGTCAGTCCGAACACGCTGATCAAGAACAGAAATCCAGCATCACGATCGGGGATCGCATCCAGAGCTGCTTTCATGGCATGGTCATTAGTAAGAATTGTAACGAGTTCTCGTCTCGTTCCAAGCCACGAGTCGAAGGACAAAGTGGTGTCGAAATCCTCGTCGAAGATGAAATAAGTCATCTTGTCGACAATATCTTTGTTCGCTGCCATGCTCTCGGCTATGTTTGAGTGAACAGGCCAGTACATCGCGGCATAGACATAAAAATCGTCGCTTGGTATTTGAAAGTTCCTCGTAGAAACAGGGCCCCGAGAGCAAGCTTCAATACAAGTCGAGGCAAGAAAAGTGTGCGCCGCAGCTCCTGTAAAAGAGTCATGGCGCTCTAAGAACTCCTTGACCGATTGATGGGCAAAGCGTATGACGTTACAATCCTTGTCCAGAACAACCAAGTTCGCGCATATTGCCATCAATTGTGTCAATTGCAGTGTCGAGTTTTGGGCATTTGAAATGGCGGCCAGGAGAGCTGATGGTGTCAATGGTTCTCTCATGTGAAGAATCCAGGAAAAGACTTTGACTGCAGTATCGCGAGCGATCGTGCCAGTCTTGAAGATGTGACTCAATGACTCTTGGTATAACTGATCCAAATCTTCTGGAAGCTTGTTCTGTAATGCTATTATAACGTCATCCTCAATCTTTTCTCGGCAAAGACGCTCGATTTGCAGTTTGACCCAGAGAAACCTGTATCAGTCACTTTGAATGTTCAGAGATCGATCGGAAATACTTACATTTCGCCAGCTCCGTCGAGGAGTGCCTGTATCAGCATGCTGTGCAAAGCAGGGGACACTTTCCCTTCGAGTAGCAGCTTGCTTGTCACAGCGGTGTCAATTAGGTGGTTCACGAAACTTTCCATGTCTTGTTGAGTTTCATGGCTAGTGATCTGGATTTGCTTATCGGCCGCCGGTGCGATTGTTGTACAGTTGCTGCTTCTGCTCGTTATCAAGATCTTAACGACATTATCCGCTTCCAAGACGATCCCCTTCAGTGTGGAAATGAGGGCATGCCGTTCGTTCTCCTTAACAGTATCGATGGCGTCGATGATAATGGTCAATGGATCCTGCTCAGCAAGCTCAAGGATGAGCCGAACGCAGTCTTGCGTTCTCAACTTCATTAAATCCAGTCCGTCAACACGTGCTGTTGCAATTTGGCGCTCATACTCCGAGCAGAGGAAGTCTTTGATCTTACGTCGGCCTGTTGTATCGAGAGCAAGCTGGCCGAGTATGGAGCGCATCACATCATCAGACGAATAGCGTGCCCTCTCAAAGTCGGGGTTCGCACAATAGATGTATCCAAATGGGGCGGCGAATGGATCATTGTTAGCGATAGACAATAAAGAGTCCACGATCACCGAGCACAGCATCGATTTGCCCGAGCCGGTGATACCATGGAGCAAGAGCAGCGAGGAAGAACTCGATGTTTGCCAATCGATGTAGTCCTTGTGGTTAAGCAGCCATTTCCCGAGGCCGGGTAGCCGGGATTGCGAGACGAACTGATGATGGTTGTAATATGGTGACGCGGACAGCCATTCAAGTATTTTGTTGTACTTCTGTTCTGAGAGTGACTGAGAGTACATGGTTGCCTGTACCGAGAGCCTCGTGACCGCAGCCTCTAGGTAGACTAATTTGTCGGTGTCTGTCAGCTTGGCGATTTTGAGGACTTCAGCTTCCTGAGCTATGACTTTGCGCATTTGTTCCTCGTCTACCGTGCGGAAGGGGCTCTTGAGCAAGCGGACTGACGGACGTTAGCCTCCATGTCAATTTAACATCGTAGCAGAATCTCGTGTTATAGACCGATAAGTGTGCGCTGTTGAAATGATGAAGTCCCAATAGTAAGAACTCGAAGCAATGCGCTTACTCAGATATCCTACCTTGGCAGTAAAGCCTCTCAGGAAGAGATGAGAAGAGTCAAGAGTTGAAACTCACCCATGGATTTCTCTCCGAAGAATCTCACCGCACGAGCCAAATGGGTCAAAATCTCCGCATATAGACGAGTCAAAGCTTCCTCTAACATCAACTCTAGCTCCGATTTCATTCCCTGCAGGTAAAGCCGCTCGAATTCGCGATAACGGGTGACTATCCGGGCAATGGTTTCCACTGCGCCATTAAGTTAGCTCGGCTCCCGCCCATATTGGGCATCCTCGCGCGTATGCGCTGTTAAAATCTCCCTCATGCTGGAACTTACGATCATCAGCCATAGCTCCAAATACTTGAACTTCAGAGACAGCTGTCTGAAGCAAGAACCTGAATGCTGCCCACGGTAACGAAAGGTGAACAGGATCGTACTGAGCGATAACATCACCCGTCTCCTTGAATCTGTTGATCCACCTCGCGGTCTTTTCGAGCACATCCCGCACGACGACCACATCGCCGTTGGGCTTCTTGAACTTCCATCTTTTGCGTACAGCTACATCTCTTTTGGCCTCGATCTCTTTCAGCACAGCCTCCTGAATCCGATTGTTAGCGATTGCGATCCGATTGAATTCCGGGAGGTGTTTACCAGGATATCGCGCTTATGTGTCCTAGTCGAATTCAGGCCATTTCTTAGATCGCTGTCCAATGAGTTGAAAGCCTGATCCCACAGGCTCGGGGTCGCGCTGGAGGCTTTCGCAGAGGCTGTCATCCTGTCAACGTAGAGCCAGTATAATCACTGCTGGCCATCTAGAAGCGACACGTTGGGTCTCTCCAGGGTCTGCTTGACGTGTGCTCAGTTGAGCTTCTAAGCCTCAGATGAACAAAAAAGGGACTAAATAGAAGTTTGCATGGAGGATACAGGTGGCATGACCTCAGGAGAGCTCGGCGCAGCTTCGGAAGCTCGGTTGGCCCGCGGCAAGCTTCTGCTAATATGCCACATAAATGGCCCCCAGGTCATGTGTTCGAGCTGGACCAGGGGTTGTTCGGCCCAGTTTCCAAGGTTGGGTCGGGGCGACCTTCCTCTACGTATGAGAAATATTCTAAGCGGCCGATTTGAGGCACCTGCACCACAACACGTAACTATAACGAATCCCCCACAATTTTCCACTAATAATTTCCAACAGGGTATCAAACTGGAGCCTTGCATCAGCGTATGAATACTGGCATGATAAATTAGCTAATACTGAGACTGGTTGTGTTGAAAACAAGTCTTGATGTTGCCGTGCGGTGCCTCAAATCGTATCTAGTCTAGTATGAGCTTGCCAATGCTAATCTAGTAACTTATACACTATACGCATAGATAACCCAAAGGAGCTTGCTTGTGCAGTTGCCGAGAATAGAGAGGAGCTTAGAGAGTCTAATTTTGTGAGTAGCAGCGACCATCTACACCACCACCATTTAATTTTGACAACTTTACGACCCCTACTACGTGTCGCAGGCTTAAGCAGCTAAGTAACTATATTCTGACTAAGTGGGACAGCATTCTTTAATGGGAGTGGACCGAGCGATATGTTTGTGCCTCAAACGCGATCGCTGCTAGGGCTACCAACGGCGCGCATAGGGCACTCGCTAGGAACGACGTAGCTAAGCAGAAGCGCCGGCAGAATAAGAATGACACGAGGAAGAGGCTTACTTATATTGGGCCTTTCGTAGCTGGCGACGCACGGCGTATGAAGGCTGTGCAGGCTAAAGAGACGCTGGAGGAGGCGGAGGCCGCGCTTTAATCCCGACGCGAAAAGGCCGACAGGAAGCGATTAAAGGGGGAAAACGAAATTGGAGTTGCATATAGAAGAGAGATAAGGGAGCGCAATAAATTGTTGGGAATCAAAACTCCGAGATACCGCAAGCCGAAGTTGTAGATAGTAATTGATTGATTTGGTGCGGTTGAGTATGTGGTGCGTTTGAGCTGGCGGCCCCGGGTATGTCGTACTCTGATCTTTGGTGGTGAGGGTCCAGGCCAGGATGGTGTTCTGAAATCAATGGACGTTTGTGACGCCGTTTTATGGGGGGCTTTTCCCGCTATACAGCGATGATCACCGCCGCTGGAAATCAAACACATGCAGCATGCTTTTATCATATGTTTAAGTGGGCGAGCAACCAGAAGCCGTTATAGGGGGGAAAAAATATGATATGCTCCAGAAAACCTTGATTATTTCCGCCAGAGGAAAGAGTGTCTGAAAGCACAACATGTAAGGATAATAGCAGAAACTTCAACCACATCGTACCAAACCGAAAAAGTTAGCCATATATCACTATAAAGCCTTCACACTCCACATTTCACATATTCCAGCAACCTAGTTACAGGCGATAGGGCTGTACGAGAACATCTTGTCATATAAGTCTTCCAGATGTACTCCATTATCCTCGGTGTTCCAGCTCATGTCACCATACCCTCGGAGCTTTGGGGGTCTGCGGAGATAAGGCACGGATGGGATCAAGTCTGACAACATGTGCCAGAAAGCTTCACCCAAATAATCTCCATGTTTCGTCTTCTGGAGACGGGCGGCCAGTTCGCAGTTTTTTCCAAACGCTCCAGCAACCAATTTTTGGATGTAGTGAGAGATGTATTGGGTTAGATGCTGGTGCATCTCGCTGTAGATCTTGTCTTGGGCGAGACAGACTACTGCGGCTGGGACCTCGCCACTCATTTCTGCTACCTGGTCCAGTAGCAGCGCAGCTTGGACGACCAGAGCTAGTTGCCGGATCGGGGTTGATGCTGCCAGGGTGGTCCGATTGAAAGCTTTCCCCAGGACTTCGAAAGCGAGTATTCTGCAGATAGCTCGTAACTTCTGGAGGTATCGGATGTACCCAATCAGTTTATGTCCGATAACGGGGCTCCCAAGCAAGATGACATTGAGCTGGACGAGCAAGTGGAGCGGGTTTCGTTCGCTGAGAATGAATGGGTGGACTTCCGGAGCTCGGTGGCCGTAGTTGTATTGCGAGACCTCAGCGTAGAGAGCGTCGATATCGATCATAGCGAAAGAATATACAGGGTCAACTACGAGCTGGTACAAACTCGATGCAACGTTTACATCCAGCTTTTTTCGGGGCTCTCCTCCATTCGCAGTGACATCGTTCCGATCATCATGGAGCGATATCCCTATACAAATCAGTGGTTGGTTTCAACTGATAGGGAGCGAACCTTACCAAGAGCGAAGATGTTTATATCCGGAAGGTTTGAGCTCACGCAAGCAGTCCATTGAAGCGTTTTAGATCCGTACGCCCTATTGAACACAGATTGACATTGTTCACACGGTCGACCTTCGGAGCACTATTGCGAAACGAAATCAGGTTTTGTTATTGAATTTCGGTATCTTGTACTCACCCTCAGCTTTTGGACATGACACCAGAGACATGCACCTTGTGCACGTACTCTTCTGGCATCATCACGTTGCTCGGAATTTTTCTGTTTGCGTTTCTTCGTCGAATTTGACACGACGCTGGAGTCGAAGCAGATAACTCCCGGGATATGCTCTTCTAATGACCTTTTCTTATTTGGCGGCGGCTGCATAGAGTCGCTAGGGGTTGGAAGTGAGAGAAAAGCGTCAGTCGAATAGTTACGAGTACGTACTCTCTAATGGTTGTGTGAGTTCGTTATAGGGTAAGAGGAGTGATTACGTGAAGAAATGCTACTGACTACGTGCTCAATCGGCCAGCGATTCAGCGGAGGCGATACTATAGCCGTCTTTCTGTCTCCTTCGGCAATGTTGAGTACATGATTCGGTGGCAGGTTCGCGGCAGGTCCATTGGGAGCTTTTAGGGTTTCGGACGAGCCCTTCGATCGCAAGGTTGCAGGAGTTGTCGCGTCCGTCAACCGTGGACAGGATAGTGAAGGCTGAGGACTGTCTGGATCCAAGGCGGCGTTCTCAAAATCAAAAAACTCCGACAAATCGAAGTCATAGTCGAGTGGTGCCGTCTGAAAGGCCTCGGGATATGCCTACGACTGTGTCAGCACTCTGGTGAAGCGTTGCCCATCCCTGTGGAGATCGATCGTTGCTCTCAACTCTCTATACAGCTCGTCTGACAATAGAGAAGCAAAAGGAGCGAAGGATGGGCGATTGAGGGCATTAGTGGGCCGTAACCTAGTGTTCATGGTGCGCGATAGGGCGCATGGCGCCGTGTGGTTGCCTTCTCGCACAAATGCGAATCACATCAGGCAAATACTAATAGAAAAGTTACTCACGTCAGCCTCCACCAAAGCCATATCGAACTCTTCCATCTTGACCCTGGGAAGACAAGACAAAGAATCTTGCTCGTCTGCTGGATTGAGGGTTGAAACAATGTTCCCTCAGCCTGAGATAGACGTCTTTTCTTCCCTCGTATGCCGGTCCTATAAATGGAATAGCTCCGATCTTGATTGGCTCGCCAAATGATCCCCGAGGAACCGACCGGCAACAAGCCTTATGGACTTCCATTGCTTGCAGGTTCAATGAATAATAGGCCAATTGTTTACCGTTGACCTAATGCCGGTTGGCTGAACACGTATTAGCTGTGCTAGAGCCCATGCCAGTTGCTGAAAGCGTCGTGTGCATAGCCCGCGAGCTCCTCATCTGGGGGTGTACTTAACCTTGCAAGAGTGTGTCCGTCGCTACTGGTCATTACGATTCTATTCGAAGCTTTATTGTCCTCCAAGCACAACCTCTCCAGTGGTTATACGAGCATGTGCGGTCCTTTTACCCCCCCTTGCTCCGGACTTGCCGATGGCAGTTACTGCGCCCTCTCCTATTCCCGTTTTGAGCGAACGATTGCGCAGCTCTCACGTCATTGCCTCAGCCCTGATATACCTATATTGCACTCCACTCCTTCAGTCGAATACGCTGGGCCAATCCTTCAACCAATAACGCAGCCATTCACCCGCATGACACATTAATTTAAGCTGTCCCGGCGTCTAGGTCAGCGCCATAGTTACAGCAGGATGCTCCGCCTCGTATGAGGCATACGGTGTAGTGATACCATCAGTGACGACACTAACCACCCAGATGACGAGGACGAAGAGGACGACGAAGGCTTAGGCGAATACAGGCCTCATGATGCTGGCAGTGGTTAGCGACTTAGCAGAGACGATATGCGTTTCCGCAAACGAACCTATGTACTATGGTTGGAGTCGGACGAACTGCGGTGGCTTGCATACAAGAAAGACATGGATATGGAGTGGAAGGATATATTTGAACTCTTTCTGGATCGAACCCCAGGCGCAGTACGGACACGCTGGCACATACTACAAGGGAAACGATCCGTCGATGCCACCAACCTCCTTGGCTTACCAGCGACGAACACAGATGCTGTTGCTCCGCGGGACGATGGCCGTTCGAGCGAGAGCTTAAGCGACGATGACAACAACGGTGAACATCTGAAAAACAATGGTGAGCTCTCGAGCTCTACGACTTGCGAAGCTCTCAAATCCTCAGCAAATCCAGAAACGAGCCGTCAAGGCAAGAAAGCGAAGAGCCATACATCGACCGAACGGCCACAGAAGCGTCTGCGAACCCAAAACTCTCTCCAGACGAGGCCTCACGAGCGGGGCAAGAAACAAAGGCGACTTCTAGAAGATGAAGTCCTATCCTCCCGCGCTTCGCCTGAGCCTTATTCTAAACAAGTACGCACATCTGCAAGGTAGTTCAGACGACGATTAACAAGGCTTGGACTGAGATCCGGAGGGAGCTGTAAAAAGAAGTGAGAGGGAACTCTCGTGTTTTTTGGGAACGGGCTTGTTCCTGCGTCTGGGTTGAGGGCAGTGGGGCCGGTCGTAGTTCCTCGCCATGTTGTTCCCATTGAATAAGGTAACAGGTCTTGATTCGCGTTGTAGACGTGATTAGCCACCGTCGGTGGTTAGTAAGAGGATGTTGAGCTAGATAGGGCTTTAATAGAACAAATAATAATAATCTCATGTCGCAGAAACATGTGGCGAGAAAGCACGACGGCGAGGTCCTCCAACCTGGCACCGACACTCCAACTCCACAACTTCCGCCCACCCAGAAGCGGCCTGCTACCTCTGCAGGGCCTCATTTTCCACTCTAGGATGCCCCGCTCCCCAAGCGGCGTCGCCGCTCCGCAAGAGTGGTGACTCAGAAGCCGACGGAGCTGAGGGAGGTCTCAGTACGTTTAGACCCTCATGAAGGGATGACACCGCGCTATTCATTGCTACTCTCACGATCCTGTCGTAGCAAAGACTGGGAAATCTTAGACATTGGTGGCGTCTGGAAAAGGATGTGTCTATAGATTGTAAGTTGCTATGGGAACAAAAATGGCGCCAGTAACCAGTCTCAATGGAGCTCTGCTTGAGCAAGCTGAGGAGCTAGTCAGGGAAATCTGACCTTTTCTGATATCCGCCGCAGTTTTCGGTGGGTTTGTGCGGCCGCTTTGGGCGTGGATGCACCACGCATGCCTCCTATGCCCAACTATCTTTTCTACAAGACTCCCGTGAGATTACACCTAGAGTGCTGAAAACGACATTAGTTTCCTGTAGTTTACTGTTAACGATATTTCTAATAATTGCTTATTGGAGCAGATTTACTAGCAAGGAGTAAAGGCCGATAACCTCTGTCTGAGCGGTATCGACCAAGACGAACGGCGGCTCATCGTCATCTGTCTGGCTTCGGGGCGGAGGGACTGTAGCCTCCCGGCCACGATTAGTGCAGAGCTAGACCAGTTAGCCGCCTTACCGGTCGTGGAACTTTTCGGTCAAGGTAGAGATTGCGTACGCGAAAACCGTTGAGATCTCCGGATTCTTCATTTTGCAGGTATACGTGAATGATCCTCTCTCCGCCAGGGCCGTCGATATCAAACGATATCCTTTGATCCGCGGAGTTATCGTGCGGAGCCTCTAGCCGTGGCTCTGCGTCGGAAAAAGGGCCACAGCGACCTAGTGTATGGATTTTCCGTCCGTCAACTTCGGTGTTGTACTTGAAATCGATGCCGTATATGTGGTAGAAGCCAACAATCCACACGACGACTTTGACTAGTTTCGACAGGTTTTCCCCGCGGCTACCACCAAATAAAATCATATTATAAGGTCTTTGCGTGCGAACTACCCAAGCCTTGTTCCTGGAGTGATCGTTGAATAAAAGCCCCTCAGGAGGAATAACTGGCAGCCAGAAGGCCTCGTCCCGCAGCGATGAAGGTTTTACAGAGGACGTTGATTTGCCCTCTGACACGGCCAGCGACACAATTTTCATCGCCTCCCCAGGTTTTAGTCCGGAAAGCATGTTGTAAACAGGGAGGAACAACTTACATCGAATCCTGCCTTCAATAACTGCACTCTACCTGCTCCAATTGTCAAACGCTTCTTGGGAATTCCTTCATGTTCACCCAACCACTTGGATACGCCACCAATGGTTAACAAAGATATTCCACGTATACCTCTCAGATCCATGGCGAGAATGAATCCAGATATATGGAGATGCCCTTCATTACCCATTGGGCACACGGAATCGAGAATGGACTCATGACTACGTTGAATGTATCCGAGACACGTATCAACTTTATCATGTTGCTGGAACCGGATGCCTGAGATGTATTGATTATCGCCAAAGTCGATGAAAGAGATGAATACCGCCGTAAGCATATCCGGGAGACGTATGAGTCGGAGTCGGAGAGCTCTACAGCCCGATGTGAAAAAATCTTCGGGATCGACTACGGCACGAGAAGCACTCGTCCATGAGCCCTCATTCGAGGGTGCTTCGTTTGGTTCAAAAAAGGATTGCAGTGGAGTGCCGGAACAAGTGCTGAGCGAGTATTTAGATAGTAGGTTACGTAGCGGGAAAATCAGCTTCGAAATGCGCCATCTGTTTCTGAGGTTTGCGTCGTCAAGGAGGTTCTTGACTCCAAGGTAGAATCTCTTCCAGGAGTACTCGAATTCGTGGCCGGGAAGGAACCGAGAGGCCCAGAATGATTTAGGTAGAGGCGTTGCGGCGACGACGGAAGAGGCTATTTTAAGATGCAGGACATCTCTTGACTGTAGGGTATTCAGAATTATCTGTATGATCTCTACAGGGAGTTTTCGGAAGGAGTCAGGTTTGGTGTGAATCTTGGTGGTAGAGTTCCGAGCTGTAGCCTCGTGATCGACAGATTTCAAACAACTACTACGGAGGGCCAGGAGGTCTGGTATAGCCAGAGGATCGAAAGTGTAAACTGGAAGACCAGTGGAGGTCCGTGGCATGTTGTCATAATCCAACCCACCTAAAACGCGCTCTTCCCCAGGAAGAAGTAGACTGACATCCACCTGAGTGCATAGTAGACGACCGTAATCGTGCCCCCAATCGAGGTAGCCTTGCTGCTGAGGAAGCGATAGGAGAATATCGAAGAGACAACGCTTATCCATATCTTCCTGGTCCAACAGCTTGACCATGAGATCCCAGCATGAGGCATGAAATGGAAATCCCCACGCAGTTTGTGTGGGGGCAGGAGGCGGCGCAGGAGGTGGGGTACGAAAATTGACCTTGAGTAGCCATATGTCTATTAGAGTGCTCGGATCTAGCTTTGGATCATAGTAACTTGAAGATGAGTCTCGAGGTGCATAATCGTGTGTAGGGCCTCGTGTGCCGACGCCAGACAGTCGGACATTGGTCCAGTCGTGGTCGTCCGTATATACTATAGTACAAAACCAGTTAGCTCACAAAGTTCTCAGGTTGTGAAGAAGCAGTTCTGTGTTGATTTGAAGAGGCATAAGGCCCGTATATATAGCCTATGAAAGGGGGGGGGGG